ATCCTATCCTATCCTCGTCCCATCCCATCCCATCCCATCCCCGTCCACTCGTCCCCTCGTCCACTCAACTTCCCGCCTTCTCCCTCCGGCGCCTCTTTTCTCTCGCTCCCAACACCGCACCGACCTTCTCTGCCCTTACCCTTCCCTACCCTGCCCTTCCCTACCCTACCCTAACACTACCTACACTACACTTAGCCCACCCACCACCCATTCATCCATCCCATCCACCCTCGTACATCAATCACCTCCAGTTCTTTTACGAACCTCTCTTCTCTACCACCAACCTCCATATTACTTCCTTTCTTCCCCAATTCTCCTCCACCTCACCACCACCACCACCACCACCACCACCACCACTCCCACTCCCCTTCTCCTCTCAAAGCAGATGCGAGATTTCTTCGTCTCGCTCGCTTCTTCCTCTTCTTCGCCTCCTCCTCCTCGGCCGGCCACCGTCGTTTTCTCTCGCGTGTTTTGAAACGAAACTGCACCTCTCCGCCAACGACCAACAACCAACGACCACCGACCTACAGCTACAACCACAACCACAACCACAACCACAACCCACCCCAAAAGCATTTCTTGTCTAGCAATTTTTCCCGCTCCCGGCTTCACGACCGCGACGACGTAACGACGTGCTTTTTGTCTTCGTTCAGCATTATCTGCAGCGTTCGAGTTCATACAGCAAGGCCACCACACCGCGCGCATTGAGCATTCTTCTGCCCTCACAATCCCTCCCGCACACCGGCCGAATTCCTCGGCTCTTTGTTTCACCAAACACTACCACCACCGCCGCTGCCCATCCCCGTCGCTCCACGCACGACGAGTGAATTAACCTTCCCCGCCGTCCCGAAAAACGCGATAGCCAGCCTGCAGTCCCGTCCTCTGCTAACGACTGAGAAAGAGAAATCCCTAACCAATTTTTATCATCTCTCTCGCTCGCCCAGCTCGCTTCTCACGGGAACCCACTCTCCTCTCGTCCCCCCCAGGAGCCATCGACTGCCGACCGCCGTTGTGCTTGTTTGCCCACGTGTTTGGTCGCGTCTCGTTGGTCATAGCTGCTGCAATTGACCATCGGTCCCAAATTCCACGAACAAACAATTCCGCGCCCAATTGATGTTGCGGTGAGCCTCAGGACGAGCTATATCAGTCTCTCCGCTATCGTTTTTCTCCCGGATACGTGCGCACAGAGTCTGCAACCTTGCTGTGGTACATCATCGCCGTCCCTTGCCCAATTCCCGTCTGTGAACGCACGCGCATTGAAGGATCTCCCCCCCCACTCAGCGCATCTCCTCGTGCCTGACACTGCAGTGACTTGCTTGAAAATCCCACCCCCAACTTCGTCAATACCGTAAAGCTGGAGCTACCATCGATCTCGTCGGTCCACGCCCGCGGCCCTGTCGACACCTGGTACAACTCTCAATACAACCCAAAACCCGCCGTGACGAACGAACGCCTGCCGACTCTCTCCCAGATCCAATCGCAACCCCATTCCCAACCGCAACCGAGCGGCTCCTCCACCTCCTCTTCCCCTCGCGGAGGCTCCATCAGCTCCGGCTCTGCTTCTGTCGCAAACAGTAGCACCAGCTCCAACACGTCCTACGCTCCCTCGGTCAACGGTCACATCCCAGGGTACAAGACGCCCTCGCCGGAGCAAACTCCGCAAGCCGCCAGCCGTCCCGGTCAGCCATTGAATGTGCAATCGCAGCAAGGCTCTCCGTACGGAAATCAACAGAGCTACGGCTACCCTTCAGAGGGCTACAACAGCATGAACCAGATGCAATCGTATGCTGACGTGCACCCATCACACATGTCTGCCGCCACCGCTCACGCACCAGCTTCGGCTGCTCCCTCGAGTCTGGCCCACTACTCGTATCCCCAGCAATCCTCCATCCTCCAGCCTGGCCCTCAATATCCCCCTCCTGCAGGTTACCCGCAGTATGGTTATGGCAATGGCGTCCCCTCGCAGCTTCCAGCATCGAGCTCTATGAGCAACGCCATGGTTCCTCAGTCCATCCAACTTCCTGGTACGTCCATCTTGATGACCTTGAGATTGGTTTTCTCTCCCATATACTAATAATGGTTCACACAGCAATGTCCGCTGGTGCACCCGCATCCTCGTTGCCAGGCTCCCAGAGCTATCCGCCTCAGCAGTTCGACCACACCGGTCAGATTGCTCCCGCAGGGATGAAACCTCGGGTCACGGCAACGCTCTGGGAAGATGAAGGCAGCCTCTGCTTCCAAGTAGAGGCCAAAGGCGTATGTGTAGCTCGTCGTGAAGGTATGTATTATCGCACATTCCCCAATATACGCTGGTGGAGCAGAGTCTAATTTCTACAAACAGATAACCACATGATCAACGGTACTAAGCTTCTTAACGTAGCTGGCATGACCCGCGGCCGCCGTGACGGAATCTTGAAGAGCGAAAAGACAAGACACGTTGTCAAGATCGGCCCCATGCACCTCAAGGGCGTGTGGTGCGTATCCCGTCCTCTCTCCCGGTTGTATGTTGCACACTAACCCATGTAACCAGGATCCCATTCGAACGTGCGTTGGAGTTTGCCAACAAGGAGAAGATCACCGAGTCTCTGTATCCTCTGTTCGTGCACGACATTGGAGCACTGCTTTATCACCCCTCAAATCAGACGAGGGCAAGTGTAGGAGGCGCCGCGATGGCAGCTGTTGATCGCAATCGAAGACCTGACCCTATGCAGACCACGCGATATCTGACTGGGCCCACCACATCCCAGCCCCCGTCGCTGCATCACCACCACTCGATGAGCAACCCCATCGGCGCCGCCTCGATGTCTCAACCGCCGCATGCGATCCAGCCTCACCCATCCTCGGGCAGGCCTGGCATGGAGAGGGCCCACACCTTCCCCACGCCACCGACCAGCGCCTCTAGCATAATGGGCATGAACAACCAGGGAAGCTTCAACGAGTGGAGTGGTACCAATGTACAGAACATCCCTGGACCTCCTCTCTCCATCGATACCGGTCTGAGCAACGCTCGCTCAGGCCCTACCACCCCGGCCAGCACTCCCCCAGGCACTGTCCAGGCAGGCATGTCCTACCCGACGGCACAAAGTTACGACAGCTCGAGACCGATGTACTCTGCACCACCCTCGCAACCAGCCCAGTACAATACACACTCGCAGCAGATGATGGGTTACCGCCCCCAGGATGGCACCTACCCCAAGACCGAGATGGCACCACCCGCACGAGCACCTGACCAGGGCGACGTGAAGCCGGCCGAGGGCATGATGCCCCAGACCAGCGAGCAAGTCTCCCATGCCTCTGGAGAGGTTGAGGGCGAGCACGAGAACGAGTACACGCACACGAATGCTCCTTATAATAGCAGCCGTGCGTCCTACGGTTACAGCTCTGCCCCTGCCCCCGGACCTATCCATGGCGACCACCCCCACTTGTCCCCAGAGATGACTGGCTCTCCTCACCAGAACGGTTCCGGACGTGCAACCCCCCGCACGACCGGGACGGGGCAGGCCCAGTGGAACTCTGGCTATCCCACTCCACAGCGTCAGGCCCCGCCGTCGAGCAATCTCTACAATGTCATGAGTGATACTCGCGGTGCCACCAATGGTAACGCCGCTCCCGAGAGCTACCCTCCCCCTGGAGGCGTTCCTCAATACCCAAGCCAGGCATACGCCCCCTCCAACGGCATCCCCACCTCCGCCAAGCGAGGTCGCGATGACGACGAGCAGGACCCTTACCGCCCCGATAGCGTCCAAGGTGACAACATCGAGGGCCCCAAGAGGCGAAAGACCATGGACGGAGGCGCCGTTGGCTCCCCCTACGGCAATCCCAACCCTGGATTGCAACGCACCCAGTCGACCATCCAGCAGCGTGCTCGCAGGTGATAAGTCTCATCACTCTGCTGAGATGGGTTTACGCTCAAATCTGTTCATCATACATGATTTCTCTCCGAATAGACGACGCATCGAACTCCCGTGGGTGGGCGGAAGTCAGCAATCGAGAGTTATGCAACTAATGTCAGCATTTTGTTGACACCTGAGGATAGCTACGCTGGCTTGACCGAAGCCCACACCCAAACCGAAAACAAACATCTCTACCCACAACTCCGATCCTAACGAATTGAATGTCACCTGACCTACGACGATGGATCACTCATTAACATCACCATTTCATTGCGTCAACTTATCTCTTCACATTTCCTGTGTTTTTCTCGAAATTTTCAACCTCGGGCATTGAACGACCTTTACGACCATTTCTTTTCATGGACACGTCCCCGCGTGCTTCCAACCCACCCATAACTTGGACTTCTTCAAATCTTTTTTTTTACACCATCCCGATTCATGATATACGACTCCCTGCATGCAGCATGAAAGCATTATGCAACACTGCTGTGATTTGGTATTGCTTAATGGGTTTGCGGGTGACGATTTGTACTTTCTACCACCACCGCGTTATATTCTTTTGTTACGGCCTCCTGTTTGAAAGAAAAAGGGGAACGATGATACACGGTCGCGTCTGCCACTTCCCGCTCGAACTAGATACACTGCTCTCCGTCTCCGCATAACATGGACGAGAAGACAAACGACAACATCTCTTACCCCGACATACTTTGACTTCAAGAGGTGGCAGCGCGACCAAACCGACATAAAGGAAGGATGTGGATCTGCGAGACGGGGCGAGGACATCCGACTCTGCAACACAACCAACAAGACTTGAGCATAGTGGGGCATTTGATGATTTGATTTATTTGTTTCGCAAGCAACCCCGAAGCCAGCCGGCGGCTGTGTAACCCTCATTATCTTACCCTTGAAGCCTTTGTTATTTACGATGGACGGCGAGACGAACGAAGGATCCAACAGACATCCTGAGAAGGAGGCTTCCGATCGATGTTGGCTACGATGACTCATGTCCTGGTATATGCGAGTGGAAATATAGCACCTTGACCTTATTACTTAAACTGTTGTTCCGTTTCTTCTTTATTTCCTGGGTTTCTTGACTTGGGGGGAAGATGTGGAGCGTTTATTCTTTCTTATCGTAGGTGGGCGAGACCGGCAGGGGCAGGCAGTATACGAATAAGGGGTGGGCCGAGTCTTTTTTACCATGAATGATAATGAGAATCAAAAGCTTTATTTTCTGTTACTATGAACTGTGTCTGTATGCATTGTGATGTGTTTCTTCTATTGCTTGTGTTGTGTTGTGCTGTGTTGTGCTGTGTTGTGCTGTGCTTGACGACATAATCGCTGTGATCCTTGATTATGCGTTGTTCCTACAGGATGAGACTTCGGCGATGCGAGGAATAGGGGGATGGATTGTATATACACGTCTATAGCCTCACTATTTGATAGAACAGAAAGTAGAAGGTCGTTTCATGAGCGAGTGATGCTTCGAATAGAACAGGATGATGTGATTATGTAAACCAAACAATGAGGAGGGGCCCATCCCAGTCTTGGCGTTGCCGCCCCACTGCACTGGCCACGCCCGCCCACGTCGTCATGGCCGCTGCCACCCAACAGTGAGACGACGAAAACAAGGATCAAATCTTCCCCCGACTCCCAGAGTGCCGCGCAACCAGCACGAGGCTGAGCCAGGCAAACGTTTTTCGATATCTCTGCTTGATAAAATCTCCATTTCTTCCTCTCCATCCCCCATCCTGACCCTCACCCTCACCCATCCCGCCTAACTCCGGACCCCCGCCATGAACATCATTAAGATCCAGAGGTACGTTCCCCGTCATCAGCGCCTACGTGCGATTCCACGACGACCACTGACAACGCGAGCAGGAAATATCCTCAATTCCAACAGGCCGAGATCTTCGGCCTCCAGGATGCCTTCCGCAAACTCGACGTCGACGACAAGGGGTACCTCGACGAGGCAACCGTCATAAAGGCAACGCAACAGACCGAACACCAACCGTACGATGTGGTCCGCCAGGCGCTCAAGGAGGTCGAATTGGACAGCTCACGGCGCGTCGAGCTCGAGGACTACGTCGACCTCATCTCCAAGCTCCGCGAGTCGTCGCCGGCGCAGCAGCGCATGCACACAGGGCCGACGCGCGCGAGGGCGGGGACGGGCCCGGGCAGCGCACCCGCGACTCCAGGCCACGCCCGCGGGCCCAGCACCGGCGGCGGCGGCAAGATCCACGTCCAGGGCTCCTCTGCCAACGTAACGCACACGATCAACGAGGATGAGCGCACCGAGTTCACGAGGCACATCAACGCCGTGCTGGCGGGCGACCCGGACATCGGCGACCGACTGCCCTTCCCCACGGATACGTTCGAGATGTTCGACGAGTGCAAGGACGGCCTCGTGCTGGCCAAGCTCATCAACGACAGCGTGCCGGACACCATCGACGAGCGTGTCCTGAACAGGGTGGGCAAGAAGATCAAGACGCTGAACGCCTTCCACATGACGGAGAACAACAACATCGTGATCGAGTCCGCCAAGGGCATCGGCTGCTCCGTCGTGAACATTGGCTCCGGAGACATCATCGAGGTGCGCGAGCATCTGATCCTCGGCCTGATCTGGCAGATCATCCGCCGCGGTCTGCTCGGAAAGATCGACATCAAGCTGCATCCTGAGCTGTACAGGCTGCTGGACGAGGACGAGACGCTCGAGCAGTTCCTCCGCTTGCCCCCGGAGCAGATTCTCCTGCGCTGGTTCAACTACCACTTGAAGAACGCCAAGTGGCACAGGACGTGAGTGATACAGTACTTCTTTATATTTCCTGATATGCAGCTGCTAATTATGTGTACAGGGTCTCCAACTTCTCGACTGATGTCAAGGACGGCGAGAACTACACTGTCCTCCTCAACCAGCTCGCACCCGAGACCTGCTCCCGCGCCCCGCTCCAGCAATCCGACCTGCTCCAACGTGCCGAGCAAGTCCTCCAGAACGCAGACGCCCTCGGCTGCCGCAAGTTCTTGACCCCGACCTCCCTGGTCGCTGGAAACCCCAAGTTGAACCTCGCTTTTGTGGCTAACCTCTTCAACACGCACCCAGGCCTCGACCCCATCACCGAGGAAGAAAAGGCCGACATCGAGGACTTCGACGCCGAGGGCGAGCGCGAGGCCCGCGTCTTCACCCTGTGGCTCAACTCCCTCGACGTCCAGCCCGTCGTGCAATCCTTCTTCGAGGACCTCAAAGACGGCACCGTCCTCCTCCAAGCGTACGACAAAGTCCTGCCCGGGTCCGTAAACTGGCGCCACGTCAACAAGCCGCGACCCGGCGCCAGCGAGCTCATGCGCTTCAAGGCCCTCGAAAACACAAACTACGCCGTCGAGCTCGGCAAGGCCAACTCCTTCTCCCTCCCCGGCATCCAAGGCGCCGACATCACCGACGGCCAACGCACCCTCACCCTCGGCCTCGTCTGGCAGCTCATGCGCAAGGACATCGTGTCCACCCTCCGCGACCTCGCCCAGCGCCTCGGGAAACGCGAAATCGCAGACGCCGACATGATCAAATGGGCCAACGACACCTCCCGCCGCGGCACCGGCGGCGCCACGCAAATCCGCTCCTTCAAGGACTCGTCCCTGTCCACGGGAATCTTCCTCCTCGACGTCCTGTCCGGAATGAAGTCCTCGTACGTCGACTACGACCTCGTTGCCCCCGGCCGCACCGACGAGGAGAGCTACCAGAACGCGAAGCTCGCCATCTCGATTGCCAGGAAGATGGGCGCGACCATCTGGCTCGTGCCTGAGGATATCGTCGCCGTGCAGAGTAGGCTGATTACGACGTTCATTGGCAGTTTGATGGCGACGTCGGAGCGGATGGGGAAGTCGTAAGGAAGTTTATGGCGTAGCCGAGCGGAGCGTGTTATTAGGCTTGGGGATGAGGGGGTACGGAGGGGAGATAGAAGCGGTGAAGCGTTTTTCCTTTGAAAGTACTGTTTGTTAAAGTGATAGCAAGGAGGGGAGGGATGATTAAAAAAAAAGGGATGGAAATATATTATTATTACTGTTAGTGTTTGTGATCATGATGATGTTGTAGGAGTGATGGTGATGGTGTGTGATTTTCATACCAGCTAAGTCAAGTCAAACATTGAAACAGTGACTCACCAAGGTCAATGAGGAAACAAAACCCACACGGCAAGTTCGGCGGCTCCGCATGTCTGGTCCGGCACTCCGCCTGTCTTTCATCGTCTTATGCGTGTGGGGGGGGGGGGGCGATGTTTGGAGGGGGGATTAGGTGCCCCTTCTCTGCTTCTTTGTCCTCTGTCTACAATATGTTGTGCTCTGCTGTATTTTGTGAGTTACTTCGCGGTTTTTGACTCTGAGAAGGTAAGCGGAAGCGGAAGCGGAGGCGGTGGATTGGATGACTTGGTGGTTTGGGTTTTGGGGGTTGTCTTGATTATGGTTTTGGTCGCGGTGGGGACTGTTGAGGGGAATGGGGGAATGGGAAGGGGGAGGTGAGGTGAGGTGAGGTGAGGTGTAGATAGCATGTCAAGCGGCAGAGTATGAGGTGTTTTGGCTCCTGGGAGGGGACGTAGGTTGATGGGTTGGGAGATCCATGAGGGTGTTGTACTGTCGGGGTTGCTGAGGAGAAGTAGTAAGGACGATCAGCTATATGTCCCGCTTGTGTGCTATGCCTTCTGGTCGTCTGGTCTTGTGGGTTATGTTAGGGTGTTGAGGACATGGTTCCGTGTATGTGGTTTTGTTAGTATCTAGTCGTATAGACGTTTTGCTGTGTTATGGGGAGAGGGGAGGGGGGGGGGGGAGGAAAGAAGAGAGGTGAATTGGAGATGTTCATGACCATGCATCGTGGGAGGTGGTGTTGTTTTGTCGACTAGAAGACGTTTTTGAAGATTTGGTGTGAAATGAAAGAACTCGGAAAAGAACGATGATGGGTGTGATAGCTTATTCTAGAGGATATTGTAGCAGTGCAGAGTAGGCTTTCTACGATGTTTATTAGTAGTTTAATAGCAACAGTAGAAAGGATGGGGAAGTTATAGGGAGGGCGTAGTAGAGTAGAGTACAAGTAGGGGAAGTTTATAAGTAGGAGGGGTTAAGGAGGAAAGGGTAATAGAAGGGGTAAAGCATTTTTCTTTTAAAAGTACTATTTGTTAAAGTAATAGTAAGGAGGGTGGGGATAACTAAAAAAAGTAATAGAAATATATTATTAGTACTATTAGTGTTTATAATAATTATGGCATGGTGATGCGGTTTGTGTGATGTTTCGCTGTGATTGAGAGGGCAGAGTGTTTGAAGTGCTTCTTTTTCCACTCCTATCACGAGAGTGCTTGTTCAATGATTTCCTTCCTTCCTTCATTTCTTTCTATCTTTGTCTCTTCCCCAACACAAGCAATAAATGAAGAATGCCCACCAACACCACTATATCTCACCCTTCCTTCCTACCCCCCTTTCGAAGAAAAGTGCCCTTGAAATTCCCCCAGTAGACATCATACAAACATTTACGCCATTCACTTCTTCTTCTACTTTCCTGATACTATTTCTCTTCTGTCGTGGGCTTTTTGCTCAGTTGGTTTACGTTGTTACGTGGGGCATATACGTGGTATGTTTTATGCCTTTCCTTGGGGTTTTCTGTTACGTTGCGGTTGAGATTGGTGGGATGGGGATTCGATGATGTGGGCTGGCGCTGTACGGTTACCAGTAAGCCCCTCTCGAGGCAGTTTATGACATGCAGACTATTTTGTATGCGACTATGCTATACTCGATACAGTAGCACCGATCTGATATGATACAAATTCCATGAACTCTAATTTGCTCGTAGGGCCTACAGGCGCCTCGATTGCATCGTGCTGCAGAAGGAAAGGCCGCACCTCGGGAAACCTAGTGACCAATCTCTGAAGTTGCGCGACATGACCTTGGACCACATGCATCGTTTCCAACTTGGTGTATATGTCGAAACACCAAAACGCAATCAATCCGACGATCGCGTGTATCCCGTAAATCACTACCAATGCCGCGATCACATTCGCTCCAGACCTCCGAGAACTCACACCACTCAGTCTGCCGCGTTGCTTCCGGGAGATTTCTTTGTGGATGGTTATCAGCCAGCAACGGTTGGCTTCTCGCGAAGCTTGTTCGATGATTAGGAAGGAAAAGAAGAGACTGAAGTCCTGACTATCCCGGATCTTCCAGTCGAGACCCGCCGGAAGCCTCCACTCCTGCCAGAACTCCCGTTCTATTGGGGAAATAAAAAAGAATCAGCATATGGTCGGTCAAGGAGGGAAAGGAGAAGCCCTAACCATAGTCGCATATCTCAACGTTGCTGAGACTCGTCTCTCCCACCGGCTCCCACACTTCAAGTTCCTCAGGACGTATCGGCCCCAGTTCCCCCCGGCACTGGAAGTACCGAGCATGGATGAAATCAGACCAAGTTGGTGATGGAGTTTTGTCTCGAAACACGCCGACGACCCAGCGCTGGTCTCCCTTAGGGTCTAGGACCGCGGGAGGTGGACTGTAATCAGCTGCTTGGCCGTTGAACATGGCTGTGCCTTTGTGACGGAGATTGAATGGTGTCCATCGCCCGGGCAGTACGGCAATGAAGACGGTTCGTCCAGGCATCGTTGTACGTCAACGAATTATGGTGGCCGAGTACTGAGACGGATTTCCTTTTCCTTGAAATGGGGAGGAGGGCGGTGCATAGATGATTGAAGCACGATAGTGCAGTAAATGGACTTTGCGTGTATGAGGTGTAATGTATAACTATAGCTGTAGTGAAGTATAAATTTGAAGAGGTACAAGTGTAGTAGAAGGCCTAAGCGCGTAAGTGTGAATAAATGGAACAGCAGGTATACGGGTAAGTGGACGTCGAGATCTGAGGGTGATGATAAGAATAAGTGCGTAGTAGGAACATATATGACCATTTTTCCACGACTTCAGCTCTCATCACACCGGAAATTTTCGGAATGCGGGGTAGGTTATTGTGATGCAACTCAATTGGCGGTGGACGCTGGTCCCGTTCTATTTGTCGAAGCATGTCTGTGTAACATTCGTCCTCCATCAGGCTGGAAAGTTGGCAGGCGCTTATGCAGGAATTGGACTGCAGCCTGGACGCTAGCTTGTAAGCGACGTAGCCTCGTGACACTCTTTCGACGTGAATGATGCGTCCTAGCATGTACAAATGTCAGTACGCATTGTGGTGCAGTCAGATTGGATGTGAGGGATTTGGCGGCTTCGTTTTACAGGGTGAAAGAGAATTTCGCGAAGATACCTGTATGATTACGGCCTTATTGGGGACAGCAAAGGCTCGACCGCATGCGTATCTGTACTTGCTAATAATAGGTCCCGTTTGAAAGGCCTCTTACTCTTGGTACACTTTTGTGCAATTGTACGATGTATACCGGAGGCCGTATGTGCATGTAGAGATTTGTATTACATTATCAAGACGTCAAGAGTGTAGTGATAACTATCTAGCAATTGCACTGTACTATGATTATTGTTTCCCCTTGGTTCGTAGGTTTCTTTTTCTTCTTATTCCCTTATCTTTCCTTGTTTACCCACTCAATACCGGTGAACCACGTGCCCCTGTGTCCATGCATACACACATATGCCCCTGACAGCCTACACAAATATTTCCCAGCGGGCCTATCAGTCCTCCCGTTTCCATTCATCTCAGCAGTTCCATAGTTCTCTCCCTCGGTGTACACTCGCCTTTTAAGTCTACACCAGAAAGCGAGATATATCGTACAGATGTATGAATAGATGAGTGGACTGCTTTGGTGGCTTGCGTAGATCTTTTGCGTGTCGAACTTACTCACAATTCTTGACCTGTCTTATTCTTTCTGCGTATAACAGGGATTCTCAATGTAAGATCAGTGACAGTAGACAAGAGGACACAAGCCGTACAAAGCGTCTCAATCAAGACCAAATAAGGTCGGAGTTTAGCATTAGTTGGGCTGCTGGTGTCGTACTTTGATTCACCATACTCATCATCATCGTTGTTATGTGAGGTTATTATTATAATCGTTGGTATCATTGGTATCATTCATCTATCTACCGGACTCTCCACTCTATGTCTTATTGTCTTTGTTTGGCTTGTTTGTCTTTAGAGTGAGGATGACGGCTTTTTGGGAGCTGAAGTCGAAGAGGAGGATGATGTCGATGAGAGATGTGGGAAGACGTGACTCAAAGAGGTGCCATTACTGCTCCCGTCGACAGTGGGTGTTGTTGTGCTTGTTGGTGTTAATGTGGTGGTATGAGCAGCAGCCGAAGGGGTAGGAGCATCAGTAACAGCAGGAGCAGGATCAGCGGCAGCGGCAGTATCCTCAGTCTTATCCTCATCATCTCTCTTCCTCGCAATCCTCTCATCGACATGGCCCTCCAACCACTCCACCTGCCGATCCCTCAACCTCAAGCTCTCCTCGACCTCCCTCGTCAACTTATCCACCTCATCCTGCAACACCTCGTCCCTTGTCTTCTTCCTCTCCTCCTTCTCCGCCTTACCTCCCTTGCCCTCCTCATCCGTCTCCGCCCACAGCGCCTCCAACTCCTCCCCCCACCCAAGCGCTTCCGCCAACTTCCTCACCCCGCCATCGCAATCTCCCAAAACCACAACATCGTCCGCCCGCGATCCCAACCCCCCAACCGCCTCCTGATTGATCAGCACGCGGGGCGTCCCCTCCGCACACCACTGCGGCAGCGACGCGAACGGTTGCACCGAAAGACTCGTCCCCATGACGATGCACAGGTCCGCCTCGGAGGGAAGGTGCTTGTTGTCGAAGAAGGAGGACGGCAGCGCCTCGCCGAAGAAGACGATCTCCGGCTTCACGAGGCCGCCGCCTGTGGACGCGTTGGGGCAGTTCCGGGAGCCGCACCGCGGGACGGATTTGCTGGATATGGCGCGTGTCATCAGGTCTTTGGGGTAGGCGGTTTTGCATTCTATGCAGCTTTGTCTGTGTTGTCACATTCGTTAGATTGGGGGACTAGAAATGGGGAATGGGAGAAAACATACCTCGCAAAACTGCCATGTGCTTCAACAATCACCTCATCCGGCACGCCAGCCTCCCGCTCCAAACAATCGATATTCTGCGTAAATAACTTCAACAGCAACCCCTTCTCCCACAGCAACCGAATGAACGAATGCGTCACCGTCGGTCTATACCTCCCCGGATACAGCTCCTGCGCCAGCGTGTAAAACGGCTCAGGCGACTTGCGAAAGAAATTGATGTCGAACACCGCCTCCGCGAAGGGGAGATCCAGCCGCGCGAGGTTGGCATACAACCCCGTGTCCGGCGACCGGAAATCTGGGATCCCCGCCGACGTGCTGATGCCCGCGCCCGTCATGACCACGATCTTGCGCGCCTTGCCCGACGTTATGAGCTCCGCGACGGCTTCGATCGTCCGCGACGAGAGCGTCCGCGGGGGCGTCGAGGGGTCGACTTCGGGCGCTGATTGCTCTTGTCCCATCTTGTGGTATCTTCCTCCTTTCCCCTTGCCTTTTCCTTTTCCCTTGCTCTTGCCTTGTCCTTTGCCTGTTCCGCGACCTTGGAAGCTATAGTCGTCGTCGTAGCCGTAGTCGTTGTCGTTGTGGTTGCGCCAGTGCGCCGCTTTGCCTTTGCGACCTATGATGAATGGAGTGGTTGGAGGAGCGTCACGAACGCACGTATATGGGGAATGCTGATATCTCTTCCAAATGAGCGTGGTTAAGATTCAGATGCTGTGAGTAGCTCAAAAATTCTCGAGTAAAAACAGTCGTATGCGATTAATCGACTAAGATCTAGAAAGATTCGAGGTTTGAGACATGTTAATAGTTCAACCCCCACCAAAATTCTAAAGCTTGACGTCGGAGGTCGGAGGAGGGAAGTCCCGTCCCGCGGCGGCCTGTTCGTTGCCAAGAAACGTACTTTGTGTGACAATATGGATTGGGCTAGGGACTGGATGCAGTATAGCGTACCCAGTGTTGTAATGAAATGGTCGTGATTGGAAATATATAAAAAGATAAAAATGTTGGTACATAGCTCCTAGATAACAAAAGGAAGATCATTGAAATATATAAAGTCATTACCCATTACCATTAAAACATCTAGAAGAAATCCGAAATACATGAGATCCTTCCAATAGAATCGTAAAAGAAGTTATGATCGAGAAAACTAACTATTCAAAAGACCACCCAGCAATCTCGTTCCTCTGGACATTGGGTTTGGGCTTGGGCTTTATGAGCGAGCAATCGATCCTGCACTCCATCCTCCTGATGATCAAGCCACTCGTGCGGACTCCCTATTCACACATGTTAGAAATTCAGATCCGATAAGAGGGCATCGAGTCAAAATTTACCCGTTCATTCCTCGCAGCCCCGCGCTTCTCCCCCATCCTCCGGGAATAGCATCCCCCGTCGTCGCGGTACGGCCGCCACTGCTTGCCGCCGTAGTAGATGCGCAACTTGTCGTCCTCGTCTTTATTGACGCTCAGGGTTTGGGTGCCTGAGAGCCCGCCGATGTTGGGGCACTGGACGTCGACGCCGACGCCCTTTTTGGCGTAGTAGGCGGTGGAGCAAACGAGGGAGGACTTGGAGGTGGAGATGTCGTTGGAGTTGGAGTTGGAGTCGTCGATGTCGGCTTGGTGGTAGACGCCGATTGAGAAGGCTTCGTCTGTGTCGTGCTCGCCGCTCTGCGTGGCGGTGTCGAGTTGTGCGACTCTTATGAAGCATCTGCCGGGGGTGGTAGGTCGAGGGATTGGAAGAAGTGTAGGAGTCGGGATTGGATCTGAAGATGAAGTCGGGGATGCAGGCTCGGCGGAGCTGGGAAATGTGGATGGGGATTGGGAGGATGCAATTGAAGCAGAGCTGGAGGATTGTGGTGGAGATTGCGAAGATGAAATCTCAGTTGAGCGCGCAGACTCGGGCTGAGATTGGAAGGATGCAATTGATGTTACGCTTACTGGTGATGTTGTGGCAGACCTACGACAGCGTTAGAAGCCAAACTGAGGATCTCATACGAGCATCACAAACCTAGTTCCTGTCGAAAGAGTAGTCGGTGCTGTTTTGGACGACATCGAACAAGCTGTGGCCGTTTTGTTCTCTCCACGCTTCCTGAATGGAATTTGACATTGAATATCTGGATGAAATGTATCACCTCGAGCGAGATTGTAAGGAACGTTGAGATGTTCAATTGGTACCCGTGGCCAGAACAGTGGAGGCGTGACAAAATCCTCTCGAGGTACCCGCGTCCAAGCATGTGAAGTCATGAACTTTTTCATATCATCCCGAGGAATAGGAATATCCCCATGATTGAACAGGTTGATCTCTGGATGAGATAAGAAGTAAGCCGCAAGGCCCGACTATGCGATAGTCAGCAGAAATAATGAGCTCATAAGCGGAAAACTCACAATGATGGCTGCTGCTTGGCTTGTACCTGTATTAAAATCTGTATTCAGATGAAGTTCGTTATTATGTCCCGGAGCAATTACATTAGTTGCAGGTGCATATAAAGTCATGGAGCCCGGTTGTCCAGGATGCGGATGGCAGGTCTGATCGTATATTTTGCCTTCCTCGTTTACTCCTCCAACAGTTATTATTTGGTTAGTAGTAGTACCAAATTTCTGTGGGACTTGCTGATGAAGGCCCAAGTCGGGGTCGTTTCCTGCAGCCACCACCACAGTAGCCTTCACCGTCTCGATAAAACGGAAGAAGTCCGCATAGAAGGGCTCCATCTCTCGGCCACGATTATCCGTGCCAACTATTGATGTTCCTGGGAAGTTTTAGCAAATGATCTCTGATAATCATCGAATATAGATGGTGCGAAACCTTACCGAACGACATGTTGATCACTGATCTGGCTGACGGATCTTTGGCCAGTCGATCTGAAATGTCCCTCCCCACCTTACTTAGAACAGTGGCTATAGCCTTAGGAGTCGGGCCGTAATCCTGAGGGCCAACCTTTCCTTTTGAATGATCGAGTGGGTTCTTCCACGCATGCGTATTGTAAACTCCTTTCGTCTTCAAGAGATATAAGTCGGCATTTTGTGCAATTCCGTGGAGTTTACCTCCAGCTATTGCTGCCATTTTAGTTCCATGACTGACGGGATTTACCGTATTTAGGCGCTCCTCCTCAATCGTAGCCTCGGGATGCGTTTTTCTCAAGTTTTTGAGGAAGTCCACCGGAAAGGCAATATCATTGGGTGGAAAGTAAGTTCTAATGGTGCGCCCTTCCTCCTGAAGTGCCTACTAGAATTAATAACAATTGCTCTGACATTCGAACGAAAGCCTACCGGAATGCTCAAATCAAAGCCAGAGTCGATGATGTATATAGTCGTTTTCTCTCCCGCACTATCATCAGCAAGATACCCGGGATCCCTATGTGGTGGATTCAGGGGAGACGTTGGAGGCGAAGACAGTATTCTCTTCCACCAAGGAGCATTTTGCTGCTCTGGAATAAGGGCCCTGGAGATTTTACTGGCGTTGCTGTGATGCGGTTCGAACCCATGACGTCTGGAAGCTGCGGGCGCGTTGAATGTATCATCAGCGCCCATAAAGGTGGGGTCGAACGTTTCTTCGACCATGATGCCGATTAAAGGATTGGTCATCTTCAGCTCTGCAGCCTTTGTAGGGGCTATTTTAGTACAATATAATTGGTGTAAAAGGGGCTCGAAGGTTTGTGCAACGCCAACACCACCGTCGAGGTCCCTGATAAAAGCGTTGAATGCTTCAACTGATGTTCCCTCTTTCGTTTGAATAATGTAAGGAACCGGCGTTTCGCTCGGACCAGCAGTGGAACTGCTACTGGTCGAAGATTCAGTAGTGGACTGGCTACTTGTCAAAGATTGAGTAGCAGATGGAGTCAGCGTAGAAGCCATCGACGTGAGGGAGACACTCTGACTCTCTGTACTCGCTGCAGTGCTGAGACTCTGAGTTGCCGCAGTGCTGAGACTCTGAGATACCGGCATGCTCGTACCCGAAGGTACAGATATGCTTGGGACTTCCTGCTCGTCCCACGGAAAATCCTCAAAGTCTTTCATCGCCCTTTGGGCCTTCTCAAGCGTACCCTCCGGTTTGGAAAACTCCTTTATGCTATCAAAAATTTGCTGCTGCACTTCTGGGGTGAGTTTATCGAAATTCTTCAGCGCTGTGCTCATAGACTTCATGAAGTTTCCGACATTTCTACCAAGGTTTTGCGCATTGAGTACGGTATTCAAGGCCCCTTTGCCAGTATTGAGGGCTTCGAACGAAAGATCCTGTTGAACACCGTTGATAGAGGAGACGACGGACCCGACATCTTTTACAGCCGTTGACAATGCCCCAGATAGACCACCAATAGCTGAGCCAGCACCACCCGTGGCGAGATTCGCGGCGTGTTTGCCAACCGATGCGACGCCGCGTGCAGCAGACCCGGCAGCGCGTGCAATCTTACCAATGGCACCGAAAATGCCACCACCACCACCGCCGCCTTTGCCGCCGCCGCCGCCGTTGTTACCCCCTGAAGGTCGAGACGACTTCCCAGGTTGAGCTTTAACAGTCTGGTCGCCCTTTTTGATCTGCTGCATAGAGGTAAGTCCTGCGGGGATTTCCAGTGTTTCACCTCGCATAATGACCCTGTCAGACATCAACAGAGCTTTTTCTCCATTAGATAAAAAGATCTCGCTGGGTGGCTGGTTGGGAGAGGGCAGGTTGTATTCCTGGCTGTCGATGACGACGTCCATGATCCATGAGGGAGGTATTCCCGTAATTGACGCGGTTGGCACGACTGAAGAAGATTTGGAGATCCCGAGGAGCGATGTTGGAATACTTGCACTTGGAGATGAAGGTCCGGATTCAAGTGGAGGAAGATCAGTCATGGCAGAAGACGACGGCCCAAAATTAAATCCAGGCAGACCAGTTATGGAAGAAGACGACGGCTTAAAATTGAATTCAGGCAGACCAGTTATAGCAGACGATGATGGCCTAAGATCAAATTCAGGTAGGGTCGTCGGTTGTGTTTTCGATGGTGGATCCCCCGATGGGAAAGCACTGGGTAAGTCTTCTAGAGGAGGTTTCGTTGTAGAAGAGGGCGGCTCTAGATCCGATAGGCCCGGCAGAGCAGTGATTGCGCTTGACGATCGGGCTTGTGCTGTTGTGCTGATTGATGTTTCACTGGTGGGTGTCACAGTTTCCGTGACTGTCTTCTCTGGTGCCGGCGACACCGAAGTTGAAATGAGTGACGTGACTGTCACAATACTGGGTGAGCCGTTCGACAAGTAAACGGTCGAGAATATGACCGAGACAGTGAAGATGACTGTCGTATTACTTGAGATCAAAGTCGTCGAAGAGGATAGAGCAGAGTTGGAAAACTGTGTGGTTGGAGAAGCTGTCGTAGAGGATGCTATAGAAGAGGATGATTGTTGAGAAGAATTGGAAGCCTGACGATAATCCGTAGACGTTGGAAGCGAGGTCGAGGAAATGAAGACTGGTTGGAAACCACTGGGAACGAAGAGAGATGTCGAATTGGAAGGAATTGGAAAAGGCGGACGTGAGGTTGAAGAAAGGAGGACCGGTTTGGAACCGCTGGTAACTAAGAGTGAAGTCGAATTAGAAGGAAATGGGAAGGGTGGGCGTGAGGTCGAGGATACGATGACCGGATGGGAGCCACTGCTGACGAGAAGAGAGGTCGAGTTGGAAGAAGGAAACGGGAAGGGTGGGCGCAAGGATGAGGAGATGACGACCGGTTGGGAACCGCTGGGGATGAGTACAGAAGTCGAATTGGAAGGAAAGGGATAAGGTGGCTGCAGTGTCTCTCTAGCACCTGAACCCAAGCCTGTCGAGGCCTGAGAATTCACTGCACTTGCCGATGATGAGGTGAGTGCGGTTCCAGGATTTGTGACCGAGGCTGGATGTGTAGATAGAGTGGCCGATGGCAACCCGGAGGAGTTGGTGGAGGTCGATGTAAATACCTCTGACTCCTGACGAAGATTGAGAGGACCGAGGTATCCTGACATTATTAGTATGATGGTGGTTGGTAGGAGGGGGACGCCATACCTAGGTCGGGGATACTATACGGCAGTGAAGCAAGAGAGCTGCGAACACTTAGCGAAAGAACGCAGAGGGACCCGAAAATCCGCTTCATGATCATGGATTCAAGACGAAAATGGACAAGAGAATTGCAAGCAAATGACAGAGCTCTTTTGATCACTTCGAAATGAACGAATGGATGGACCAGAACGTACCTCTGTATGTAGAATGGGTAGATTTATATAATTCTATCTTCGTTATCTGTGCTTCTGTGATGAGAAATGGGCATCTACGTGCGGGACGGCGAAGTCATACACGGGTGTGAAGCTGGGTCGATATGGTGATCAAACCTACGGATCACAGCTGGATGTCGATGTCCGGAGAGTCTTCGCCGCGGGAAGACTTGCGGATAGGACGTCCGGAGATTGATGATTGGGGTCTACTGATGAAGTTCAGTCTTGACATTCAACGGCGTGTAACATATTGATTTTCTTTACAGTTACGATGACTGCCGTTCAATTGTTGTAAATCCTTTTGTGTGCTCGCCAGTAGTAGATTTCAAGGTCTTTATAGTAAATGCGAGGTTATTCACAGGGCAATTACGTGAAAGATAGCAACCATAAACAGTGACTGCTGAGGAATATAAGAAACAGAGCACGGATTAGTCTCACAATTCATCGACACTGCCGCGAGGGACGTTTCCGCTCTGTCAAAGTTCGGCGCGTATGCTGAGCCGCGATTAGACGCTGAGGATTGTAGGTTGTAGTCCGTACAATGTAGAAGACTGGACTCTGGTGATGATGATGTTTCGACTGTAGCTGTGCCGTATGCATGCAGGTCGAGGAGGGACATTTTGCCGCGCTTGGCATCGGACTCGACATGATCACAGCTGCAGTATCCATCCGAGACTTATATTGATTCTGTTTCAAAGAAGGCGTGGAGTATTGAAGAAAGATGATTCTTCGGATTGTGTAGAAGACAAGATCCGATCTGGGGATGGGATAGGAAGTTGGGGGAAGGACTAGAAATGGAAGGGACGAATCTGGAATGGATGTCTCTGTCAGGCGGCTATGCACGAAGGGCATGAGTAAACTGATCGGTGTCTAAGAAACATTTCGACTGCAGGAAATAAGAATTGATGATGTGAGATACCAAGTCTATTTCGTTGTGTACTTCTATAATCAGAGTAAATTCTAAGTGGTGAGGTTGGTTAAGAGTCAGGTGATATTGGGTTGGCTGTCCCATTTGATAGCATCGCCTTGGCACTTATAACCGTTCGAGATATCTATAGTGCTAAAGAGGTAGACAGGTGGAGTATAAGAGTGATTACTCCATATAAGCCTTCGTATAGTTCATGTGATAGAAGACAAGCCTTTGGGATAAATTAAGGTGTAACTCAACTCCGTACAAGAAATAAAATGGGGAGAACGGATGGGGCGCAGATCCGTGGTTCTCTCTCGGGTACAGGCGAGGCCAGCCCTGCCAAGTGTCATACACAATAAACCAGGTACTCTTTACTAGACAAATTACTGCACAACCACTACTGATTGCCATGGAGAATAAAGGAAATGATTAGATGATGTATGGAGTAGTATCATTACCGAGTATGTTCATCGAATTGTGACTTTCATGTGATTGTTAAGTCTGATTAGTGTGTACAGAATACATGCGAGGTACTCGTAATGGCCCGGCCCCCTCTATTAAGCGTCCAGCCACCACCAAAGACTGACGATGATGATGATGATGCAATTCTGATTCAACACAACACAAACACTCTCGACATTCTCTACCGAGTAACAATCTACTCTCCTTGCCAATCAATTCCCTCATTTGTTCCATTCCTCTATTGTCTTTGATCATCTCTTCGTACGAGATAGCGCATATCGTCACCCCCGCAAATCCCCGGCATTTCCGACCGACCCTCTCACAGTCCACAGTCCACAGTCCACCCGGACCAACTCTTCGCTTCTCTTCTATTCCCGCCGCCCCCAAACAAACACAACTCAACTCAATCAATCAATCAATCAATCAATCAATCTCCTTACTCTCTCACTCACTCACTTGATCTCGCGCACTCAGTCGCTCACTCGCGCATTTCCTCAGATGTAATCAACCCATCAATCGACCAAGCAATCAGCCAATCGATCACTCAATTCCGCCGTCAGCCTCTCAGGAACCAACAACAACTGCGGCTCCTCCCGTTTCAACCTCACTGGCCCATCATCCAAACTTAGCAACACAAACACAACACAGTCAGCCCGGCGACCCTACTCAGTACTCATAGCCTTGCCATCATCTCCCTCTGATAAACAATCACCTCCAATACAATTACACCACACTTTCACCACACTTGCGACGCATCTCCAACTACCCACCACCTCCCGCCATCGCCATCACTCCCGCGACCACCAAAACAAACACAAACAAACACCGCACCGCACCGCACCCCATCACCGCGCGCACACCACGACCTCTCACCCACACCGGTGACCCCGTCGCCTCACCTAGGCCATCAACCCACATCCACCATGCCCGCCCTTCGCGAGTCCCCAGATGCGCCGGCCTCACAATCACAATCGCAATCCCTCGACCTCGACCTCGACACCCTCGTCCCGCGCGCACCCGCGCTCCCCCTCCCCCTCGACCTCCCCCTCCCCCAACCCGCCTCCCACGCCTCCACCGCCCAAAAGCGCGCAACCACAATCTACCCCGGCATCATCCCCTCGTACTACACCGCCAACGGCCCATCCCCGGGCCTCGTCGTCGGCATCGTGCTCGGCTCCGTCGCGGGATTCCTGCTCGTCGTGTGGCTCCTGTTCTCGCTGTTCGCGCTGTCCGGGAGCAGCGGGGGCATGATGCGGCGCGCGAACATCGCGGGCGAGGAGGAGATCGTTGTGCGGAGGCGGCGGGGGTCCGGGTCTGCGGCGAGGACGTCGAGGAGGAGTACGAGGACGGAGGTTAGGGAGTATAGTCGGAGTCCGAGGCGGAGGAGCCAGACGATTGTGGAGGAGAGGAGAGGGGGTGGGGGAAGGCAGAGGAGCATTGTGGTGGAGGATAGGAGGGTGCCCGGGGACGATGTGGTGGAGGTTATTGAGGAGCATGATCAGTATCGTGAGAGGAGGGGGAGTCGGAGGGGGCCGGGGGGGTATCGGTGAGTGCGTTTTCTTTTTATGAGGATGAGGATGGGGATGATGCTAACAATCTCTTATAGATACTAAACATCCTCCCTTCGAAATCTCCACGCGCAATTGTACATCCTTCCCCTTTCTTCTTCTTGTCAGTTCTCGACTTTCTGATTTTTCTCCCTGTGTATCTGTTCATTTTCTTTCTCGCTGTGGATTTTGCTTCTTGTGTTTTAATTGAAAGGCGAAATGTGTCTGTATGTATGGCTGGCGCCTACGGCGGTTTTATATGAGACCACGCGCTGGGATGGGATGGGATGGGATGGGATGGAGTTGTCTAAGGCATGGTGTTTGTACGGGGCACGGAGGATTCATGTGTATAGTTTGCATGTCACAGTAGCATCAATTGAGAGGAACGATGAATTGCATATATAATTACTCTACTTCCCGTGCTGGGTGACAAACTGACTGCGTGCGCACCACGACCACCGCTCAATAAAACGCCTTCAACCTCTTCTCCCGCCACCACTGCCTCCACTTCGCATTTCGCTTCCCCTCCACAAGCCCCGGCTCCTGCACCTCAACCTCCACATCCTCATCCGTCCACCCGGGCCCCTTCACCTCTGTCCCGTACAGCAAATGCGCAGCCGACATCGCGTGGCCGAACGGGATCTCGCGGCCGCCGCCCTCGACGTCGTCCCGCCCGTCGCGATACACGCGATACACGAAGTGCTCCTCCTTCTCAGGGCCGTTGTTCCACCGCGTCGGGCGATGATACGTGAGCCCCTCGATCGCGATGCTGACGCGCCGGTCGAACACCGTGAAGCGATTTACCATCGCCCAGGTGCGCCAGAGGGCCATGGGTTGCGGGCGTATGGCGCTGCTGGCGAGAGCCCTCGTGGGCCGCATCGTCCACTTTGAGACCTGGCCTTGGTAGCCGACGGCTTCGAGGTGCGGGAGGTGGGACTTGAGGTCCGTGAAGGCGGTCCGGAACACCCAGTTGTGGTCCCAGTGTTCCGGGCCGGTCAGTGTGACGCGTCGGATCAGGACGAGTTGCTTGGGCGCGTGGGAGGACATGAAGGTGAGGAAGCGGGTGAGGTGGGTGAGGTGGATGGAGACGGTCGTGCTGCGGAGGAAGAACTCGCGGGCTTCGTGCTGGATGGCGCGGCAGGTCCAGGTGAGGGCGGCGAAGCCCGTGGGTATGGTGGGCTTGCGGGGGCGGTAGGTGCAGCGTGAGGATTCGGGGCAGAGGCCGGACCATTTGGGGTTGAGGCACAGGAGAGAAGAGCGCGGGTTCACTTCCCGGCAGGGCGTCCAGGTGAATTCGGGGCCGGTGTACTTTTCGTCTACGGCGATGTCTTCGTCTTCGTGGGATGGGGCGTGTCGGTGGACGTGGATAAGGCTGGAGTCGAAGACGTACTTGTAGATTTCGAGTCGTAGTTCACATGGTAGACCGAGGAGGCATGCCTGGGGGTTTTTGGGTTGTGGAGGCGATGAAGATGGAGGTTGTGTTTTTGATTGAAGTGTTTCGAGGTCTTTGTTGGGAAGCTGCTTTGCTGTAGTCTTTCTCTTCTTCGCTGCAGGGGAAGTTTTGCGGATAGGAGTCCTTGTACTAGCTCTTGTCTGTTTCCCTTTGCGAGCACTGTCGCTTCGTAATCCAGGCGCCATTATTCAAATCTTTCTGATTGCAGAAGTATGAAGTAGTTAGTTGGACAATCGATGTTGAGAGCTCCAGTTAGTGGAAGATGATTGAGATGGAACTGGTTTGATCAAGCTGAGCAAAAGTGTGGAGGGGAGCCGGAGTTATGTGTATTCTTATCTACCTAACGAGTCAATGCTATCACGAGATTGGTATGGAAGGAAGTTAAGCTATTGCAAATGCGGTTGACGAAGATGTTGATGTGTGGTCGGTGCCTGGCGTACCCGAGATGAGATGATGAGGTTCAAGGCAACCACGCGCGTTAAGGGGAATCGCCCGAGCATGTGACCAGCAGACCAACCGTCCTCTTAGTCATCACCCTATTCCTGCTCTCCTCCTTGCTAACTAACCCAATCAATCGTCCCTCACGGAGTCTCACCTCACAACCTCATCTTCCCTTGGATATCTACTATTATCTGCCTTGGTGGATTGTGCTGGTCCATCCATACTAACGGTGTGTCTGTACCAATTGCAGACCAGTCTTGTTTCGAACAGCAGATACCCTTTGACAAAATCACTCTGTCCAATCATGTTTATGACCCACCAACTTTTCTTTCCTTAGTCGTCTACGCCGCATCCTTCACATCACATCAATCCATTACTTCCACCTTTTGAACGGCAATCCATGGACCCAAAAACCAGTCTTAGGACTTCGAGATATGCTCCTCGTACTCCTGCTGAAAACCTCGCCTACTCGAGAGCCCAGCGCATCAAGCAGGACAAGGAACAGGCCTCGCGACTGTTCGAACGCCTAAGATGGAAAGCCGATTCCTTGATTGCGTCGTACATTCGAGCAAGTGAAGTTTTATATGCAGAAATTCATCATCACGGCCATCTGGATTCTAGTCGATTTCCATTCACCAGTGGCACTAGCAGCGTAAGCACCTCGTGACGTTGTTCAGCACTCCCCTCGCTTAACAAGACATCACCAGAAGCAAGCAGAGTCCATGTTCAAGGTCGATTTCTTTGAGTTTTACACACTGCTCGAACGCTACCTCACATTGTGCTTTTCAGTCCTCGGAGTTAGTGTCTCCGCAGCAGGACCAAGGACGAATGTGAACGCCCTTCGCTTCATCACCAATCCTGAATTTGCCCGTAGTCGGGTGGAGTCCTCGCATCGATTTCACGCCAACCTCTTGGAAGCAATGGACGACCCAAAGTCTCCATTACATCCTGCCTTTGGTGCCCAAGATATTCGTATACAGCTTGGACTGGCTAAAGACTATCGAAATCACTGGAAGGATGCCGACGAGCAGATCGACAAGAAGCCGTCTGACCTCGGAGATAAACCGTCGGTCAAATTGGGCGATCTTGAGCTCCAGACAATGATTTTGAGCATCCTGATAGGATGCGAAAAAGCCCAGGCTATTGTACTTTCCGCCGATCCGTCTAGCAATGGACAGTCATCAAGCAAAAGCCAGGACTCTGAGCCCAGGGCTTACGAGAGGATGGAGATGGAAGATATCCCTTTTGAGTACATGGACGATGCCATGGAATTGGATTAGGAAGCTATTCCCTGAGCGTCTTCTGTTTCTTTGTATACATCAGCGCACGAAGATACCCAACCGTTAGTTCGAGCAATTAATTCCACATGCATGCTCTCACCACCAGTCCCTATAATAAGAACTGAGGCCACTCCGTTCTCCGAAACGGAGCTTGCCCACAGCCTACGTGAAGTACATGGTTGTTTCCAACTATAAGTTCCGGATCGCGCATAAAAGTCCGCATGCTGGAAAATCGCTTAGAAAACCTCCGTCGCCACAACTCCCGAGAACATCATTCTCGAAATACATCCGCACTATCAGACGACCATTCTGAACCCTACTCCATTTGCTTCGCCTCAACGATGTGTAATGATCGATGAAGGTGTCTATGCATTTCCGCACCACTGTCTGTCGCACCCTCCCGATTTTTCTGGAACGCAAGCACAGATCAACCCCAGCATTGAACTCACGTCACATCATCATTCTTCTACCGCGAGGCTGTTTAGAATAAATTTGCCGCTACGGCTAGAGGGTTGTCAATCCACGTCGACTTGGATTGCCCGTTGTGGATTGAGTGGTCTGAGTGGTCGAGTCAGTGGTTGAAACGATCGTTGCAGGGATGTGGTTGGTTGGATTTGATCAAGTCCGTCGCAGATGGGATTGCGACTTTATGCGCAGGCCCAAAAATAGCCGAAATGTCTTGCAGCACCTGAGCACTTACGAATGGACTTATCGATAGAGTAGGGATAGGAAATTACCTAGGCATAGATTGCAATCATTCAGCTGCGTTGGTATGATCGCATACGTGGATGAATGGAGTATATCAGCAGTGCGACCCTCCTGCTTGAAGGAGAGCTATCCGTCATTCTTTTTTTCCAAAGTACAATCACACTCTTTCAACTATTCTTATAACATCTTAGCCACTATCATTCATTCCTTTTAAATACATACTAGCTACTACCGCTAGCAGTTGCTGTCATATCCAGCTCAAGATATAGCCATGTCGTCACATATGAACGAAGTCACTTCCATGTCCATGGATACCAATCAAGAAACCAAAGACCACAAATCTGACTCTCGAGACCGGGACTCTGGTATCTTCATGTCCGATTCCGAAAACATTCCCCAACTACCATCACGCTTGAACACTACATCAACAACCCCATCACCAACCTCCCAACGCTCATCATCCCTCTCATCAACCTCAACCCTCAGCCCCTCAACCCCCACCGACCGCCGCCTCCGCCGCCCAGCAGAGCTCAACCTAGGCACCTCATCCGCAATCAGCAGCCCGCGGTCAAAATCCGAACTCGAGCTCCGCTACGACCTCATCCGCAACTCGTCCACGCGCTCAAAAGCCGCCTTGAAATCCCCGACCCAGCTCCTCAAAGACCGCCTCAACCTCTCCCCCAAGAAGTCCTCGCACGAAGAGAAGGCGAGGACATTCACGCCCCCGCACGCCATGGCCAACGGGTGTATCCTTCCCGGCCCGGCTACCAGCGGCACCGGTTCCCTCAAAGTGATGGGGACTACGGACGTAAAGGCCCGGACGGAGAAGTCCGGACGACCGGCTTGGTGGTGCAAGTTCGACAAGCTTGTCGTGTTCGATGGCGTGGTTGTCGACGACGAGAGCGGCGAGACGAAGTTCCTGACGAGGACGAGCAAGGGGCTTACGATTGCGAGGAGGAGGGGCGATTGCGAAACTGTGGTTGTGCCGATGGATTGTCAGCACTGCTGCGAGATGCTGAATCGGACGGAGTGGAAGTACGATGTCAGGGTTTGCAAGAGGAGCGTGTGCTGGGATTGCAAGGAGAGGTGTCGGTGGGAGAGTGAGAAGGAGGTGGAGGAGCAGACGCCTGAGGTTGTGGTCGTGAAGATGGAGGCGAAGGTCGAGAGTGCGAGAGATCGCGCGGACAGCGTGTTACAGGAGGATGATATTCGGGAGACGGAGTTGATGTTGAAGATCGGGATTGAAACTCCTCCGAGGAGCCCCTTTGATATGGTCGGTGGCATCGAGGAGAGGATGCTTGAGCCGATTCCCTTGAGGTGAACGTACGGTGGGAGTCTATGGAAGTAAAGGCCTCTGGAAGGTATTCATTATTCGAACAATTTCATGTATATACAATTTCGATGAGCTACTCATGACTATATTCTCTCTTTATTTGATTCTAGAATATGCTGAAATGAAAAACATATGCAATCCAAAACTCCTATTTACATGGTATATATTTAACGCTTTCATCTTTGCGCTTTCTATGCGGCAGCCGCATCCTCAGTCCAATGCGTCATCAACCTATCGATCATCATCTTCACATACTTCACATCCGTGACATTGGGCACCCTGCCAATAGTCTCGCTATCCTTCGCAGTCAACTTCGTCTCATGCGCCAGCGGTCCCTTACTCGGCGTCTTGGGCGCACCATGTCCATACTTACCCTCGAACCAATCCAGTAACTTGATCGGCGGGTTCTTCTTAGGATCCCTATTTGCCCGGAGCCTCTCCATCCACTCACTTGTCGGCAGAACCTCGAACTTGAGTCCCGCGGCAGCGAGCGCCGGGAGCATATCGCGCGTCCAGTGGAAGCGCGTGGGGTTCAAGACGTGGTAAACCAAGTCTGGGTCCTGCTCTCCGGCCTCAGAACGCTCGCCATTGGTGTTGACGCCAGTTACGTCGAGGATGATGCCCGCCGCGTAGTCGACAGGCAACCAGGTCATCTCCTCGTCGAGCGCGGGCAACGCACCCAGCGTGACGGCCGTCTGGATCATCAGGGGGATTCCCTCCGTCGTGTTCCACTCTCCGACATTGCTGTCGCCGACGAGCTGACCGATGCGAAGGTTGCGCGAGAAGGCACCGCCGTCCCGCATCGCGTTCGTCGTGATGTTCTCTGCGACGTACTTGGAGCGCGCGTACCCAGTGCCCTGGACGTGTCGGATGTCTGGGACGGAGCGCTCGGCGACGACGCCGGGCTTAGGGGTTCCACCAGTCGAAGATACGGAAGAGCAGAAGTAGAAGCGGGCGGCGCCGGCGTCGTGCGTCGTCGATTGGCAGAAGGAGATGAGGCGGTGCACGGCGCTGATGTGTTGGGCTTCGAAGCTCGAGACGGAAATGTTGAAGTTAACGGCCCAGGCGCTGTGGATCACGAGTGTGAGGCTGGAGCGGAGTTCCGCGAGACGGGCGGGCGCGAGGCCGAAATCGTCTTTGCTGAGGTCGGAGGAGACGGCCTGCACCTTTGCGAGCTCGGAGGGAGTGAGCTGAATGGAGCGCTGGGCCAGGGAGGATGCAAGGCGTTGGGAGGCTGCTTCGTCGGATCCTGCGCGGATGAAGGCCCATACTGCGGAGACGTTGGGCTTGCGGACGAGCTGGGAGAGGAGGTGGGCTCCAAGGCCACCAGTCACACCAGTCAAAAGCTGCGAGAATGTTAGATGATGAAACTATGTGTGTAGATGGAGTTGATGGATAAACTTACAACGACCTCCTTCTCTGGCTTGGTGGCTTGTTTCCGGTTGAAAGGAGTGAAAGAGTACTTGGAGATCAGATCCCTCATCACTTGATACTCGTCCTTTGCGTTCTCCAACTCTCCTACGCGGAGCCCATTCAGATGACGAGCTAGGCTCCTCACGCTTCCGGTCTCGTACAAGATGTTCTGGCCTAGCTCTGCTTGACGGCCGCCGAGATCGAGCTCCTTCTTCAGGAGACTCCACATCTTCATGCACTGGAGACTGTCGATTCCATAGGCAAAGAAGTCCGAGTCGACAGAGTCCAACTCCGCTCCCACATGTTTCTGGAACCGCTCCAGGAGATACTCTTCCAGTTGAGGCAGCTCGAAAACGAGCGTTCCACCCTCTTCTTGGGTCTCGAACTTAGCGTACGCACCATCAATATAGCTCTTGAACTTTGAGTACATCTGAGCGCGGATGAAGGTTCCCTTGTCGGTACGGGGATAGGCGGTGTCGGCGGGGAGAACGACGACGAGCTCCTTGGGAATGCGAGAGAAGCTTTCCGCTCGGGAGTTGGCGTCCTCGATCGCCGGCCAGACCTTGTCTAGATACTCTTCATCTGAAAGACCGGCGGCCTCATCGGCCTTCACGACAATCAGACCTGGCACGCTCTTTCCGTCGCCGAAGACGACAGCTTCCTGGACGATCGTCTCATGCCTGATTCGCCCTTCGATCGGGATAGGCAACACCTTTTCGCCATTGACGAGCGTAAGCCTGTCGTCCAACCGAGAAACGTACTTCCACAGATCTGGCCTGGTAGGATGCTCGACGAAAAGATCCCTCGTGCGGAACGACCCAGGTGGGTCATCAGAGTTGGTGGTGCTCTTCGACCGCAAGCCGTCGAGTGCGACGCACTCGTAGATTCCCGGCGCGATCTGGTCCATGAGAACGAATTTCCTCACCGAGGGCAGGATGCGGAAATAGCTCCAGTCGTTGTCGCCCTTCGGCCTCTCGGTCGTCATCACGCGACCTGTTTCTGTTCTATTTCGGTGCATGTTAGTGATGTGTAGCTAGAAGAAGGGGTGCAAGGATGACTTACGCGCCGTAGTTACCGTTGAGGTTGACGCCGTTCTGCACGAGCTTGTCTCCTAGGTCGTCTGGACAAGCACTGCCGCCGTACATGACGAAGCTGACGCTTTTGAGAAGATCGATGCCCTCTTGCGAATCTGCAAGTAGTTTCAGAATGTAGGGCACACAGACGAAAAGCTCGGGCTTCACGTGGCTGATCATGGTGATGATGTTTTGCTTTGTCAATGGAAGATTGTAATTGCAGAAGTACATCGGCTTGCCGGAGTAGATGCATCGGAAGGTCTCGTAGAAGGCCTGGCTGTGGAAGAGTGGTGAAGTGGTAAAGCCAACCAAGTTGAAATTTGTCGCGAATGTACCAATGCAGCTTCGGTTGGTGAGGTAGATTGGTTTGGGAAGTCCAGTTGATCCGGATGAGTGGATGATGACTGCGTTCTTGAGTGTCTCCTTGTGCGGGTTGTATGTGCGATGTATTGTGGGTGCATTGACGTTGTAGAATTCTTTCTGTGTAAGGGCATCGAGCACGGCGATATCACGCTCTTTTTTCACTTCTGCCATGACAGCGCTGAACTGTGAGGTGGCCAATACAGCCTTGCATTTGCTCAAGTCCAATAATCGAACAATGGCGTTGCTGGGAAGTCGGGTCGAGAGCAAGAGCACTGCATATCCTAATCTGTTCAAGGCCAAAATCGTGATGATAACCGGCAATCCGGAATTGGAAATAAGACCAACAGTTGGAGATTGGTCGAGAGTTCCATCCTATATTCTATCAATCAGTAATATTCCTAGAAATGCACATCTTGATTAATCCGTACCACTTTGGGGAGGCCTCTCGCGATGAAGGCGTTTGCTGCGGCGTTGACATATCTATCCACAGCTGAAGCAGAATGCTCTTCGTAGTCCGTCAAACCCTCCTTTGGGAAACCTATGAGCGGTGCATTTTTTAATTCTTCCGCACGCTGCCGAATTAATTCATCGATCGTATAGATTTCGTAGTCCTTGGTGACATTAAGACGCTTAGGCACCGTCTCGGTGTGGGTGATAGTCGCTGTTTGGGACATGATTGCAATCCTTCAATCAACGAACTAAAACAACCTCGAAGGAAGCGAACCGAGGCGAAACAGTTGTTGTATGTAGAAATCAGGTACATCGACGCGGGATGAGGGTGATTATCTATAGGGTTGATCCGCTCACGGGACGATCCTAGTTGTTTCCGGTTTTCCGATCTTTCCGATTCCCCTTCCGACCAGTCCTTGGCTTTTCCGTTACTTTCCCTCTCGAGATACATCACAAGGGCAACCATGCATGAACGAAATACCATTTTGTAGGTGAGACCGGAGATCTATTAATTTTCAAACGATCGAATTTAGAGCCTCAAACCAATAGTATCCCGACGTCGTCCGGTTGAAGATACTTTGAGTATGGTGTAAATCCGGGCTCCATCACCTTAATCCGTCGAGCCTGTTCCGGATTTCCAAATGGAGACAAGGATCACCCGCCCGCCAAAACTGTGGAGCGACCCCATGTTTTACAACTCCAACCCACGTCGCCACGAACTCGCCCGCATCTCGAGCCCCCCATGCGAGGTACCAACACGCCGCGTAATACAAAAACCCCAGATTTTCCTTTCATCCTAGGCTCAGTTGCTCCGCCACAAGGTTTTTCCAGCTGTTCACGCAATATGATTCCCGGAACTTGGGTAGATTTTCCGAGAGTCAGATGTACTATCCGCTTCGGGCTATCTAAGTTCCACCTATAGATGCCCATGCCGATGGTTGGACGGACGCTTTCCGCCATGCATTCTGTTCATCGACTGGCCTTTTGTTGTACGATGGGCTTTCCATTCGTGCGGTAACTATGTACTGTACTTGCTTTTTTCGCCATCGGATAGGATGCCGCACTGTGGCAGCAGCCAATCATTAGATCTGTGCTGCGGTTTTCCATGATCCTTTCAAAAGAATGCCACCGAGAAGTGGCAGGAAGATCACATTGTTGTTCCATTACGGGCCAGAATCCCGGGCCTGCCAATGTTTAACAATAGTGTAGTGTAGACTCTATTGTCTATGGTTTGGTTACATAACCTGGGTTCTCTTCGTCAACTATCGTAATGGCAATGCAATGTATATACCTCCAAGCTCTCTTCCTCACAGACGCCGAATCCTACGCCAAAAACGCCTGCGCAATCCATAATACTCCATGCAGCCAAGATGTGTTCCACGCAACCAAATGGACAAGAAAACAGATGAAACGAATCTTAGAACTAACCCATATCCAGCGCAATTCACCTGTCTGGAAACATCAACGTCTTCGGAATTAGTAGAGAGAGCAAGCTCGAATCATCTCAACGAAGATCCGGAATCAGTGATCTCTTCCCTCATTTCAGGATGCTCGTCGGGGCCCTTTTCCGTGAACGTAGCCGGCAGGTGGCCGTGCGCCGCGGCTGTGATTTCGCGCTCGTGATCTGCTGTTCCAATGATCGTATCGAAGATCTTTGACATCATAACACGTTAGCATTGCTCTGAAGCCCTTCGGAAAGAAAGCGTAAGGGGAGTTGGAGACTTACCGGTCCTTCGAACCTGTCGCCAAAGAAGATCCAATATGCGGTTAAGAAGATGATGAAGATGCCTAGTACGGCCGAGACGTAGTTCATCGTGTTGACTGACACAGGTATCGCGGCGGGGAAACAGAAGAACACAGTGGTGACGCCCACGAAGATTACAGCTGTGTAGTTGATGGCGTATCCCCATTTGCCTAGTTGGAAGGGGATGTCTGCTGTTTGGTGCTGGGTCAGGACGGAGCGACCGCGGAGGAGGACGACGGTTATGGGGATCGCGTAGGAGAGATTGAGAAGGATGGTGCATGAGGAGATGTAGGCACCGAATGCGACTGTGGGGCCGAGATAGAGGAGGCCGAAGAGGAGGTTGAAGGCTTGCGTTACGACTATCGCTTCGACGGGGACGTCGAGACCTTTGCGGATGCGGCCGAAGCTGGATATCATTGTTAGTCGAATGCACAAATGGTATTCTCCATTTTGTACGCATAGTGAAGACTGACAATTCAGGGAAGATGACACCCTTGTCTCTGGCCATTGCGTACAAGAGCCGGGAACCACTGGTCATGCTGCCGAGTGTGCCATTGACGAAGCAGACTGAGAGCATGAGTGTCATAATGACAGTCGCCGCACGATTGTTAGTAGCTTGGTATATCAACTCAACGATCGCTAGGCCAGTCTTTGTGCTGAAGACTCTGTCGGGATCTGTCAAGCTGAACAGCATAACCAAAATGAATATTGTTCCACTAAAGTATGATCAGCCCGATTCAACAGATATATACCGAGCAAGTTCAATGTCAACAGTGAGTTGTCAAAATACTTACGTTACACCTCCAACAATGATGGACAAGAGAATAGCGATGGGAGCATCCTTCCTCGGCGATGGCATCTCCTCCGTCATATGCATAATCACATCGTATCCGATCAAACTGAGAGCAGACTGTAGTAGGCCAAGGATCCAAGCAACTCCATCAGAATATCCCGTGTTATTTGCAAAATCCGTAAAGACGAACTCGGCGCTGTTCTTGTCCGATGTAGCGAGGATCACGACGCTGATTACGACACATCCAAGAATGGACCAATACACTGTTACAATTAGACAGATGTACCTCGCACGAGATTTCTTCAATCGATGGAAAGACAAAACGACTGAAGACGAGAATACTGTGAAGGGGGGCTCGACTCACAAGCGCAATCATTGTACTTTCCCAGGATACGGTTCCCAAAGATATTGACGAGCATGGCATACGTCGATACCGCCACAAAGATCAAATATGTTTTCCACGCCTCAATCACATAGGAACCCCCCGACCCCACCACTGCAGCGGCAGAGATGAATTGAGCCGCGAAGAAGGCTTCCGTGGTGACGAGGGTGAGCCATCCCGCAATGTTCGTCCATCCGCACCAGAAGCTGACCGAGTTTCGCCACTTCTCTGTACAAAGAGCCTACAGCCAGGTCAGTCGAAAGTCGCAAGTTTCCTTGAGTGCATGTGGTGTTTCTGGTATTACGAGATTGTGGATGGGCTCACATATGTGAAATGGTACTGTCCACCTGCCGTGGGCCAGATACTAGCCATCTCTCCCATGCTAGCACCAAGACATAGTGCTGCGAGAACGCAGAAGATAAAACCGTATACGAAGGAAACTGACCCTCCACTGGGCATGACGAGTCCGATGCTGCCTGCCAGGCAAATCCACGTACTTGATGCATTCAGGTCAGCATTTGGAGATGTAATGATTTCCCGACAGAGTCGAAGAGACTACGAGAGATTGATTACTTTAAGATTGCGAAGCTCATTCCAACCATGGTGAGCTTATTGAGACGGGGTACCAGGTGCCCTTCTGCATTCGAATCGGGTTCTCCGATAGTGGAGTGGTTCGAAACCACTGGTGATGGGGCAGATTTCTTCATGATGTGCAGAAGAAAGTAATGATTGCAATGATTCTATGAAATTATAACACATTCACAAAAAGGATGCTCAGGTGCAAGTGAGGTTCAATAAGGACACAGATGGTAGTGGCGAAGTGCCGCCTACTTGCAGACAGGATAAACAACTACATCCTTAACATATGGCATCACACAATCAGTAGTGCCGTACAGCATTCTGTCCACCTCGGGCAGCGTAGTCGGACCCGCAATGAGCATCTGGACCTCTCCACGGAGGCTGAAATCTGGAAAGACTGTCAATTTCGAGATAAGCGACACAAGATTTCCATGTGGCTTGGCGCACGCTTGTCTGGGGAACGTCCCCAAAAAGTACGGGGACCCCGCATTCCACTGTGTTTCAACGCTGCTCCCACGCAACTACGTCGCGTGGAGGAGACTCCTAACACCACGCTATTACCTAAAAACCTCGAATGGTTTTGCCAGATTCGATGTAGAATCTACAGGCTTGCACGAATGGGTACTTGGCATTAGATATACTTTTAGGTATACGTGCTCTACACCAATCCATCGTGTACCTCAGCCACTGCCGTAGATCTATTGCGATATTATGATGCATACTGTGAAGAGAAGCATAAAGTGAGCAGGAGATGATAGTTTTTATCGCTGCAACGTTCCTGTCGATGTTTGCAGCGTACACTTCAGCCGCTCACACAAAATGGGTTCATGCCTTTACCCCTCTCCATAGTGCATCGCCGCGCTAGGTCAAGTCGGTCGAGTAAAACCACGCCGGCTTCAATAGTGATGATCCTATGTCTAAGACGTTTGAATAATGCCCCCTCTCAAAGATAAGGCTAAATGATTCGAATTACTCGTAGCCCTACCTAATAATGGTACGGGTACGAATAATGGTACAGGCACGAATAATGGGAGCGCCGTTATTGTATCAAGTATGCCTAAAGCGACACGTGCATAGTGATTGGCGAGACATCAGTAACGTCTACCATCTCATGGGTGTGGAGGGAGACATCCCACATGCATCACGCATAATATAAATAGGGCCCCAAAGGGGCCAAAGGGGTGTCTAACACATTATATAGTACCAATAGCTGTGGCGGCAAAGTTCTATGTCCGCCTCTACCACCTCCGTCGTGGGAGAAGTGTTGATGTGGTTCAGTCTGGTCAACGACATAGCAGCAAGCTCAATGACCAATTTAAGGCTTCAAAGTAAACATACTATACGAAGCTCATCTATAAAAGAGTGTAATTTCACATTGCCTGTTTGCATTCTGCAATTTGGTTCTAGTTGCCTCATAAATGTTGTACTAGGGGACAATGCATCACGAAGTTGCGCAGCGTATTGACGAAAAGGCGTTTCATATTTTGCCTACAGTGCATTATGTCATCATGTCCGCAGCATGCCCAATCACAAAGTCTGTTCTCAGACACAGGTTCACGTACGTGTCGATGTGGTACTTATGGAAAGGTATTGCGTGCACTAATGAACTGACCAATCAGTGCAGGTTCCGTTGACTTCCATAAAGAGACGCCCGTTTGACATGACAACCGCGCCCTGTTGTCAATACTAAGAGAATTTTGCGCAAAGAGTTTTCCAACAGCAGAAGGGTAAAACCTCATGTATAATAGCAATAATATAGAAAGAATGTTCGCTATAAGAAGAACTTTGCTCCCTCCAACATTTATTTCATCCAAAATCCCCAATTTATTGAACATCTCACAACTGCAATTGAGCATCACCAACGCATTGACCACCTATCGTCGTCCCAATCCAGTCACAATGTCAACTCTCCAAAATGTATCCCATCACCTCGACAACGCGCGCATCGCGCCCGAGATATTCAAGCTTCGACCTGACTACCGCGCGCTCCTCATCGTAGTAACCGGAATCCCACCAAGCGCCAGCGACTCGGTCAGCGAGTCCATTCTCTCGGGCGCTGAATCATCCGCCAAGGCTGCATTGTCGCAGACACCCGTCACATCTATTCCCCACGTCGCCGCCTGGCAAGAAGCCTACAAAGCTTTCGGAGCGAAGCCGAAGAAGACCAAAAACAGTCTTGAGGCTCTGCTCCGCCGCGTGGATGCTGGCCTTCCGCGCGTGAATAGATTGACCGACATATACAACGCCATCTCCATCAAGCACCAGGTCCCCGTTGGCGGCGAGGATCTCGATAAATACCAAGGGGCGCCCTTTTTGATCTGCGCAAAGGGCGACGAGACCTTCGATACGACGGCTAGTGGAGAGGCTGTCGTCGAGAATCCTAGTCCTGGTGAGGCGGTTTGGTGTGACAATGGTGGTGTCACGTGCAGACGCTGGAACTGGCGGCAATGCTCGAGGACGGCGTTGACGGACAATACGAAGAATGTGTTGTTCATCATCGATGCTCTGGGTCCATTGAATGACGAGGCTTTGAATGCGGCTGCTGATGAGCTGTGTGGCGAACTCAGCAAGTTGTCGGACCAGGTACAAGTGTCTCGACGACTGCTTGCTGCACCATAGATGCCGTTTCTTGTTGTTCAATGTTCAAATATTCGTTCGCAATTGGAGTGTAACGATTGTTGTATTATTTTTGGTGGCGTCCTTAGACTTATTTGTTCAGATAGTTCGAGATAGAGCTAGGGATGACCAGGTGTCATTGCACCCAGCCTGCTTGATCGCTTTATCACGACATACCCATGTAGACTAGGAATTGAATCAAGACACTCACATACTTCAACAAAAATCTTCTAGATCATTTTATACCACGAATACACCGCAAATGCTCCTCTGACTCTGCAATGCACCCACAAAACCTACGCCTCGCCAATGCTACACAATTCTCAATCGCCCACGCACCCTCCTAACCGAACTGCGGCTCCTGCTTAGCACCCTCACTGGCCCCAAGATAACCCGCCCTATCCTTCGTATAAAACTCCACATCGATTTTATTTCCCAGGCTCGCGGCGCCGCCGTCCAGCCCACCAGCCTTGACGCACGTGACGTCTGGCATGACCTCGAGCTCCGTGTAGAGGCTGGAGCCGCAGCGGGGACAGAAGAAGTGCTTGTTGATCTTTCCGGAGGCGCCTACGGCGTCCCATGTGTTTGGTTTTCCTTAGGAAGATCTTAGTACGGGAGACTGGTTTGCCAAAGGGAAGGAGAAGTACGGACCCTTGGTGACGCTGAAGCTTTCACGGGGCACGACGGCGTTGGAGGTGAAGGCTCCGCCGGTCCATTTTTGGCAGTCGATGCAGTGGCAGAGTGCAGTTACTTTTGGCTCGCCTTTTCGAGTTCATACTCAGTCAGCGATATGTTAAAGATGGGTGGTTGTGGGGGGAGTTCTCATTCAGAGTTCTAGTTGACATACCAGTGAATTGGTACTCGATATCCCCGCAAGCGCAGCTACCTTTGGTCGACATGATTAGTATTGAGATTGTATAGAGTTCTTGATAAAGTATAAAGATGCGAGTTCTTGCAAATTACAGTGATACAATTTGGTAGTTAGTTAGCTGCTTTTATATGATTGGGAGTCAGAAAACTTCTCCCTTTCCCCGGAGGCGGTCGCAGGGATCGGCTGTCACACTTATGCACCGTCACGATCCGTCTGCGGGGTCAGTTTAACGCGCCAATTCATTGTGGAGCTGCCTACCTGAAGTAGGATGGTAAACATGCAAGGAGATATGCGATACAAAATTGTTCATCGTACGATGGGTACGAGTGCATTTGGATGATGACGTAGATAACGCTGCCCCTCGGCGGGGTTTGTATACTTGTAAGACAAACGTCCATAGAATTGAGAACTCTTCAGTCGAACACAGTGCGCCATGAAAAAATGCTTCGAGGGTACGCTTTTCAAACCGACCAGTATCAAACTCATAACGAATTTGAAAATTTTGGCTCCTTTGAAAAGTGCGACGTCCTATCTCGTAATACAACAGTGTAGTAAGCCGCTATGCCCAAAGGTTTTAAGAAGGCCCCAATTGCTCTTACAATGACCCGGTAAAAAAGACGCACAAAATGCCGGACCAATCAGAGTGATTTTCCGCTTTGGCCAATAGTAGCCATTCTGGACTCAGCATTATGAAGAAATAAACAATAGGCTAATAATTATCATAGAAACGACCCGTCATCTCGGATGACTCCAGGATCTATGAGATGAACAGGCAACAATCCAATCGTCTACGGCTTCTTCAATGCACTGCATTGTTGTTCGTCGTTTTGGTGGTACAAGACAACAAATGCGTGCAACGCTAGGGTCTGTTGCCTGATTTATCCTGGAGAGTTCGGTTCAGTTTCGCAAAAGGAGTGAATATAAAAGCTGCAATCAATGTACCCAGATTCATTTTTTCACAATATCTTTTGTATCAATTTTGCAGCGATAATCGAATTATCTCCAAAGCTCTACCAGAACAATGGGGTTAGTCGTTCTAAGCACACAATAATCCTTCTTGTTTACTGATGTGTTGCTCTCAAGTTACACGCACTACTGGACCGTAAAGGACTACGAAAAATGGATTTCCATATGGGAATTTCTCGTACCCGACGTTCGCAAGATCGTCCAGGCGGCTAATGTAGAACTGAGCGATGGCTCCGACGACGAATCGCTGCCTGCGGTAATTGACGAAGAGAAAGGCATCGACATCAACGGGAGAGGAGATCTGTACGTTACCAATAATCCAATCCAAGTCTTTGCATTTGACCACGTTGCAAGATGGTCAAATATTACCAAGCATCGTCGTCTGATGAAGAAAATTCCGCAGAGCGCACGAACAGTTTCATCTGGAACGAGACACCGACGCCAAAATGGATTTCACGAAAACCGCCAGGAAACCATACGACCTCGTTGTTGCCACCATCTTGATCCGAGCAAAAGTATTGATGAAAGCTGGGATTGTTGTCGAGTAAGCATCCTTCTCCTGCCAATGATTCTCCCATCATTGTCATTTCACGCCGATCCAATGATTAACGCTCTCTCGTGATATGTGTAGGTCTGATGGGACCTGGGACGATGATTGGCTTGAGGCGAGGCAACTGTATGCGAGCTTGTGGCCCGAGGATATATTGGAGGGTATATTAGGAAAAGAGTAGATTTCATGTATATAAACATGGACCTTAATTCCCAAGCTACGAGATGAAATGGTTACAATAAATGCAACAACCTATCACGGCAGATTTTAACATTGAACAGACACAATGAACGAAGTGTTACATGACGTATGTCTTGACTTGGGCACTATAGCAAACATATGCAGTCTCTGGGACCAGAGAGTCACCGAACTATAGGGTTTCTAGATATCATCTGGTGCGGGACTTGAGACTCAATTTCCTGTTCATAAGATGATTGGAGGTAGCCTGGGAGAAATGAAGGACGAATGGGCTGTCAGCCTAGTGCACAGACCATTGACATTGCATATAACAAACTCAAAACCACGACTTCAGTTGAACTACGCCGCTTTTCGTCTTTTCATCTTCACAGAACTAAAGATGTCATCTGTATGGGATTCTGTGCCGGCAGAGATATACGACCAAGGTTACACCCTTACTTTCAAAATCGTTCCGAAATCGCTAACTCCTTTCAAAAGATCTTTTCTCACTTTGCGGTTCCCGTTGACTTCGACTACCATAGCAACCGGCCAGACAGTGCTGAATATGCACACACTTTCGACTACGTTCGTTACATGGGCCGGCCTGAACCATTTGGCTATGAGTTTCGCTCGTATCCACGCCCAGGTGAGATGCAAGTGCGACTCGTCTGTCGCGCCTTCGACCGTGCAATGACGCGTGCATATTTTCAGCATGAGGACGCCATATTGGAAGCGTGGAACCCTACTCTAGAGCAAAAGCTTGACGATTTTGTTGTTGGGACCAGGAGGGCTATTGCTCCCTTCGTGTCTCGCCTGAGGATCGATCTTTCGCCACTTCAGGGGACGGGTGAAGCAAGTTTATTCGATACCCAACGCCGATACGATTACAATAGCATAAGCCAAGAGAGACAACTGAAACTTATGAATCCATCTCTGCGCAACTTTCTTCCCAGGCTCGAAGACATCGTGGCGAAGATGCCGAAATTGAAACGCCTCGTCATTGAGATCCCGGACGAGTGGCGGAGTGATGGCCCTGCTGAGATAGACTTTGACGTTGATGAAGACGCTGAAGAGGTGGGCATGATTCTGGAGCTTGACCTGCTTGAACTTGTGCGCGACAGCATTGCGAATATGTTCTCTTCACCCCGCATCAATCTTCCTCTCCTCACATATCTACGCCTGACGCTACCAAGCACCTACGATTTCTCCATCATTGGGCCGAAGATACCTGAAACCGTGGCACTACAGCTTCGCCATTTGTATCTTGAATACATCGATGGGACAGGCCGTTACGGAGATCTCCAATACACGCACGGGCTAGATGACTCTGACACCGAGGGCGACGAAGAGCATCCCTTTTCCAACCTACAACACCGCTTTCCAAATACCGCATATATGCGTGACATGTGCGCGCTGGTCAACCGTTGCCGCAACCTCGAGTCTCTCGGACTCCACTGCACCCAACCGTTAGACCTCGACCACCTAGAATGGCTCCCAACAGCCTCCCAAGGTCTGAAAAACATATACATCGCACGTGCCGTCACAACTGCCGAGAAGCTGATCTCGCTCATCACGCCGTCCATAATCGAGGGATTCCACATCCAAGACGTCTCCCTCACGTCGGGGACATGGGAGTCCGTTTTCGGGATCCTTCGCGCATGTCCATCGCTCAAGTACTTCCACGTGTTTAACTTAATCTACTCCAAGCACGGCAAGTCACGTAATCGTATGGAGCACAATAATCGCCCATGGGAGAATGTCGATTTCATGTGGTCTCACTGCACGGAAGACTGGCGTAGGTTCGGAGATGTGGTACGCGCGGTGCAGAAACGCGGTGGATTAGTAGATGAAGATACGGATGGAAAGGCACTTGAGGTTGAGGTGGAAAGATATTATGGTTTTGTCGAGGATGGTAATTGAGACTATTTATAAAGTACACCAGCGCATGCAAGCTACCATCCTTGGCGTTTCGGCTCAGTTTAACTAGAGGAATTCTCAACGAGCTACTAACCTTCCATTGACATCCCATCCACAATTCTATTGTTGCTATCTGATAGACAACCAATTATCGAGACCCTCATAAATATCTTGCAGTGTGCATACCATTTGACGCATCATGTCATCCCGGAAGCCACATTCTAAATCACGTTTTGGTTGCTTGCCATGCAAAAAGAGACATATAAAGGTACAACCTAATCTTTCTTTAGGCATGACGATCATCGAATGATGAGGGATCAATTGCGCGTATCTCTTTGTTGTCAAACCGCTCACATTGCTTCAACAGTGCGGAGAAGAACAACCTTCATGCCACAATTGCAGCAAACGTCGCGTGTGTTGCACCTACGGACTATCCCAGGCAACCGCTACTGGACATGCTTCGCGAGCGAATAGCGAAGAAAGAGCGCATACGCAAGATAGCCTGCTTCAAATCCCCTTGACATGCCATTGCATGCAGGATCCGTTGATCCAGACTCCTGCCAAGGTCACGAGGCTCCAGGAACTGCAGTTGATAATTCATTATACGACAACAACGTGCAATAGTATGGCACATAACCTCGATGACATTGAAATATGGAGAAGAATTGTTCCAGAGGAAGCCGTACGTCACGAATTTCTCATGGATGGACTTCTCGCACTCTCCTCGCTTCATCTCGCCGACGAAAGCCCAGATTTGCGGTGGCATTACACCGAGATTGCCACTCACTACCACAGTTCCGGGTTACGAAAATATAGAGATGCTTTAGAAATGATTTCCAGCGACAATAGTATCGCCATCTTTGCATTTTCCATTATTATTACCATTCTGGCGCTAGCATTCCCAAGGTCATGCTCCGTACCAACCCATACTTCGCTCGCCGAAAGTATGGTGAGCATGTTTGAACTCCTCCGAGGAACGCGACTCATATCCCAAGGAACCGGTTCATCTTTTCGAGAAGGAAAGCTTGCGGCACTCTTTCAGCCAAATTCCCAGGACCCCGGATTACCCACACCTAGCGGCGATACTGATCATGCATTAATTAGACTCCGTGAGCGGGCGAATAGCTTCATCACATTCGAAAACCCTGAGAGACACGAAGCCTATCTCTCTGGTATCGAGACCCTCAAGACAGCCTTTGGTCAAATGGAAATGTCCCGATATTACCTTGGCCCCGTTATCGCCTGGCCGACAATGGTCAGCGAGAAACTGTTCGCATTGTTTAAAGACGATGATCCTATGGCTAAGCTCATCATCATTCATTATGGAGTACTACTGCTCTACGCTCGTGATCGTTGGTGGGGGAGAGATATCGGAACGAGTCTCATTGAGACTCTCGCCAATTCACTGTGCGATGCGGACCCGGCATGGGCGAGTTGGACCGAGTGGGCAAGAGAGGCAGCTACGCTCGCAACTCATGAGCCCGACCCGCCGCTGATGCCGAGCGATTTATAGACCGAAAGGTGAATGTCAGAATAAATCTTTATCCTAACTTGACTCTAGAAGAAATACGTATGAGCTAGCGTGAGTCTAAACTTGAGATGACCTTAACAGAATATGGCAGAGATGAATGGCCCGCCGAAATCCTTGTAAAGTGGAAATCTACGCCAGAGTAATTATTCGCATTATTACTAGCTCAGGACACGGAAACAAGCTCTAACACGCATTGACTGACTCTTCAGTAGTTTCTCGGAAACGAAGCATGCGAGACTACAAGAACACACATTCGTATCTACTTCTAATTGTTAACAGTGCCATCATCTCCTCCAAATTGTATTATTTCGCGCTTTCCATCTCCAGCGCTCTCCTCAACCCCCCTTTTCCACCTATTCAAGCTAGAGAGGTAAGGGAATAAACCGAAACGACATTGCGGACAGCCTTTCCGTTACCACTTTTCAGCCGCGCTGTTATTTCACTCGGATGGATCCACGCCAAAAGTACCATCGTCGCCAGCATGAGTACCGAATCAAATATGTACAAAAACACTTCGTGAGAGATGAGATATCCATCGTTGCCTTGTGCATATTCAATCAACCGAAACAGGGAACGGACTAGGATAAGCAAGCTTGCGCCGTAAAGCGCCTGCAGCTGCCTCTCCCATGGTATAGGCTGCATTATAACTCTAGATGTCGGACATTTGCGCATGCGGATGTGAAAGATTGCACTCGTGACGACGAAGCAGCCAAAGAATAGGAGCTGCACCACGAGGCCGCCAATTATGATCCTTTCACCCGTATTCAAGGCGCTCACCGTGCCGCTCGCCATGATGCCTCCACCTACAGTAACTCGTTAGCAAGATTTATACTGCCGTGCATTTGGAGAAGCATGAGACATTACCAGCACCTTGCATCAAGAAGGATACAACATCCCCAGCCACGAATATCTTTGTAAGCCATCTCTTCCGAATTATCGAGTGCGCCTCGCCGTCGGTGACCAGGATTATCCGTCCAAGCATCATATAGATACTCGCCGCGTATAGGGCCGGGGCAACGAGCAGGAGGATCGTCTGTAAAGAGTATGTGGGGACTTTCCAGTCTGGCGATTCGGCGGACGATTTTGCTCTCTATTCATGTGGCCAAATCAGCTTAACTTCATGGTATCGTTGCTACATAATACTTACTCCGATATATCCAATGCATTGAACTAAAAGAGGTCGGTCAGTAAAGAGCTGAAAGCTTCGCCAGATTAAACGTACAGAAGCCGCCAACAACAAAAGGAATAAAGATCCACGCCCGAGTACGTATCATCTGATAGGTATGGACTGCTGTGATCAATAGAAAAAGGATGATGAAGATGACAGCAGCTGCCATTGATGGCTCGTAGCGGTAGAGTTTGAAGTCGACATGTTCGTCTGCCATTTTGCAGGACTGCTTTCCGATCGAAGGCAAATGGTGAACGGATCGATGGAATACTACCAGTGGGTATAATAAACGAACGAAGAACGATCCTGTAAATTGCAATGAAGTGAAGAGAAGGGCTCAGTAAATGTAAGTGGTTTGCTCAGGACGAAACAGATATGCATTATATAGTCACAATGATAGAATTTCGAAGAGCACCTACAAAGATATTTGTTTAGACGGGTACCTTTAGAGACAGGGCGATCTTAAAAAATGCGTATAATACGTACCGATCTGATGCTGATTGGACGAGCGGGGTCGAGGAATGGATTCAGCTAACCATAAAACTCTAGTCACATTTCCTAAACCTACACTGACTGCGTACGACAGTTACGCGATACGCACTCGTACTCGTAGCCCCACACAGTATCCGCATTGATATTTCAAGACAGCGAACGTTAGAATAGTAGTGAGCAGCAAATACACCAGGAGCCAAAATTTGAATGGCTCGTCTAATTTTAGTGTAGTATATTGAGCGATGTGCCTTTGGACAAGTGCCCATTGGCTTGCTTGGTCGGAGTAATGGCAATCGAATCAGGGGCTCGAAAAGCCATCACCTCACAACACTGGCTTCATTCATTCATTCTTGATCTTACCCAGCCAATTTTGTTTCCCTTTGGTGTGTCGTCTTCTTTCTTAGAATACTGCCATATCCCTTAGTATACAAGACGATGGAAGCCAGGCAACGACAAATCCGAAAGCGAGTCTGTAAAGCTTGCGATCGCTGTCGTCTCAAGAAATCAAAGGTATTTCTCCAATCCCCCGTCTTCTATTGCACCTAACGGATCACAGTGCAGTGGCATGGCTCCATGTAATCGCTGTAAGACAGATGATGCTATTTGTATCTTTACAAGGAGGCGCAATCATAAGGATAAATCGTATCCTAAGGGGTAAGCTTTCACTCTTTCGCTGCCGGCTTGAAAGTATGTTAAATTGGGGTCGCAGATATGTAGAGATTCTTGAGCAACAACAAGCCCAACTCGTGGCCGGTCTTCGAGAACTTTATAGTCGGTTACAATGCGGCCAGGGCTGGCCGGGACCACCACTGAGCAAAGCAGAAAGCGGCCATCCTCTCACGCACGACATCCTCGACCGACTAGACCTCCCTCTCCCCCATAGCGAGCATCAGAATACCCATGATTCATCAGAAATCGATTCATTGGAAGCCGGCTCACCGGAAAGCCTCTGCACTGTGATGAAGCCTGAACTTCTTGAGAGCTGTGCACCATCTACTGAGATCCTCAGATCCATAAGCCCTGATTCAGACCTTGGCCGTCCTTCTTCACTCCGTTCATCACACAGTGGCATAATAAGCGAGAGGCTGTTACGAGATAACAACGACCACACTACGAACAAACACCCCACGATGCTTCCACCCTACGATCTTTACGACGGTTCACAAGAGGCGCCAATTATAAGCCAGGAACTGTCAATGGCCTCCTCGTTAGCTCTGGAGAATGAGGTTCTGGATCCGTCGACTATGGAATATGCAGAATGGATAACCCACCAGGTCACAAAACAGGAACTTTTTGATTCGAGATCCCAACTGGTGTGCACGTTTGATGCCTTTAGTGGTGACTTCAGCGTCAATGATGTAGTGTAACACCAGGCACATTGTTTCCTTCAAGCCTAGCGAATAGTAGTGACTTGACGGATAACGTTCTATCAAAGGTATATTGGGATATTAAACCTTGCAGATATTCACTTTAACAAATTATTTGGGACGATGTTTCACTCGGTGGATTTGCACAGGAAATGAATTCATAATTAGGAGAAGAACCGTTCTAGGCAGGAATTTATGAATTCTATTGCATGTCTCTACCCTTCCCTACTATGAACGTTCCTGCATACCTGATTTTATATAGTATTATCATGTATTGTAATCGTACCGTCATAGGACGAGAGTCGGGTTATACATTTGTTGTAAGACACGTAGCGAGCCCGTAGCAGTAGTTACCCTTGAATTTGTAAGTCAATATTGATCTCGGCTCTGGTTCATGATAACGGGCCATGGCGGTGGCGACTTGCTTTATCGGCGAAATGGCTTGAACGCGTATGGAAAAGAAAGCATCACGCGCATTGTGACAAGAAGTCTTGATTGACGATCGACTCAATTGGTGGGGTGACATCGAGCTGTGCACCGAGTTGTGCTCCGGTTGAATAGGAGTAAAGAGGAGTGGTTATTCTTCTATTATGACAAACTTGCCTGCACTGTATAATAGAGAGAGATGAGAATATAGGAAATTCGTGATAATATCCGTGGATGACTTTTGAGATCAAAAGAATCAAATTCCATGGATATAGAACAAAACGCCATGCTAAGTGTAGACTTGCTGAAAATGCTATGACTATATACGTATCATCGTTATCGGTATTGTCGAACTTCAACTTCTTTAATTTCTTTCCGCGCGGGCGGCGGTTGTGGTGCTGGTGGCGGTGGTGGGAGGAGGGCCAAGGGTGGTGCCCTGGACTCACGGAGATCTACTTCTCGTTCAAGTTCAGACATGTCGTGGAATTTGCCAACGTGTTTGACGAGAGAATCGACTGTGCGGCAAATAGCATCGACGTCGCGATGTTTGTTGCATAGGATACAAGCGTACTGTCCGTCCGCTGTGTGGCACTTGATAACGAAGCGTTGTCCGAGGTGAAACTCCCTTGTCTCCAAGACCTCTTTCTCGTAGCCACCGTCGCTTATCAGCACTGGGAACCGCTTCCCAATCTGCCAGAAATCATCGGCAGTAGCGTCTACGCACAGTCCGCATGCAGGGCACCGGCAGTTCCCACCTGGCGCAAAATCGGCAGCGAGTGGCTTGTGTGGAATGTACTGAAGGTCCAAGCTGTATCTACAGAAGAGCGGGTCTGCCTCCACGATGGTAGAGGCACGCTTCGGCGCCGACAACGCGCGTGGAGGAGGTCCTTCGATAGAAAGCCTTTGTTGTTGTTGCCTAAGCGCATCGAGTGAACCCTCCCGTGCGGAATTTGAGGCAGCAACAAGTTTGGCCATGTCCGCTCGTGTGAGGGGGCGGTCATTGTAGAGAGCATCTTGCAGAACGTGAATGACAGTCTGCTGCAATGCAATGACCTGTGCTTGCAACTTATTCTCCGTAATCTGATCCCCAACAGCGAACCTACGGCCCAGGTGACCGTAGCCTTCGTCGTATTGTCGTTGGATGAGGGCACCGGACCGCTCGAAATTATCCCCAACCTCGTCGCGCCGCCGCATCTGCTCCTCACGTTCCTTGCTGCGCTTCTCGGTCTGCTCGATCTGTTCCTTGAGCTTCTTGATCTCACCATCCTGCTTGCTATCTCTTTTGGTCTGTTTCCTTTTCTCATTCACGCGATCCCAGAGGCCCATTGAGGAGGTAAATGTGCCAATGAGAGTTGAGCACAGTGTTGCAATTATGAATGTTTTCTATGTGGTGTTAGTTGTAAACATAGGCAGTGTAAAGGACAAGGAGCTGTACTTTGAGGTTTTTCTCCTCAATCATGTTGGCGTAATTCATTTTGGCGTGGTGTTGCGCGTTCGCGACTGCTACGGATCTTGTTATGACTGGCGGAGTGAGAAGATCTATATTATCGGCATACACGGAGAGCAACCGCTAACTATCAAAGAGAAGGGTCACAAATGACTAGCAAATGGAAGAATCGGGGAAGAGCAACGACGAACACCAGGAAGAGGGAGGGAGGATGGGTAAGTGGAGGGTAAAGACGGGAAGGAGGATGCTTGGAGGGTATAATGTCAACGACAGCCGTCCGCCCGTGGGGTGTCGTTCATAGTGTTGACACCATTTTAGGGGGGCGGGGACGGCCTTGAAGACGGTAAAATGAACGTGTCCGATTGCTCAATGGGCGCATGGTGGTGAGAGTTTCCGCAGCACCTAAGCTGACCGCAACTTCGCACTGGCAATAATTCAAGGGTAATGGGGGAGGGCGAGGGTGGCCCATGGACGAGAAGGATTGATGGATGATCGTGTCGTGTTTCGGGCAATCTGGCTTACTACGTCATAACGTTCGCCCAGCCTGCCATGCTCACCCACATCGACCTTGGATTCACACCGTCTCCGTAATATTGCATGCCTCCATTACAATAACAGCATCCCGATCCGTTTTCGTTTTGCGCGAGTCGAATCAAGCTTCTTCGCTCTCCACTAGTCCATCATAAGGTAGTCTTTGGTGCGCGAATCACCTCCACTACCTGTAGGTCACAGTACGTGTAGAGCTGCACGACGCAGACGCACGCAAGCCGCGAATGATCCACATGACGAACCGAAGACTGTGCGTTATCGACTCTGCCTGTAGATTATCGCAAGGATTATATCGCACGGCCTAGTTTGCTAATTTGACACTTGTTGCAGGTCATAGTGTAACATTATCGCTCATGGTCAAGGTCATGGGGAGAAACCATGGCCATAGTCATAGCCTGAGTGCACTGCTCAATGCATGGGCACATGCGGCACAGTCCATAACTAGGATACCGTCACTGTGTCCAATGTATGAAAGACTCTTGGTAGTTCTCGACGTGTACACAGTACTGTGTAGATACCGTGTAAAGAACGTGGAACAGTCGTAGACAGATTTAGGCGAGACCCTGGGCGCCTAATGTAGATCCCCAAGTTTCATATTCCAAAGGTATACCAACTCCTCGCGAGCTGCACACAAGCCTGCATCACTTCTGGTGAGGCTCGACCGCCATCCACCGTTCTATTAAGAACCTCGGCTTCGATCGTCTTGCGGAAATCTGCCTCCTTGAACGGCCCATCGCTCGGTCTGACCCTGAAGTTCTCTGCTTCGATCGGCTCCATCAACTTGCGCTTGTGTCTAGCCATTCCTTTCAAATCACTTCGCCAGAGCGCTTCGTACACCTGCAGGGTTCCCCAAACCAGATAAAGATTCAAATCTTTGACAAGTCGGCCATGATCTCGGCTGCTGCGAAATGCATTTTTGAACATAATGCCATCGCTGATGAACAACAAAGGATCGTTCTGTCCGATATCGCCCAAGATTGGCAGCTCCCAAAACACTCGAGCGCGGGGATGCAATTGACACCAGTAAACGATCAAATGCAGATCTTGCGAACCGCTATCCTCCCACATCACAAGCGCATGCATCGAAGAGTGTAGGTTGCGAAGGTGGACTTGTCGTACACAATCCTGCCATTTAGCATGGCACATGTCGAGAAATCCTAGGAACTGCACTGCTGGCATCCTTTCTATGTGTTTGCCATGCCGACTTGGTCCGGCCACAAAGGTCAGCTCATCGTTCATTTGGAGTTCAAGGCCGGCAACTTCATGGTAGAGTGCCCGGCAAGTGTACTTCAATTGGTTCCACTCAACAGCAGATTCCAGAGATGGCGACAAGATAGCTTTATAGTCATCGTAGCGTTGGTAGAACAGCCCATCGGGTGAATACAAAGCATAAGTATATATCAGGTCCCGCAATTCTCGAGGTAAATCCAAGAGCCTGCATGTCGGCGGCGGTGCGAGGGCTGAGGTAGTCATGATCAAATCAAGAAAGACAAAGTCCTTTTCCTCGATTGCCTCAAGGTATGTGCCGATTGGAGATTTTGGACAAAGACTTGACGGACTTTTCACAAAGAAAATGCCAGAGTCGACCTGCGCACGTGGGCAATGAGTGAGTGGGATGCCCGGAACAAGGAAGAGCGACTTTGTGGTCCGTGCGCTCGGATAATCGTGAGCTTTCGTTGCCTCATCAACTGACATCATAACAACCCACTTCACCCACCCGCTTAAGCCTGCGCACATTCTGGCCGATTAAGTATACAGCACTGGTCTAACAACACAACCGCGCATTTCCTTTCTACGTTCCTTGCACAACCCTCACAACATGGCTGATGCGCGCGGAGAGTACTGGTACTTCGACCCCGAGGTCGACCCGTCAAAGATCACTGTCCCAGAGCTGCGCAGTATCTTGTTGAAGCACGGCGTGACCTATCCTTCTTCTGCAAAGAAGGCCATTCTTCTCGACCACTTTCGAGAGCAGGTACTCCCTCAAGCAGACAAAATTCAACGCGCGCAGGCTCGGACAAAGCGCTCCACCAGAGGCATCGTCGATGTTCCCTCAAGCCAGGAGAGTACAACGACAGAGGACCCCGAAGATGACACTCTACTTGCCCCTCCTCCGCCTTCCACAGTCCGACGCACGTCGAGGCGTACCAGGGCTGCCACTGAGGAGGAGCATGATCTTCCTACCACTCGCTCAAAGACCCCTTCTCGGACTGTCCCTACAAAGCATGCACGCACATCTGACCTAGAACCGGAGGATCAGCCTGCAGTTCGCCGTAACCGCAAGTCGGTGACTCCAGCCGTGAAGCAGGATTCTCCTGACCCCGAATCATGGCATAACCATGATATTGAGAGTCCTTTCACCCAAGACAACCCTTTCCAAAGCGGCAGCTCGCCGGTAGCCCCGGATACAGTTTCACGCGATCGCAGACGGAAGACCATAGGGTTCGAACATAAAGAGAAGCGGAAGAGTGATACACATCGGCGCAGGACAGTTCAGCCCAGCGCTGAGCAACTTGACGATGGCATCATTGTTCCGACTCGCCGGACCTTCGATGTTCCCATCAAACAAGAGTATAAGGAGGAAGAGCTTCCAGAGCCAGATGATAATGATTTGGGTGAAGAGTTCACGCCCGAAGAGCAATTATCGCTGGTCCGCGAACGAGCTAAGAACGGCGAGAAAGACATTCTACCTCCACGCCGGCGAAAACAACCCTCTAAAGCTAGTGGCACGCTGAAGGCATTTTCCCTTACCTTGCTCAGCACAACAGCCGCAGTCTTAGGCGGATTGTGGAGGCAGGAAAAGTACGCCGTAGGCTTCTGCGGCATCGGTCGAGAGTCTACATACTTGGCAAATCTTGATATCCCGGAATGGGCGAGCCCAGCTCTTCCCCAGTGCGAACCCTGCCCCCCACATGCTATCTGTTACCAGAATCTGGAGCTTTTGTGTGACAAAGATTTCGTCAAGAAAGAGCACCCGCTTTCATTTGGAGGTTTGATACCTCTGCCCCCGACCTGTGAACCCGATAGCGAGAAAACGCGACGCGTTACCCTAGTCGCAGATCGAGCTGTGCATGCTCTACGAGAGCGGAAAGCGCAGTTTGAGTGCGGAGAGCCTGATAAGGAGGGAAAGCCAGTGCAGAGTCCAGAAGTCTCTGAGACAGAGCTCAAGGAGAAGCTTTCTTCCGTGAAGAGGAAGGGCATGTCTGACGACGAGTTCGAAAACCTGTTCAGGGACGCTATTGGAGAGGTAGTTCGACGTGAGGAGGTTGCCGAGCACACCAACGGGTAAGTACTTTCCTATATTCCTAATTGTAACGTTTCTGACTCGAGACTGTACTAATCAGTCTTGTCGCTGCCCATACAGAACCACCGGCGACCGACGACTCGCATCAAACTCCCTTGCAGAACTCCCCCTCGGATGCAGCATCAAACGATCCCTCCGACAAGCAGTGGAGCGACATCTTTGGCAGCTTGCTCTAATCGTATTGTTGTTGGGGTCGGGGTCCTATGGGCGCTATTCATTCACTGCAAACCGTGCCATGGAAGTCCGCGCAAAGCAGCTCGCCAGCGATGTCTTCGATCGGCTTGCAAATCATGCCGCCTTCAATCACCAAGACCCAAGTGCGTATCCAGAGCTTGGGATTAGCATGACCCAGCTTCGTGACGATATTTTGAGGGCAGAGTTCTCCGCTGCCCGTCGCCAGAAGATGTGGCAGAAGGTGCAGAAGAAGGTTGAGCACAATTCAAATGTACGCGCTGCGGTCAAAGAAACCCAGACAGGCGACGTTGCCCGAATGTGGGAATGGGTTGGACCTGTCCAGATGATTGAGGACGGTCGGGGCGCTGGAAACAAGCGCCAGAGCGGACGTTACAGCTTCGGGCCGGCCATCCCAAGCAGTCCCCCAGACAGTGCTGCTCGACAGGTGAAACAAGAGCTAAAGACTTGGGATGAAGGCCGGCCTATTTACTGAACTTATTTCTTTCTTTAATTTCTATTGCTGTAGCACGCCTCTACCTTCGTTTGAGTCAACGTGTTTATTTTTGGTCTTAGACGGCGAACGAACATTCGGCCTTTTCTTGAGATACCACACCATAGGGTACTTCCGTTACTATCTATTGTCAACAATCCATTCTATCGTCGAATCACATTGACAACCATGCGATCTATCTGCAAAACAGTGCAATTGTCCGCTCGAATGCATTGACGCATCAACATGCGAGAATAGAAGGGACTGTGCGAGGCATTCCGTGAACGGCGTCGATGAGATAAAACATGCCCACAGAGGGGGTTACCGAGTTGCATATCGTCATTCGCAACCGTGAATAATTCGCCGATCGATCTCCACTCATCTTCGAGTAATTACTCGTGCTCGCACTAGAGAGACCTTGATGTTCAGTGTGCGGATTAAAATTAATCCGGGTCACGTGTGCACACACCGAGGAAGCGAGTGGACGAATTTCAACCACAATCATCTCCCGCTATCCGAATTAACGACAACGCCACGCCCAACCCACCAAACGAAAGACACATATTCGTCAAGATGGTGAGTGTTACAGGTTTCTCTTGAGAGTATTATTTATTACAGGCTTCTCGTTCTTGATATACTCGCGACATGGACATGCGATGGCGACTACAGGCTGCACGACGGTTCCGATACTCGACGATTCCCGTTTTCGATTACGAAATGATGCTTGCAATAAACGGACAACGACAGGCAGCGAAATAGGACAACGATGCTGAAGATTGACGGAGAGGAAGATGTCATGCTATCCAGAGTCTGGAAAGCAATGGAGACTTGCAATGGCTGAGGGATCAGTTTGCCTGGATTCGTAACAGCACTTCATCGCCTGTGGTGGAGATCCGCAAAATTCAACCGCCTACCACCATCGCTTCCACAGATGTCAGAAATGTCTGTCAACACTTGCTTCAAAGACATTTGCAACTTTGGTATCTGCAAAGGAACGACGCAATCTCGAGCCGAGATTCCTTCATTCCGATGAACCCACGTTATCTCGCGGAAATCACATCGTTCTCGAATTTCGATCGTCGCATGTCCATGTCGTTCGCCTATCATAAACGAAGCCAAAAAAAATATTCGACTCTCAGGGATTGGCATACATGGTGGAAGATTGCTAACACCGCATCCAGGTGAACATTCCCAAGACCAGGAGGACCTACTGCAAGGGCAAGCAATGCCAGAAGCACACTCGTGGGTAGCCCTTTTCACAATATTAGCACAATCGATCCACTGACGCGACACTTCGCAGAGCACAAGGTCACCCAGTACAAGGCTGGTAAGGCTTCGCTGTTCGCCCAGGGAAAGAGGCGTTACGACCGCAAGCAGTCCGGTTACGGAGGTCAGACCAAGCCCGTTTTCCACAAGCGTGCTAAGACAACGAGTACGTATACTCACGAATCAATTTCAACTGTGATACACGTCTGACACCCTCCGCAGAGAAGGTTGTGCTCCGACTTGAGTGCACTGCCTGCAAGACCAAGGCACAGCTCGCTCTCAAGCGATGCAAGCACTTCGAGCTTGGTGGTGACAAGAAGACCAAGGGTGCCGCTCTCGTCTTCTAAGCGCATTGTCATTTTGTGCAGCAGGCAGGCGTGGTTTCTCAATTCGAACTTTCTCTCTCCTTGTGTGGGCACCACCTCGGCGCAATCATCGGAAAGCATCATGGGACGGGAAAGGAAGGCCCCCCTCAATCGGATTTCGTATTGATGAACGGTGTGGCGAATATGAAAATTAGGTGGAAGGGAACAGATGATGACGGTCATGATCATGGACTGTAGCATACAAACAAAACACCCAAATGGAATGCGATTGAAGGCCTTCTGAAAGTAAAACTCATTGTCCCCTAAGTTGCATTCGTGTCAAAAGGGTCATCCGGATCTAATGCTGGGTGACGAAGTACTCACTGATGAAATTATTGCGTGCCGCGGGGTTCCATCGCGAAGAATGTCCACCCAGCCATTAGCACCCCTTCTCCGTTAGATACTGATAGGATTGAAGGCAAGACCTTCCAATCCTTCGATATCTAGCTAATTGTCGCGATCTTACGCCTGGTGCACATGCAAGGATAACACTACAAGTGTCGAGTCATATTTGAGTTTGTTGGCATACATACAATCTGTACATCAGAAGCTAATGCTATATTCAACGGCACATCTACGCACTCGCCTCCGCAGTAGACATCCTCTCAGCGACACTCCCCTTCTTCCACGCAAGCTGGGGATCCTTCTGATCCTTAACCTTACTCTCCTCACCTGCCTTGCCCCAAGCGCCACCACCAGGCGTATAAATGATGATCCTTTCACCCGGCTGCATACTCGCCGTATTCTTCGCACCCATATTGATATACCTATACTCCACGCCCTCCTTCTCCTCTCCTCCAGGATGAACAATGCCCTCCTCCTCCGCCTGCAGCTCCTCAACCGTCTGATCTCTACTCGCCTCCCCACCGCCATTCGCAGCACCCCCAGCCTTAGAATCCGAATTCCTATCCACAGCCTTTCTATCCACCTTCCTCGCCCAGATATTCAACCCACACGCCGCGTCGCCTCCGCCTTCAAGCCCATACGGATGATACACTCTCCTCTCGCTGAGAATGCTAACCTGCACGGGGATGCGGAACTCGATGTCGCGGATGACGCCCTCGCCGCCATTGTGCGCGCCCACGCCCGCGCTTCCCGTCCGCAACCCAAACTCCCGCAGTAGCACCGGGTACCGCCGCTCGAAGACCTCCGAGTCGGTGATCCGCGTGTTGGTCATGTGCGTGTGCACGCCGCTGGTGCCGTTCCAGGTCGGGCCGGCGCCTGACCCGCCTGCGATCGTCTCGTAGTATCCGAAGCCTTTGGTTTCTTTGCGGGAGGGGGAGGAGGAGGTGCCGTCGGGGGAGAAGACGGTGCCGCCGAAGCCGAAGGTCAGGTTGTTGGTGTCGCCTTGGGAGGCGGCGCACGCGCGGAAGGCTTTCAGCACGACGTCCGTTACGCGTTGCGATGTGAGGACGTTGCCGCCGACGACGGCGGCGTTGTCGCTTGGGGAAAGGAAGGACTTCTTGGGTATGAGGACGGTGATTGGCGCGAGGCAGCCTTGGTTGAGGGGGATGTCTTCGGAGATGAGACACCGGAGGCAGTAGATGATGGCGGAGTATGTGACGGCTTCTGGGGCGTTAATGTTGGCGTAGACTTCTGGGCCTGTGCCACTGAAGTCGAAGGTCGCTTCGCCCTTGTTGGGGTCGATGGTGACTTTCAGTTTGATGGGCGAGCCGTCGTCCATGTAGTCTATCGCGGACAGATCTTGCCCCTCAAAGCGCTTGTAGACTTGCTTGAGGAGATGGCGGACTGAATTCTCGGCATTGGCTTGGATGTTGCGCATGTAGAATTGGACAACCTCCTCGCCGTAGTCGGACATCAGCGTCGAGATCAGGTTGATTCCTTTCTGGTTCGCGGCGACTTGCGCTTTGAGGTCGTTGATGTTATCGCTGAGGCATCTTGTTCCCGAGCAGCCGGGATATTGGCCTGGCTCGTCGAGAAGTAGTTCTGTGATGCGTTTCTCGTTGAAGTGGCCTTCAGACACGAGCTTCTCTGACTTGATAGCTGCACCCTCTTGATACAGTTCTCGTGACATAGGAGGCATCGATCCGGGGAGAATTCCGCCAATGTCGGCGTGGTGAGCACGTGAAGCGACATAGAAAATGATCTTGTCCCCAGAAAATGCTGGAGTGATCACCGTTATGTCGGGGAGATGGGTGCCTCCAAACATGGGGTGGTTGGAGACGATCACGTCACCCTTCTTCAACTTGCCTTTCCATATCGCGGCTTGTTTGCGCACGCATGTCGACATACTGCCCAGATGGACCGGAAGATGGGGTGCTGCAATATGTTAGAATTGTTTTGAATGTACTCGTGATATAAACTTACCGTTAGCTACGAGACCTCCATCGGCATCGAACAGAGCGCAGGAGTAGTCGAGACGTTCTTTCACGTTGGTGCTGACACTAGTCTTTTGCAATGCCCGTCCCATCTGTTCGGCAATGGCCATGAAACGATGGGCGAAAATACTCAAAAGAATTGGATCCACCTCCTTAGTATCGATCTGCTTGTCCTGGCCATCACTCTCACCAATGTTGATGATGACGTGGGTATTGATCAAGAGTGCAGAGGCTCCCGGCGTGACTACGATAGTCTGGGTACCGTCTGCAATAATCGCTGGGCCCTGGAGGCGATCACCAACAGCTAGGTCCTCGAGCTTGTAGATCGAAGTCTCTTGCCGGCCTCCCTCAAAGTATACCTGTTTGGTGCCATATCGCTTATCCTCTCGGGCTAAATCGCGGGGCTTGATCTCCTTGAGCTGTTGGTCGACTGTCTTCTCGAGACCTTCAAACGTCTTGCCAATGCCTCGGGCCCGCACATCATCCACGATGATATCTCTATCGGGAAGGGTGAAACCAAACTCCTGTTCGTGCTGCTTAACGAATGCCTTATCAAAAGCCCACTCATCACCTCCGAAGTCTTTGTCGGCCTCCTCTTTCGAAGGCTTGACAATCATCAAGGCAGACTCGGTTCCACGATATCGCAAATTGAGGTACTCCTCAAAGTGTATCTGGCCTTCCTCGAAGCCTTGATCTTTCAGGGTTGCAATCGACTTTGACTTCAATTCATTCATCTTTTGCTGGAGGTATTCCCGAACCTCTTTGTCATCGGACCACACCTTCGACTCAGGCTCCTGCCTCTCGTCTACGACATCTGCGAGAGCCATACCGTAGGCCGAAAGCACAGACGAGTATCTGTGGATCAAGATCTGCGATATACCGAGCGCTTCGGCAATAGCAACGGCGTGCTGACCACCAGCACCTCCGAACGTTGCCAGGCGATGCTTGGACGTGTCATGGCCTCGAGCCTCGGTCAGACTTCGTATAGGTCGGGTCATTGTCTCGTTGGCGATCTTGATAAACCCATACGCTACTTCGTCTAGCGACATCTCCTTATCCTTGCTTCCACCAGAAACCTCCTTGTTTATGGTAGCAGCCAATTCTTTGAACAGCTTCTCGCTCGCCTCCGAATCTAGGCCTTCGTCCTCGTTCTTGCCGAAGATCTTTGGGAAGAAATCTGGCAGCAGGCGACCGAGGAAGAGATTGGCATCAGTGATGGTCAAAGGTCCACCTTTACGGTAGCATGCCGGGCCAGGGTGAGCGGATGCAGATTCAGGGCCCACGACGAAAAGGCCATTCTTCCAGAACAACCTCGAGCCACCGCCTGCTGCGACAGTATTGATGTCTAGTTGAGGCGACTGGATGGTAACACCAGCCGTGGTCGTCTCAAAAACGTGATCGTACCGTCCCGCACCATACCGACTGACGTCAGTACTTGTGCCGCCCATATCGAAACCTATGACGGGAATCTTGGTGTTGGGGTCGTAAGAAGTCAGGGCATATCCTACGACACCGCCAGCGGGGCCGGACAGGATTGCTTTCAGGCCAGAGAATATATCCACATCCACTAGACCGCCATCGGATTGCATGAATTCGCAACGTGCGCCTTTAGATCCTTCTTCGCGCTTGACGCTCTTAGTCCCCAGTCCACCTTCGAAGCCTTTCGAAAATCCGTCAATGTACTTCCGAATCGCCGGGGTGAGGTAGGCGTCTGCACACGCAGAGGTAGCTCGAGGGACAAGCTTAATCATGGGCATGAGTTCATGGCTCAAACTGACATGCTCAAATCCGATCTCTTTCGCTATTCGACCGACTAAAGCTTCGTGGTTTGGATAGGTGTAACCATGCATGAGACACACGGCAATACTTCGTAAACCGCCATCGTATACCTCCTGTAGTTGTTTCCGTATCGCTTCATCCCGAGGACGCTGTAATATCCGCACTGTCTCGCCTGACAGTCCTGTGACGAGTGTAGCATCTGCACCTGCTTTCTCGATCGATTCTGCTTCCGTACGAGTGCGCTCCGGATCCTCAGCATAATCTTCGAGCGTCACGCGCTCGTCAATCTCCACCACCTTTTTGTATAAGACCTCTGGCTTCCGAATGTCGAGCGCGAAGATATTCGGCCGCGACTGGTTTCCTATCGTGAGGCAGTCTTTGAAGCCTTTCGTCACAACCAGAGCGATATCCTCTCCCTTTCGTTCTAATAGCGCATTGGTGGCTACTGTCGTACCCATCCGAATGCTTTCGATCTTCGATGTATCTAAGGGCTCGCCGCGAGGAATTTCCTTGCCGGTGAATTGTGAAAGAAGTCGGCGGATGCCTTCGAGGGGCGCGTCATCGTAGTTTGAAGGGTCCACCGAGAGGAGCTTTATGAGGACATCGTCCTCCATCTTTCCTGTTCCTGGGTTGCCCACGCAATCTGTGAAAGTGCCGCCGCGGTCTATGGCAATGCGAATCCCGCGCCCTGCTTGCTTTGCGGAGGCCATGATTGGAAGACAAGTAGGCTTTTAGAATGGTAGAAAGGAATAAATGGAAACAGACGGTAATTATGAAGATATGACTACAGTATGGACTACGTAAATATATAAAAGGGATTGTCACGCAGTAATTGCGCAATAGTGGGGTGCGCTCGTAAGGTGCGGCAATAGGTAGATATAATTGAAGCTTACTGGGGAGCTCGGACCGATGACGGCAGTGGGGTAATACTCGTACAAAAAGTAAACTTTGCCCTCCGCCCTCTACTGTGCAGGTAACAAATCACCATCCTCATCGCAAACTCAGCACTTCGCATTTTGACACTAGCATGGCTGCGTCGTAATGATAATATGGAACTGTCCAATAACAAACGAAAGGATTTACCTCTTGAGGTGCACTATTATGTTATTGAGGACGTTGTTCGGAGGTGGAGCTCCGCTTGATGAGATCGGCAAATTCCGTCGCCATCGGCAATGTCGTTGTCGGCAATGACCACGAGAGTCGAGAGATGAAGCTTCCGATGCAACGTCGACATGGAAAACAGCTAAATGTTTAGGTATTGCAGGTGAGCCTGCGAGGTCTCACCAAGGATGACTTCGTATGTATAGGGAAACGAATAGGCCCCTGTGTGCAAGAGATAGGCAGCGGGAGAACAGGAATCCGCGTCGCAATTATCTGATTTCCAGACAGTAACTGTACTGTGAAGTTAGATGTAACGACGATCATCGACTCACTACCCAAAGATATTCTTGTTCGAGATCGAGGATACGGGTCGATCCCGGGATATTCAAGACATGTACGTACTGTGTCCGGGTCCTAAGATCGACACGGAAGGAAGGTATCATCGTTCGGTGAACTTTGAACGAACGTAGATGGGAGCATAAGGCCATTGTAAGCGGAGAATAACAAATCATCCTATTATATTGATAATGATTTCGAGAATGCGCTCGTACGAGGAATTAGCAGTAACAGGTTCTCGTACCTACTCGTATAATACACTCCACACACGGCATTCGCGATACTTGTTATCATAGTTACTAACTTCCCTGTTGGTCCGAAAACAGATTAGTGCTTCTCTCTTTTGCGTTCCCAATAGACGCCCTTCCTCGTTGACCAAGTCGAAAGAAATGATACTTTCATAACAATCATTTTCTGAATGATATTTTTTTAGGTTCTCTTTGTATTCGACTTGACAATGTCGACCGCGGCTCAACTTCATAGTTCGCACATCGCCGCAACCTCTAACAGGACCGGACTTTATGCGCATCCATGCACCAATTAGATTCACGAATAACGGCAGGGATGGGAGTGAATTCACATAAAACCTACATCGGGATATTAGAAACATATGAATACTCAGCAAATTTTATGCAACCTCATTCAGCAGAAAGCACGATCTCTAGTCTGATTTTGGAAACAGGAGTCCGCAAGAAACACCCCAAATGACCGTCCTCACTGGCAATGCCGGAGGGCACCAGCCCATATATTCAAGTCTAGTCCACCTTATGCCCACAAAGTTTTGCGATCTTCAATTATCTATCTATCTCCAATTTGATCAGATTTGAGTTTCTTTCTCACATTCATTCTGTTGCTGCTCAATCATTTCGTCCGGCACCTGGGTCGTACTTCAAGGAACTCCACTCACTCATTCTAAACCTTTACATGCTGCGTATGATCGCATCACTACCACACACACCAACAACAAACAGGTACTATGAGACTCCAATTCTTTCCAGAAGTTTCTATTTTACTGGCATCAACACTCCTCTCTGCCGAGGCAACATCCACTCCACCTAGTGGCGAACGAGTATTGCGGGCTGCCACACGGAGTTCGGATCTATACCGACGGAGCAACAAGATCGAAAAGAAGTACTCGGCCTCCCTATCATATGTTGACGGTATGTTATGCATAGTCCCAGTATTATGCATTCTATTGATAGCGATTGCAGGAGCAAATGGCCAGACTGTATTTGCATCCCAGGTCAAAGTCGGCTCTGAGAGACCTGTATTGAAGCTGGAAGATATTGATCATCATCTTCAAGATGTAGAGTGCAAGGGTGATTCAATGAAGCTTCGCTTTGGTGATAAGGTTCATGCCAGAGATACACGAAATGCTTGCCACGGCGGCGTGATAATCACCTCTCATGAGGGCTGCAACGCCGAGGGTGAACGCTCGTTCTACAAGTAGGTCCGACTGTATGAAGAGTTGGGATTCATAATTGACAATCCCAGGGTCGATAAAGTAGACGAAGCTGATGACGGTCTCACGCTCGATCTGATAATCATCTCGAAAGAATGGGAAGAGGCATTTTCGAGCGTTACAATCGACTTCGGGAGCACCGATGAGAGCCATATCATCAGACGACACGAAGATTTTCGAAAGTTGCGTATGCTTCGCAGGCAAGACCCAACTCCGACAGCGCCTCCTCAAATGCTGGCATTGAGTGTCCCCACAGACGATCCAGCAGATATCAAAAATGCCACCTTAGACATCGCGTCTTCAAACATCAACACGACCTTTGGTTCAGACAGGTTCTTGAGCGGTCTCGCAGATCTTACGGCACAGCCAGATTTGCCCGTAGATATCGGATGCAAGAATTGCACTACCACAGGTAACATCGTTCTCAGCAGAGGCTCCATCGACGTCGACATGAGCACGCTCATCTTTGGTATCGACAAAGGCCACAAGAAGCCCCGACTGAGTGCAATCAAAAGCGGATTCTTTGAGTTAGCCGCCAATGATGTCAGCGCACATATTGAGCTTTTCGCTCAGCTCAAGCGAGGTGGATCGTACGACATTGAATATCTTGCAATCCCGGTGGTTGGTTTTGCCATTCCAAACGTCGGAAAGGCAGGTCTCACGTATACTGCTGCCATCCACGCAGCTTTCAATATGTCTGATAGCCCATTGGAACTGAATACGGGCTTTGCAATGAAGGTCTGAATCCTAGGCCCATGCAAATCTTATCTTGCGCACTCATGCTAATGTTCCTCCAGGTTCCCGAGAAATCGTCCATCAGGCTTGACCTCGCGAATCTACCTGCCAGCGGTATCTTTGGCTTTCCCAACACCACACTGACGCCTCTACCCACGATGGCTGGGGTGAGTGATCTTGATATGTTCTTCGACCTCAGCATGAGAGCTGCCGTCAACGTCGGCTTCGACGTACTTAGCAGATTCCAAGCCGAGGTCTCCATCAACCTGGATCTCCCCAAGTCCAACCTCCGGCTCACGACTGAACCCGACCCCAGCTGTGCTGCACCAGCACCACTACCACCAGCAGTTCAGGCTCCGGCTCCGGCTCCAGCTCCTCCAGCGGCACCTGCACCTGCACCTCCAGCAGCACCGCCAGCAGCACCGCCAGTAGCACCGCCAGCAGCACCGCCAGCAGCACCACCACCAGCACCGCCAGCAGCACCACCACCAGCACCTCCAGCAGCACTGCCAGCACCAGAAGTACCAAGCAATCCAGTCGCTCCTTCACAAGGCGGACTCACACCACGTGACGCCAAACCCCTCCAGGTGACAGCAGAAAACATCGGCGTCGCCATCGGCGTGGAAATGGTTCTCAACCTCCCCCTCCTCGAACCCGCCAGCACCCGCATCCCCATCTTCGAGACTGCAAGCACGTTCGACAAGTCCTGCAACCCTACATCAGCCCCCTCTCCCATTCAAAACAGGAACAACCCCCTCAGTGACAACAGCCCCGTCCCGGCCCTGGCCACACCCCCAGCACTCGACTTCCGCCATGCCTTCCCTCCCTATCCGGTACCAGAGAACGACACGATCCTGCCATCGGGCTCGGGAGCCCCATCTGCTACTTACGGCTTCAATCCCTCTGCAACGTACGGAAACCCTTACTCCACCGCCACGGGAACAGGGGCAGGAAACAATTCGCTGCCTGAGTTCACGGGCAGTGCCGCGAAAACGACTATGGTGTCGCCTATCTTCGGCGGTTCGCTCGTGTGGCAGAGTCTTGTCGTTTCGTTGGCGGCGTTGGCGGGCGCGATGTGCGTGCTATGATTTTGCACTGGAAGGATGGGAAGTGGTGACGGTGATGATTCATGAATGGAGCGTATTGAATGTTTTTATCTTGTCTATACCCTGTTTTGATTACTTTTCTTTCTTTTACGGGGTTTTCCTGGTCCATGGGCGGTAAAGTGTGCCTATCAATCTACTGTGGACGAGGGTGGGAATTGTCGTTTACGAGCAACTTGGGCATTAGGAGTTCAGGGGAATCGTAATTCTAAGGAATCATAAAGCAATAGTTATTTGTGCAGTTCATGGAGTGTAGTAAGACACCGTCAAAGTTTGACCTATTCAAGAAAATAGATAACTTCACAATTGATAAAGCTTTCTGTACATTCTTGTGCAGTTGGTTTTGGTCTCTTCAAATTTCTGTTTCTTAAACTTGAGAAAAACCCTTGAAAATTCGCATAGCGACCATTTCCATTTTTAATCACATCTCATAATGTAGTGAATCATTAAAAAAATATCTTCCATGGACTTTAGTTATTATTACTTTGTTTATTGTTGTGTAGGGGGAGAATTGCAGACGCGACCATTGCTACACGCGCAACGCCAACCGAGAAGCAAAGAGACCAAGACAGAGCATAGCATGACAGCAATACCACTCTCTGCACCCTCTACCATATCAAGGGCGCAAAGAAACGAGAACATCAAGCAATCCCATCGTCACCTTCTACACTATCATCCTCCAAACTCTCCCTAATTACCTTCCTAAGCTTCTCCGCCTTCGCGCCCCTCACCCCCTCCACAATAAATCCATCCTTAAATACGCTAAAAGTCGGCAAGAAAGTGACGCCTAGTTCGTGAGCGAGATCCGGCGCCTGCTCGACGTCGAAGGTGTAGAAGCGCACGTCTGGGAAATCGGAGATCATCGACTGGACTGCGGGCGCGATGGCGGCGCATTGTGCGCACCAGGGGGCTGTGGCTTGGAGGATGGTAACGCCGGGATGGGAGATAGCGGCGTGATAGTCGGCTTTGGAGGAGAGGACGGGGAGGGGGGTGGAGGTGGTGGTCATTGTTGTTGTTTTTGGGTTTTTGATGTGTAACGTATGCTTGGAAATTGGTGCTTGCGGGGGAGTTGGTGAGGGATTTTCTTTGTGGGGGTTGGAGAATTATCTGGGCATTGGTTGTATCAATGATGGAGGTTTATGTTCAGTGTATTGTCTTCCTTGACCGAAGACAGAGTAATAGTAGTGGATAAGTACGAGTAAAGTACAGTAGTGACTCGGGCGGTCGGGGTTGGGTCAACTAGATGCCGTCCGCTACTCGCCCATCGGATAGTGTTCATCGCTGTTCGACTCTGCTTCTAGACGCATCATCGCCTGGTTATTTCTGTGTATGACACGTCTCATGTTGTTAAGAACAGCGTTCATCTCGTGTATAGTCTCTTCCAGTTCTTTTTCAGCTTCCTGTTGTCTTTCTCCCTCGTCACGTAATGCGTCGAGCGCCTCAGAGATGGTGTCAAATTGAGCATATCCGCGTTTCGATATCTTGATATGCAATGTTCCATGGCCTGGCCGAACTTGCTCATATCTGAGTTCCATGGTGAATCTGAAACAGAGTTCGACAAGAATGGCGAGTAAAAGACACGCAATCAAGGTTGTCCAACCCGGAGGATAGAACATCGAAGCAAACTCAGTTAAGGTGGATGCTACGAATGCCATGTCATTGCTTGATAGCGGTTATGAGTGAGTGTATACTGATGAATCTGTGCGTGGATTATGAGTGGTGGATGGGTGGTAACAAAAGAGTTGTTAGGCTATTAAGATATTGTGAATGTTTTGATTGAAAGCAGAACACCAGAAAACAGACTGGTCATAACATACAAGCACGAGATGTTTGGGAAAGTGCAACTTAAGATTCGCTCTTGCATTGCTTCACGGGGTAGCCTACACGGTAAGTTCGCTCCAGGTGCCTAGAATTCCCGGGCTCAACGATATTCACAGCATTGATGGACAGACTTTGGGCAAAATTTCCACTGATCAAAAGCAGAGGAGAGGATTAAAAAAGGAGACATACTTAGCACTCCAATCAAATACTTGATGCCTTGGGCGGCTGCTTTGGTCACACCCACCGGTGTACAATTGGCTGCTGGGTATAATGTTACAAGGGGAATGTGATTGCCTGTATGCCTATGTCATGGTGTCAAGATGGACACATCAGGTCTAATTGAAGCGATTTGCATTAATATAAATATCTCTCGCATATAGATAGGTAGGTAATTTCAAGTGAGACTTACATCCGTGGGCAGTCGAGGCCGAAATAAAGAAGTCAAAGTCGCTGAAAGAAATCGGTACTGTAATTGCACAATAGAAGTTTAGTCCGAGCTCTTAGCAAGAGCCCACATGCTGTCCATCTTGCTCCTCCCGAGGAGCTCCTTGGCCTCACCCTCGGTCTCGCACATCTTGGCTACCCATTTTCGAAATGCTCGCTGCTTGACTTCACCTTCGAAGACAAGCGTGCATTTGTTATGGGATAGGTCCTTGAGGTTTCCCTTCTCGTCGACCGACTTCATCCATTGCGGGTCGGCGGCTTGTTTCTCCTCCTGGATTTCGGTTGGCTTGCCATTCTCGGTCCATTTTATACGTTGGAGCATGAGCTTCTTATATTTCTGGATAGAGTGCACCCCTCCTTCAACAATGACTAGATTCATGGTGGGATTCATTATCGTCATACCGGTAAGGGCGTTTTGTTTGGCATTGATATCAATCTGATATCTGTGTTTGCTGAATGCCAAGGTGTTGATCTTGAATGCGCACATGTACACGCCTTTCTGTGCGTCCTTCTGTTGATTTTCGGCGAGTTTCGCGTGCCGCTGTTCCTTCGTCAACTTCCTTTCTTCGTTCGCCTGCTCGTGCTTGTCCTGCCTCTCCTGGATCTGGGATTCGACGAGCATCTCCACGGCTGTAGGATCTGCGATTGCTTGTTCGCCCATGACACGCATCATGTTACCACGTTTGACCTTTGGTGGGGGTGGGGGCTCGAGGCCAAGTCGAATCTTCGCCTGCTGCTCTTTGTGCTCTTCTGCACGCCGCATTCGTCGGAGCTTAGCTTGCTCTTTGGACGTCAGATACATGGGTTTTACTTCGACTAGCCTTTGGTCTTGCGGCGCTTTTAGGAGCACAGGATGCTGGACGTATAAGGTAATGATTGAATCGTCGCCGTCAATCTTAATTTTCGAAGGGTCGTCAATGCAGTCATACGTCTTGTCCTCAAGTATACCTTCGTCCCACCACTCGACATCTGGGGGCTGTTGCACTAGAAATCCTCGCTCGCTATTCTCATCTAAGCCGGCCTGGCGTGATTGCTTCGCTAGCATGGCTTTGATCTGCTCTAATCGACCCTGTGCGCGCAATTTCGACGCCTGGTCCAGATATTTGCCTCGTTGGTTGAACAGAAGACCCCGCGCAACTCTTGCTTTTCCAACTGGAGCAGCCTTAGGATCATAATACGGGTTCTGTGCTTCGGCCTTTTCTTCTTGTACTGGCGCGGTTTGCGCTTTAGGGGGTAATGGTGATTCGGTACGTCGATTGCCTAAAGTCGTCGCGAATCGGGGCCCAACATCTGAAGGCCTGCCATCGTTTCTCACAGTCGATGATGCCGAAGGACGGACAGGAGGCGCGTCGCTAGATGCAGAAGATGCACCAGAAGCTTGACGAAGCGCGGCAACACGGGCTTTCATGGCAGCTAGGCGATCCAAGCCTTCGGCGGGCGCTGCCGCCGGCGGAGGAGGCGTGGGAGAAGCAGAAGCTCCATTCGATCCGGGCTTGCTGGCTGAGATTCGAGCGTTGATGGCAGCAGCCTGCGCAGCGGCCTTCGCCCTGGCTGCAGCAAGCACGTCGTTCACGTTCGTAGGGGCGGCGGGTTTGGCGCGCTTGACGCCGTTCGCATCGCCATGATCGCCGGGATATGGGCGCTTCTCGACCATTATGAAGTAACACAAATGAAAGAAACACGGCTTGCGAGGGAGGGTAGGATGCAAATGCTGTGTGGTGGAAAAGTTGTAGTGAGTGTAGACACGACAAACGATGACATTTGACGACGCTAATGATCCGCAGGGTTGAGTTCCGCCGAAGAAGTGCCGCGAAATCTTGGCGGACCTTGAACTTTTTTTCTTGAGCTTCTCAATTAGCTCTACAACACCAGTTTGCTTCGAACTGTCGTTTTCTTCCGTATCGAGCAACTACTGATGGCATGCGCGTAATTGCGCCTAATTAGCTGTCATGAATACTTCACACCCTGTTTCCTCTGCCCTAACGGGTGTCGAATTTGGTTTCCTTTCCGCGGGCGATGTCCGCGAGCTCTCGGTGAAGCAGATTAAGAATGATACGACTTTTGATTCCCTTCTTCACCCGGTCTCGGGAGGTCTCCATGATGCAGCTTTGGGTGCATTTCTCGACAATGCGTCAGTCCTCTCCATCACTGTCCCCAATTATTCTTTTCTGACATACTTTCCAGCTGCTCTACCTGCGGTCTGACAACTTTTCACGGCTGTCCCGGCCACTGCGGTCACATAGAACTTCCCGTACCCGTGTACCATGTCACCTTCCTCGATCAAGTCGTTCGCCTTCTCCGTGGCGAGTGCCACTATTGTCACCACTTTAGGCTTCCTCGCGCGCGCATTAATGAATATGTCTGCAAACTTCGACTAATCAGGTGCGGCCTCGTGCGGGAGGCCGAGGATATGGACAGTAGTCTGGATGTGATCGGCCAGGGAAAATCGAAAAGCAAGAACCGCCGCCTGGACGAGTCGGACTCCGAGAAAGAGGTAGACGATCTTGTGGAGCAGCGCAATGAATATGTCAAGCGCGTGATGAAGGAGGCTGGTATCCCGAAGCGATTCGTTTGTGAGAAGGACGAGGCGGTCGGTGACGCCCGTAAACAACTCCTCAAGGACTTCTTCAATGAGATTGGAAAGAACAAGGCTTGCAAGAACTGTGGCGGTCTTAATCCAAGATTTCGCAAGGACCGAGCCATCAAGATCTTCCGACAACCTCTTTCGGAAGCAGACGAGACCAAGATGAACCATGCCGAGAAGCGCATGCCTAATGCGCTCGACATGTTGATGAAGCGCGAATCGAAGGCTCAAAAGAAACAGCAGATCAATGCCGATGAAGGAATCTATGATCTCGAGCAAGGCTCATCCGGTGACGAAGATGTGCAGATGCTTGATGCTGCAGAGGCAAATGGATCTCTCGTTGCCACTGAAACTATGACCCAGGCATCCCGAAAATCAAAGACGACCACTAGCGCCGAACCAGTATTCATGACCGCGGCTGAAGTTCGTGCTGCGTTGGTCTTCCTCTTCGACAACGAGACTGAGATATTACGATTGATTTACAGCCCCTATTCGCAATCGCTATCTCGTGCCGAGATCTCCGCCGACATGTTTTTCATCCACGCCGTTCTCGTCCCCCCCAATCGATACCGCATGGAGGATAAAACCGGCGACTCGATTGCCGAGTCTCCCAAGAATACACTGTACAAGAACATCATGCGCGCTAGCGAAGTCATGAGGGAGATTACGCAAGAAATGAGGGGCATAGTGGATGAGACTAGACGTCGGCGACGAGACTTCACAGACTTCCAGACACAATGGGTGAACCTCCAGGGTGCTGTCAATTCAGTAATCGACCGCGATGCCAACCCCGTACAAGGTTTAGCCGGAAGGTCGAACGCAGATGGTATCAAGCAGAATCTTGAAAAGAAAGAGGGAATGTTCCGTAAGAATATGATGGGCAAGCGTGTCAATTTCGCTGCTCGTAGTGTCATTTCGCCTGACCCGAATATCGAGACAAACGAGATTGGTGTCCCTCCCGTCTTCGCAAAGAAGCTCACCTTCCCCGAGCCCGTGACGAACCACAACTTCTACGAACTGAAAGAGGCGGTATTGAACGGGCCTGATAAATGGCCAGGCGCGGTCGCTATCGAAAACGAACATGGTCAGGTTCTCTCATTGCGAAAGAAAAACTACGAGGAACGACAAGCCCTTGCAAATCAGCTACTGGCACCTTCAGGCACCCAGGTCAATGGCTCCAAAAACAAGAAGGTTCATCGCCACCTTAACAATGGCGATGTCGTTATCATGAACCGACAGCCTACACTTCACAAGCCGTCAATGATGGTGCACCGTGCTCGTGTTCTTCCCGGGGAGAAAACGATTCGCATGCACTACGCTAATTGTAATACCTACAACGCCGATTTCGACGGAGACGAGATGAATATGCATTTCCCACAGAATGAGCTTGCCCGCGCGGAAGCTGCCATCATCGCAGACACAGATCACCAGTATCTGTCAGCTACAGCAGGAAAGCCCCTCCGAGGTTTGATTCAGGATCATATTTCGATGGGTGTATGGCTTTCCAACCGTGACACGTTCTTCACGCGAGAAGAGTACTATCAGCTTCTATACGCATCGTTGCGACCAGAAGACGGCCATACAACACACGATACCCTCCTGACCGTGAATCCCGCAATCTGGAAGCCTCAACCTTTGTGGACTGGAAAGCAGATCATCTCAACGATTTTAAGGAACGTTCAGCCTGCAGACTATCCAGGTCTCACGTTGACTTCCAAATCTCAGACCAAGGCAAGCTTGTGGGGTGATAAATCCGAGGAAGGCGAGGTGATCATCAAAGATAGCGAATTCTTGTGCGGTATCCTGGATAAGGCACAGATTGGACCTGCCGGAGGTGGTCTGATCAATGGCGTTTACGAGGCCTATGGGCATACCGTTGCTGGACGGGTTCTCAGTGTCATCGGTCGTTTGCTAACGAAACTACTGCATATGCGGGCCTTTTCCTGCGGTGTGGAAGATCTGATTCTGACCAAGGAAGGAGATGAAGCACGTCTCAAGCATTTGCAAGAAGCAGAGAAAGTCGGATTTGAGGTTGCTGCCAAATACGTCTCCCTCGACCCCAAGACTATCGACGAAAAAAGTGCGGAACTACGAAAACGTCTTGAGCGTGTCCTTAGAGACGACACTAAACAGCATGGTCTCGATATGCTCTCCAACAGTGCTACCGCCCCAATTTCTTCCTCCGTTACGTCCGCCTGTCTACCAAATCGATTGATCAAGCTATTCCCCAAGAACCAAATGCAGGCCATGACAGGCTCTGGTGCGAAGGGAAGTATGGTCAATGCCAACCAGATCTCTTGCAATCTTGGTCAGCAGGTTTTGGAAGGCAGACGTGTGCCGGTCATGATTAGTGGAAAGACTTTGCCATGTTTCAAGCCATATGAGACGAGCGTTCGAGCCAGTGGATACGTCGTTAACCGTTTCTTGACTGGAATCCGCCCGCAGGAGTACTACTTCCATACTATGGGTGGCAGAGAAGGTCTCATTGATACTGCCGTCAAGACGTCGCGTTCCGGCTATCTCCAACGCTGTATCATCAAGGGTGTTGAGGGTTTGCGCGTCGAGTATGACACGTCAGTGAGAGACTCGGATGGCTCCATGGTACAATTTCTCTATGGAGAAGACGGTCTTGACATCACGAAGCAAAAGTATCTCAATGACTTCAAGTTCCAGGCTGAGAACTTCATGTCCACCTTCAATTCTCTTAACGTAGTGGAGGCCTATTCTGAAGTGCAGAGCGCCGAGGCTGTTGAGCATACCAAGGCAGCTCACAAGAAGGTCCGCAAGACTGGCGATGTTGCTGCAATGGATCCATCTCTCGCCGTCTTTAATCCTGGCCGCCACTGCGGTGCTACTTCAGAGAAGTTTTTCGCTGCTAAGAAAGAGGTATGTTTGCAGTTCAATCAGTCACAAGATAACACACTAATGTTCAACAGTATCTTGATAAAAACCCCGACAGCATTCTCAAGAAGAAGAAGTCCGACACGACCGGCTATGTCCTTAAGAAGACCTTTGATTCCCTACTTGACATGAAGTACCTACGCTCGCTTGTTGAACCAGGCGAGGCCGTCGGAGTTGTTGCTGGGCAGTCCATCGGAGAGCCCTCTACCCAGATGACGTTGAACACCTTCCATTTGGCTGGTCACTCCGCCAAGAACGTCACACTTGGTATTCCTCGTCTACGAGAAATCGTGATGACTGCTAGTGCAAAGATTTCGACTCCAAGCATGCAATTGTACCCCAGAGAAGAGTTGTCAATAGCGGACTGCGAAAAGTTTGCGAAGAGTATCAGTCGCCTTCCTCTTTCATCCGTACTGGACAAAGTCACGATCACTGAAGAGCTAGGCCAGGGTACAGCGATTCAGCAGGCAAGGAAGTTCAAGATCCGCATGGACTTCTATCCCGCGAAAGAGTATACTGCAGAGTATGCCATCAAAGTCCGAGACGTCGCTGAGTCTTTGGAGAAGAAGTTTTGCCCTCGACTGCATAAGGTCATCCGAGCAGATCTGAAGAAGCAACAAGCTAACAGATCTCTATCGACCGCATCATCAGCCTCTGTGCCTCAAGTTGGACAATCATCTGGAACAATTGAACAAGCAACCACCCGGACTGCTGACAATGAAGGCGGGCGGGACGACGACGAAAGCGATGACGGTGACGACGATGGCGACGCTACAAACGCCAAACAGCGTGGCCGTCGGGCCGAAAGTGTTGAGTTTGAAGCACCGGATGAGGACGAGGAACAAATCATCGACCGCATTCGAACTGAGGGTTCAGACGAGGAAGACGAAACCTACGGAGGCAGTCCTAAGCCCTCCCGTGCTGCGTCCCCTGACCAAGACTCCGATTCTGAGGATGAGGAGACCGTCGTGGCGCGCGAGGAAGCCTCCGATATCCGTCGCGATCGTATTCTTAAAGCATGCGGCGACGTGTACGATTTCCGATTCGACGACAAGGCCGGTGGCTTCTGCGAGATTTATCTAGAGTACCCGGCAGAAGCACCCAAGGTTCTTATGCTCAACCACGTCGAAGCAACCGCCGAATTCGCCACGATTCATGTTATTCCTGGTATCAAGAGTGCACAAGTGACGACCGAGAAGGTTCCAGATCCCGTTACGGGCGAAGAAGTCAAGAAAGTAACGGGAATCATCACTGAAGGTGCCAATCTCGTCGCCATGCAGGATTATCCCCACATCGTCGATACGAATCGTCTGTTCACCAACGATATCGCCCTCATGTTGAGACTGTACGGTGTAGAAGCTTGCCGTGCCACTATCGTCCGCGAAATGCACGCCGTCTTCTCGGGTCACGGTATCTCCGTCGACAACCGTCATCTTAGCTTGATAGCCGATGCTATGACTAAGGGAGGAGGCTTCTCTGCCTTCAACCGTAACGGGCTTATGAAGAGCAATGTTAGTCCTTTCATGAAAATGAGTTTTGAGACAACAGTCGGCTTCTTACGAGATGCTGTTCTGGAGAAGGACTGGGATGATCTCCGAAACCCAAGTGCACGTATCGTTGTAGGCCGTTTGGGCGTCACCGGAACTGGCAGCTTCGACGTTCTTGCGCCTGTCAAGGTCACGGATCCTCTGGTTGAGGATGTTGCGGGAGAGGCTATGGATGTTGATGCTTAAGTCACGGTTTCCATTCATGGAGTGGTCTAAGTTTTTATTTCATTTTCGCGGATATCGTTGGGTCAGCATAATATCCAATTGTGATTGTATGGCATCTTAAGCGGAGTCTTCGGCGAATTTGTTCCGGAACAATGAGTTGAGTTGGGGATGTCTTGAACGGAATTTGTTTATAAAAGTCTGATACGAGTACGATTTAGAAAAGTATATGAGCCCATACTCCTACATTATCATGGTACGTTCCTTTACGAACTGGTATGAATGTGAACATGACTGCCTTGGTACACACAAGAGGTGGAAATATCCTGCAAGCACACAACCAACGTGCCCTTGTCCAATGGAAGTGCATGTCGTGAACTTGCCACAGGTCAGTCTTTGGGCATCATTGCCAGCACGTTATCAATACATGTATCCTACCTCCAGAGTCCAATGATACCATGTCTCACATCCTACACACAAGGCACCCGCCCGCCCTTCAAAATCCTGCAGGCATTCTACATCCTTCTGTAACGACCTTTACCTCTTTTTAGAACACTATCTCCATGTAAACTCCACCCCTGCAGCCACCAAGAAAATAGGTCTCACCCATCCCCAAGCCATCGTTCGGCTAGCGCTTCTCCCCCCACCACCGCCACAAATCGAACCCTAAAACACAACAATCACATACCCATGCACCAATAACGGCTCAACGAGCAATACATACTTTCGGCCAAATCTCCCACCCGCACGCCTTTTGGCTAAGTTGTGTGTATTTGTGTCGGGCATACAAGGGCTCCAAAGGCGAGCAGCATCAAAAGTGGTGTAGGAACACGGCAGATGGCGCCTCTATCTCCACCCCTCAGCACCACCACTGCAGACGCCACAAAAGCCGTATACAATTCCGAGAATATGTGTGCTAAAAATAGAAACGAGAAAGAAAATATGTGATGAAATCTTGCATGCTGTTGATTCGAGATATGGGTGGTCTGTCTATTGCATTGATCGTTTCTCGAAAAACAAATTCATAATACTCTCAGTTATAGGCTTGTATTGGCGATCAAATTGACGGGTCTATCTCATGGGTATGTCTGTTGCTGCTGGTACGGCTGCAAAGCATAAGCAACGAAGCCAGCCTCGAACGAATGACGAACCACAGACACCCAACGGAAACGACCAAGCCGCTCACCCAGGCATGCAAATGATTTGTCCCATGCCAGCTGTCTATCGTACCACACCACAACATAGCATGCAATTGCTTTAAATTCCGCTCAAAATTCCGCTATACCTGCCTCTCTAGATAGGAAATGGCTGCATGCATGCGGTGCGGTGCAGTGCGGAACTGCATGGGAGACACACAACCTTCGGACTTTCGACAGACAGACATTAAACACGTGCGAGAATGCATAAATGACTGACTCTACAATGCAGGCAGAAGTTGCACACATTACCTGCGGGACCCGCACGCGAGGCGAGACGAGGGTAGGGCGGCCGCGGTCGGATGACAGCGGCCGCCCTCATTCAAGTTCATCCTCTCTATCCTCCACTATGCGGCAGCATGCGAATGACTTCCTAGTCAGGACGAGAGGATGGGAGCCTAAGGGGAAGGGGGAGATCTACAAGCATGTGCTTTGCTGGGCCAGTTGGAACCCGGGATCTTGGAAAGCATGAATCCTTCCGAAGGGTGCTTTGTTGCTTTTGAGGTTGGGTTATGGGTAAGTTGCGTGCGTGCTGTGGTTGCTGAGTCGGGATACCTGTTCGGGTGGTGGGAATTGTGTATAGGCGGTTGGACCAGGCTGAGCTGGGCATTCCCTTGCCCGGGGCTTATTGCAGAAGTCTCTCCCCCCCATAGTGAGAGGTAGGTTCTAGGCGTACCTTGATTCTGGGATGTATGCAGGCGGGTAGGCAGGAGCGGTGAGAAAACGTGACGATGGAGGTTGGATTTTCCAGTGGATTTGGCAATGAGGCGGTACACCGGATTGCCTATCGATCAGGTGGTAAACGGGGGGTTGAGATCCGGACAGATGTAGTTGGTTGGATACCTATCGTGCGGTGTAAGGGTTTGTGTTTGACGGTTCTTCCACCTCAAAATGCGGGCGGGCTCTACCGTTCTCATAATGATGGCATGATTGTTTGGCATGATTGATGTAGATGGTCTGAGTCCGTAGTGAGAACATGGGAGTATCTGGCAGGGTTAGTCTGAGTCTGGTATATAGTCTGACCAATAGATGTGGGGGAACTTCTCAGATGCATAATGTACGAATAGAACAGGGCCTGGGATTGGAACGATTGATGTTCTGCGCGTGGTGTCTTAGATGCACGTTACAACGCCTTACTCTGCACCCTCTGTTTGATACACTCATTGGAGACCTCACCATCACTTGGGCCTGATCGGCCGTCGATATATGGAAATTAACGCGCAATGGCTCTCCATTGCGATGAGCGATGAAGTCGATCTCTAAGGTCCAGACACAATCGGTTGCAGTGTGCTTTCCAACTCCGTAGCTTCGTACGGACAAGGCTGGGAAGATCTCGAATGGATGCGTTGCCGGACTTTTGTCGTCACGAGACGGGGAGGCCTCGTCTCACACCCAACGTGTCAAGAGTCCTTTGAACAAAAAGCCCTGTGACTGTGAGGCTGAATACAATGATATGTCAAGGACGGAATGATCTACGTAAGCAACCGCCACCAGGAATCATTGGTAGGTGGTGAGGGGAAGAGTGGGGAAGCGAGAGAGTTTATGGTTCTGATAGGGGATAGGACTTCGCTGGGCGTAAGCGGCACGTGTGCTGCCATGCACTCAGGGTCTGCAAAATCTGACATTCGAGATGGTGATTTATGAATTACGAATATGATGGAAGGCAGCAATTTGAAGGAGCATTTGCCATCGAGCCAAGTCGGGAAAAGAGTGGACCTGGCCTAGGGACGGCTTCCTGAATAGCGCATCGCTACGGGCCGTTACCATCATGTTCGGTGCAGAGAACATTAGCCGTCTCGTAATGGCGGCATAGAGCGTGTGATACGATCTGCTCCATGAAATCGGATTATGGAAAAGATCCAACTCAGCGACGAGACTAAGAACGACAACTAGATGCTAGATACCAACTGTGCTCTATTATCCCCGGCATTTTGGCTGACCTATTCTTGCTGATCTTCTGTTGATATGACGCTCGTCAATTGTGTGTAAGCAATGGCTGTAAAATTAATCCACGAGCCAGCTTGATTGTGTTGCTGCCAAACAAGATAGTGTGACGAACGTGGCTTAAGCACTATCGTTTGATACATTCCTGCCTTTGATTAGGCGTACCAATAATGACGAGCATCGCTCTAATTCACTTGGTGGAAATGGGGCATTCCTAATAATGGTTATACTGTTGGAGCTTTTTTCTTCTTAAGCTGGATTTGGGCATTTGAAAAAGTGTGTGTGATTAAGGATTCCCACCGCGTTAAACGCAAAGGTAACATCACTCTCGATTGTCGAGGCGGAAGATTTTTGGAATAGTCTGTTACGAATTTACGATAGAGTGGCATCGTAACGAGTGTACTTAGCCATGCATGTGCGGAAACTTCGTCCGCGATGGTGAAATAGTGCCGACTAAGAGGTATTCCAACAGCTAATTATTCCCACACAAGACATGATATGGTGATCGATTGACGAGATGGGGACCTCTGATGACACTGGCGATTGTACGATTGTCTAATTTCAGTCGGGCAATTGATAGATGGACAACCCAGCGGTTGAATACGAGCGCCCAGAGCGGGACATCGTCCAGCGAAAGGTCTGTGCCAACTCCTTGTTGCGAAGCCCTAAATACCTCCACTACTCATTGCCGTTACTCACAACCAATTGTTCCCTGGTCAAAGATGATCCCGAACCACTTCAGCTTGTCTGGGAGCACTTGGGATTCACTATCGTATTGCCTCGTGAATCGCTAAAAAGATCGCGCACTCCGCTCAGGAAAGAATTCCATCACCCGTATACAGAAATCGCTGGGGGGCACTTCGGTTGTGGCACTGGATTTGCTTCCGAGATAATTGCATCCGGGCGAAAACTTTCCGCGTGAAATGGCCCTGAGTTGAAAAATGTTCATCCATCTGTTATTTCAAAACGGTTGACTTTTAGAAACTTGTCGAAGCATGATCGGGGCTGCTGAGCCTGAGGGCGTGACGGACTTCGGTGTCGCCGTGAAATATTTATTCAAGCTGTCAATGCTCGACTTCTCCGAGTGGTAATATTGGAAGTGGCACCTTCTCCAAGAGGGAAGATTACCGGCCGGAAAAATTTTGTCTCGACGTCAGCTCGTCCACCAGATTCAGTGGAGATATATAGAAGCGATGGAGAAGTATCAGGAAATCCCACAAGCACAACTCCCACGGACGCAAATTGAGCCCAGAATTTATGATATGTTTATTCGAATATCTTGTGGATTTTGTTGCAATGCTGCTACAGATTTGATCGGCAACTTGTTGCCATGATGTGCATGGAGTGGAGGCATTCGCAAGCCGCTCGACGATACGTGCCGGCTTCGCAGGCTACGAGCACGAACGTGCGCATCTCTTCGGGTAGCCGTTCTTACAGCCTTAATGCAGAGTTGTCCTGCTCCCGTATACGGCAATGATACCTGCATTGTCGTACATGGACGACTCCACGTCTGTCACGCGAGTCTTCTTGCGCACCGATCATTGGTGCTGCTTGGGTACGCGAATGCCGACAATGAACACTCACTATCCTCCAGAAAGCAGAAACACTCTGTGTGAGGCAAGGTGTTGTAGGGTAATGTGTAGAATAAAAGTCCCGCCATAAGTGAGAGCGGTGGCGATCCTTGTTCGGTCCCATTATTATCATCCTAGCACAAGGCTGTCACTGACTGAATCAACAGTGCTTGACAATATGTATCGGTCATACAAGCTAGCTTTGTATGACTCGTTTCCATTCCTTGCGCTGTTGGAGTTCCAAGATCTGATGTGCAGTGTCAACAAGGGTTTCCTCAACCGACTGGTGATGGGTCATTCCGAGCATGGAAGCGGCCAGGTGATTATCAATAACATCCATGGACGAGTCCATCTGTGGATCTTGAGACTCTGAAGAAGCTTCTGGCCTTATCCGCCTCCCCAGCTCCGGGAATCGGCTTTTCAGTAGCGTAGCTATTGAGGGACCCGACGGCATCCGTCCAGCGGAGACAACGAAACGCTTGCCACCTGCTTGCGGTCTTGAGGTAGCCCGCACACTTGCAAGAGCTAGGTCCTATGCAAACTTTGATGAGTTTTGCTCTCGTAGAATCAAGAGGTGGATGAAAACATACCCTTACGTCGGAATAAAAATCAATACCATACGGGGGCGAAGACGTTCTTTCCCGAGCATCGTTGGAGCAAATATTCCAGATTCTTCTATTTGCTTCCTCCAAATCTGACGAGTTTTCCAATGGGCAAAGAGAGGGACCATATATACTCGGGCTGGTAACAGAGACCAAGTCGAACTGTCGGCCGGGAGACGAATATGACGGTGATCCATTCAACCATCTCAAGAGTGCCTCATGCACCAGGCTACTGCTAGACTGGCTGGTAACGAGGATGTAGTCGGTATCGATCTTTGTAGCACTCGTTGAGGAATCGCGTCTTGCCAGGTGATCATCCTCCATACCTGGGTCAACAAGCCATCTCGCGAAGGATGAGAACGATGTGACTATCACGACTCTTCTGACGGCTGGAGCGGCGTCCTTTACATTTCGGACGAAGTTGATGAGGTCTACGGTTTGGAGGTGGATGAATCGAGATAAGCAATCCGCTTGTTCGAAAGGCTCGGGGATGGCGGTGTGAATGACGGTATCAAAGGGTTGCGAGTAGTCACTCAAGGCCTCATCGTACGCGCCCGGAACAGAGGTGTGTTGTTGGGGAATTACAGTGAAGTCCAGTCGATTCGAAGCCTGCGGGAATCGCTGTGCAAGCATTCGTGCCTGTTCTCGGGATCCAACAACGGCCCGGACGGAAACGCTGGGTAAGAGAAAGAGGAGTTGGTTAAGGACATGGGATCCAATAAGACTGTCTGCGCCAGTCAGAAGAACTCGTTCTGTAGCCATGGCCTAGATATGCTGCTCAGCAGCGGTAAACTAGATCCCGAAAGGTGTGAAGTTATAAGAAGACGGCGTGGAAAAGCAAGTGACGTGGTGGAGGGCTTAGCGGACGCCTTTCAAGAAGAAGGACTGGTACGACCTCGTGAGAGAGGAGATAGTGTGTATGTGAATAGCAACGGTTCGCTACCAGTAAACGACGAACGAGCTACTTCGGCCTTAAACATCAATCGATCATCAGCACTTTCTTTGTGACTAGTAGTAGCATAGGCGGAAAATCCTGGAGCACAAGCCCAGGCGCGGGTTGTGAACAGGCCTCCATTTGCAGTGTTGCCTTCATTGGTTATAGAGACCTACGAACTATCAGAAATTAATGCATATGCTCGACCACTGATACCACGGGCGGCTAACAGTGGCTGCGCTAGAGTACGAATGCGTGACTGCTCGTTTCTAAGGCAATATTCGACAAACTGAGGGCGATCCGCAACTATGCAGAAAGCTGTCATACTTACACGGCAACGCATGGCGGCGCCATAGATGGAAACATGCAGGGAAGCAGGGAAGCAGCGTGCAAGAGTGGGGCATGTATTCGACTATAGTCGAGAAGAAAGGTCCTTCATGCATCCACCCGGTCAGCTTGCCGCTACGACCAGACATAGGCAAGATGGCGACCGTGGTGAAGCACGAGCGCCTTCACGGATCGGGTATATGAGAAGACGCCCCGTGAGCAGCGATTGGTGCGGACAGTTGCCGAGCGGTATGTATCTTCTGTCATCGAATTTCACGGATTGCACAGGGTCTGACAATTTTTTTTTTTTTGCAAACATTGCAGGATGCAGATTGAGACGGGCTGTGCCACGATTCCACGTGGAGACGGCCTTTATGCGGCTATCGAAGCGGAGACGCGTGTGACTGGTTTAGTTCACCTCGATGTGGAATTGACTGCGCTGGAGACCAGTTCCAGGACGAAGGCGCGGAATAACTAGTAAGGTCCAGGCAATAATAATACTTGGAATGTATGACAGTGCTCGCTGGCTGGCCTGACGGACCCTAGAACCAAAGGCGTAGCCTAGCACGCAAGACACAAGGTTGCGGAGAGGCCCCCGCAGTACACATGGGGGGAACGTGCCTGGGACCTTGCTAAACGTATCTTCGGGAAAGCAAAGCACTGAAGCTGGGCCCATGGCTGGGTTAATGGTGGTTCGAACACAAGCGACCAATATAAGCAAGCCGCCATTTCACGGAAAGCCCAGTGTTACGGGCTGGTACGTTAGTGCGGCTCGTAATCAGCACTCAAATTGCCGAGCTTGCTCGGACCATGCCATGTTACCATGCGACCAGACGTCCAAGTAATGTTGTGGTTCACACGCTGTTGTTGGGTGAGGGCGAATGCATTTCAGCTTCACGCATGTTGGGGAGTGCGATGCCCCGCGGAGTGGATCGATTTGGCCCTTGACGCGGTAGTACACAAGTCAGAACTGCTTGGAACGACGTTGCTAAACGAGGGCAAAGATTGCCGTGGGGCGGTGTTCTATTCATCCGCAGGTGCATGGCTCTAATCTCGGTCGGAGGCCGAAAGATGACTTATTACAGGCGACTACTTCCACTTGTACTCGTCTGTGAATGGAATATCTGTATAGTGTACGGAGTACTACAGTGATCTTTGTGTATGGACGTGCACATTTCTCATTTTGGGCCTTGGGAGCAACGGACGATGAGATCTGGTGCGACGGGGAGAGACGGAAGGCTGGCTGTGGCGGCTCGTTAGCCCTATTAAGGAAGAGGCATGGATTTTCCATGACAGCAACACGAGGCGACCGGCTCGCTGGCTCGTTCGACTATGATCAATGTAGATCCCAAAGGGACGCTGACGCTCAAGATGGTGTAGAGGGGAATCCCATATTGGCGATATAGTTCCTGCAAGAATGGACCAGGTGGAATGGAATTGGGGTTGTTGAATGAAGTCAAGTCAAACTTTTGGTGCAACGGCCAAACCAAGCCCGAGCTCCGGCACCGACCGCGTGGTAAGTACGGGTACGCATTGATACCGTCCGGCACGGCCTAGGTTGGGTAGATAAATAATAGAGCAAACATAAAATACCTGTTGTAGATTAACATCTGACCATAATAATAAACACAATTTGATGGTAAAGAGATTCTAAACACCTCGATTACTTTTCCTGTAGAATTACGTACTGGCAAGCACCAAGAATAAATGGCCAGTTCGGGTAATCACGAATTGATCCCAATAGGGACAACTCTCGCGACCCCGTGCCGTTGTCAAACATACGTTCCCACATGTTGCTCGTTATTGCTGACAGAAACTCCGGCAGTGCTATGCACTAAAGCTCGACTGTCATTGCAAGAGGGAAGCTTATACACACATAGTATGCATGATGCTCGCTTACCAGTAGTGGAAAGATAGTTCAAACTGTACTCGATCACAGATTAGAGTGGATACCGCGACCCATTCCAGACATATGTATATGCAGACCGAGACCCTTGCGGAATACCTTTCAAGGGTTGCCGTGAACCCGCGTCTGACGCGCAGTGATTAGCATGGGCGACAATGCTGCTGACAATGTTGAGATGCTCTTCTCATATATCTGAGGCACTGATAAAAGCTTGTAGAATATGGTCATCTATTTGAAGGTAGACCCAGATTGCTCACGCTTCCAGCGCAGCGCAAACCATCATGGGATAGGCTAAGGTAGAATGGAGACCTGGCTTGGGCGAGTGTAGCTACATGAGGTATTGTATACTCCGAGCGACACTTCGATCACACTACAAGCGTTCGACCTAAGTGTGGGTTCTCCATGAGGCGTCAAGCGCTTCCCGGTTGACCCGTGTCTATGCTCCTATATTACATGATTCCGCGAGATGGGCAGTGGATTACAGGTTAGGCACCTCATCTGTGGGACTCCCTTGGTCTAGCCTTACTCTAGCAACGATGCCTGGTTGGTATACAAGACATCCACGACATTGCTCAGCTTCTCAATAGTCCCCAAAGCCGCGTCATAGCTCTGATCCCGCTCTGATTCGTCGAAGACGATCAAGCAACCTGCTCCCTGGTCGAGGACTCCAATAATAACCTTGTCCAGGATCATCTGCGAGAGCTTGCGCTCCACCTGGACTGTATCGAGTCCGACCATCTTGGCCACATGATCGATCTCCACCCTGCTGAATGGCTCGATCACTTTGATCAAGTTCTGCTCCAACATGTTGTCGTACAACCGCCGGAGATGGCTGGTGATGAAGCGATCACTTCCGAGCTCCTGTCGGAAATCTGTAAGAGCTGTCTCGTATTCCTCCAGACTGCGGTTCGTGTGTGCACGAGCCACGGCCTTCATTGCGTCCAAGCTCTTTCCTGCGTACTTGATAGCTTGTTTCGATGTCATGAGCGAGGTCACGTCGTCACCGAGGTTAAGCATAATCTTGCAAAGCAGCATATATTGCAGGGCCGATGTCGCTTTCTGCGCCTCATCCTGCGAGTGGTACCCCTCCATGGCTTCGATGAAGTAGGAAAAGGCTGTGTTGAAATCGCTATCTTCGGCATGCAGCATGCCACTCTGCATGTCCAGACCGGCCTGGAGCAGAGGCGGGGTATAAACTGACGCGGCCGAAGTTCGCGCTGATGTGAGTGCCGCCCGTCCTTTGGGGATGTTGCCAAGCGCATGATAGACCCTCGATTCCAATAGCTGCACCTCCACCAACACTAGCTTATCATCTAATCGTTTGAGCTCCTTGAGCAAGCTATTGATAAGCGTGAGAGCATCGTAATACGACTGTTTCTGCATGTAGAGAGAGACCAGCCGTGTCTCGAGGTTCTGTCGTAGGAAACCTCGTCGTTCTGAGACTGCCCATTCTATGCAGGACTTTGTAACGGCGATCTGGACATCGGTGGTGTTGGGAATGGTTGTGAATAGCTCGAGGAGTTGTCGCACTGAAACCTGGGGTTAGGATCTGCTATCCATAAGTGCGGGGCAACTAGAATCATACCTAGCTTCGCAGTTTTTGCTTTTGCGAATGAGGACAGAACCGACCGCGTTTGCCGGACGAGCTCGGCCAGGGCATCGACTCTCCGCTGGTCGCGGAAAAGCTCACCGAGTCCGACGAGTGCGGATTCGTAGTTCTTGATCGCCGCCTCGTTTGACCCAGGATTCGTCGAAAGCACCTCCTTGTAGATCTGCTCAGCCTGAGATGGATCAGTCTTGACCAGTGCCTTGGCCTCCTCGACCCGCTTGCCACTCTCTGCAACGGCCATGGTGGTAATCGTTGGGGTTTCGGGCCGCTTGTCAATGATGTGATGGATGGAATGCGGGCAAAGGATCGACGTGCAAGATGTTTATGGAATATGGAGCAAGAAGGGATGGTGAGTTCGATGCAAACGGTTTGGGGGGGTTCCTAGTAGAAGCAGTTGCGATGATGTCGTTGCTCTGGACAGTAGTGGTACGTAGTGAGCTCCAGCTTGACAATTCGGAGTCGGGGATCGGTAATACGTTCTGCCGTGGACGACTGGTAGTGGCGGACTGTGGAAGTGCCTGAGGGTGGCTTGGCAGCTCTGTCCATAAACGTGATTGGATAGAGGCGCCTCACTTCCATATCCGGATTGGCGCCGTAGCCCCAGCAACCGGCACCAGAGATACTTACGTGTTTGTCGTGTCCACCGCCAGATTCGGGTTTTCAGTGTTTTCGTCAATTGCACGGAATAAATGTACGAATCACAGCACAGCATACATTGCCCCATTATGTCAAAGACTCGCATGCATTGCATTAGATCAAAATCAATCAATGAATTATTGCATCTCTCCACTCGTAGACTTGTTGTGCAGGCGCGAAGAGTTAGAATCGCAGCGCTGCCGGGACGACGGTGTGGTTGGTGTGGTGTGCGCTGTCACAGAAGGCGCCGAATGAGCTCATTGGTCGGGGCCCGTGCGGCACTTAGCCTTTGTTTACCTTCCCAGTATATTATCATCCAACATCGTCCACGAGTCCATCTTATCCCCCATGTTCATCCCCTCTCATACCCTACGCAAAACCACACTTACATCTCTCGCTCTACTGCTCAACTACCATAATTACACCTGATTTATCACTCTCACGATTTTCACGATACCACTACACCAAACACGCGCAGGGTCGCTAGCACTATAAACAAGGGACGTGCGACACTGCACCACATTTTGAGCGTAGATCAACCCATCTTTGACGACGCGATAGTGCTCATTCCAGCACTTCCGCATCTGTTGCCGTAGAAGAGATTGCTACGCGTATACTACACATACTCCAACACACCCATTCACACAATGCCTTCCTACGAGAGGGAAGATTCACAGGACCGCGAATTGGTCAGGCACTCGTTCTCCGAGGCTCATAGAAACTCATTCTCGGAAGCTCACAGACTTAACATCCCAATGTAAGTTGCTGATGATTTCTTCACCGAACCAGGGCGAAGACCAATCCCTTATTAACTGTCCCGTAGGTGGGATAGCTCTGATCCTGAGCGCGCTCCGCCACCACTACCACTAAATCCAGGCTCACCCAACATGACCACTCGACCCAACACATCAGCACTCATTGCAAATGCAGCCAAAGCCCTCGAGGAAAAAGCGCGCGAGAGTATGCCGAGCGCTTATACTACAAATCCGATGCCTTCAAGGTCACCCGACCGATCATTGATTAAGGGTGCCCAGCATAAGCGCATGCAGTCGCTGCAACCAACAAGCGTGCGCGACCTCAGAAGCTTTCTCGATGGTGTCCGCTCTCCAGAGAGGTCGCCAGATCGATCGCCAGAACGGTCGCCAGAACGACCAACCACTCGATCAGGAACACCTGGCCGAGACAGCGACAGGGACTGCTTCGGTCCCGATCCAAATTCATCCAGGAATGGAACTCCTACGCCTGCAAGCAGAGACTTCCTAAAAGAGACACCCGCCCTTCGACCTTCTTCGCGGTCGTTCTCAAAGGCTATTCTGGGCGAAAATACTCCTCCTTCTGCCACCATGCTTGCACTGCAGACCATGACCATTCCTCGAGAGCATCTGGAGCCGCATATTCCAAATCCAGCCACAACACAATCGCGGTCGCCACCACCGCCATCACAGCCTCCACCCTCTTTCGATGCCATTTCAAATCAGTTGCTCAGCATTAATTCGATTGTGTCTAGCTTGCAAAAGGACATGTCGCAATTGAGCCGGCGAAGCAAAGACAATGCCACTGACCTTGTCAGTCTCAAAGAGGCAACTACTGCTAGAGATGAGGATATCCGCAGGTCCTTGAAGGAGCTGTTGGGTACAATGCATCCGCCGCCAGCAGTGGGCACCCCAGGAGATGTCCCTCGTTCTGGAAGCAGCTTGGGCATGAAGGATCCCCACATGACTCCGACGAAACAGTTCTCTCTTCCTCGCATTGCTTCTCCGAGCAGCTTCATGCTTGACGAACGAATCGGGAGCCCGAACCCCTACTCTGTCGAGGGCGCGGCTAGTGTAGCAATGCTGGAGAAGATTATAAGGGAAATGGTGACCAAAGACGGACAAGAACGCCTCATCGCCAACCTTCAAAAGCTTGTTGACAAGGCCACTGGCGACACTGCAAAGAAGGTCACGGAACTTGTAGAGTTTGTCAAGCAAGGCTCCGGCAATCACCCTTTCGTACCCAATCAAGGGGCATCAGCCTTCCAACCCTCTCCTGGGCCCGGTGCCCTGACGCGAGCTGCTTCTGACTTCAATCCGGCGTTCGGTCTTCATAAGGTTGCTGAAGGGAACAAGCCTTACACCAGTCCAAAGGCTGCAGACTTTGTCAGTGACGAAATGCTCAAGTTCCTGCGGAAGATCAAGGATAGCGTAGCAGAGTCCGGAAGCGTCACCATGGGCACTAAATCACTTATTCAGGAGTTGCGTGGCGAAGTGCTTGGAATGGGCCGAGAGCTTGCCCGCAAGATTGAAGAGGTCGAGCAATTGAAGGGTGCACAACCCGCCATCGAGGCTCGCGATACGCATGAAGACGTCTCCGCCATCGTACACGATGAGCTCGCAAACCTGAAGCAGCACATGGACGAGGTTATGCGTGAGAGGAGACGGCAGTCGATTTCTTCCACCATCACTCGCCAAACAGTCGACAATCGAGAAGTCTATGACGTTGTGAAGCATGCTTTGGCATCAGCCCAGTCTTCGAACCTTGATCAGGAGGCGGTCATCGCTGCTATTCGTGAAGCCTACGAGTCCTACCAGCCCGAAGTCAAGATCGAGCAGTTCGGGCTCGAGCGGGACGAGATATTGCAATGCCTCAGGGAGGGTTTGCACGACTATCAGGGTTCCGGTGGAGTCAACCGAGAGGAGATCATGCATACCATCCAGGAAGCCATTCACCAGGTCAAATTGCCTCCACCAATCAACGAAGCACACGAAATACGCGAAGAGGTTCTGCTTGCTGTGCGTGAGTGCCTCCAAGACTTGGGGCCCTCTATCGCCTCGCAACCATCCCAATCCGGCACCGTAACAAAGGAAGATATTGTCAATGCAATCAGGGACGGTCTCACTGTCGAACTTCCTATGGATGAGCTCCAGCCAGCCTTGCAAGCTGGTTTCGAAGCCCTCAGGCCCCATGCAGAAAGTCAAAATGAGCTTGTTATGCAGCGGTTACAGTCGCTTTTGGATGATATGCACTCCGAATTCAAAGCATACTCGTCCGCCAATGGCCGTGACACGGAACAAGTGCTGGATGCGATCCGAGATGGACTCGACAATTTGCGCAGCGGACTTGAAGGTCATGTCAATAAGGCGCAAACTGTCAGCGAGAAGGACGAAATCCTAAGCAGTCTTCACACCGAGCTCGACAAACTCCGTCAGGACGTTCAGGGATTCGTTGCTGAAGGTCCTCGTGGTGATCAGGAGTGGAGCCGCATTGATATGGTTGACTTCATCAAGTCAGAATTTGAGAACCTTCAGGAGAGTCTCGCCTCGCAAATCGTGCCCCGCGGTGACAACAACGATGCTATCTTGGCTGCCATGAACGAAGGGTTCGAAGGCATGAAGTCCCAGGTCGCGACCCGTGGCCTTGACCTCGACACCAATGAAGAGATCAACGAGGCTATGAAGCAGGAATTTGATTCACTGAAGGAGGTAATACTCGGCGACACTGTTCAGCATAAAGATGAGGTCATCCAGAAGCTTCAGGCCGGCCTAGAGACCCTACATGAGAGATTAGGAGACCACCAGTCTACTCCTGCCTCTAATGATCAAGTGATTGCAACCATGAAGGAGGAGTTTGAGCATCTGCGTGAGGCTCTGGGCAGCACTCTGGTTAGAGCAGGCGGAGCAGCTGACAAGGAAGACATCATTGACGCCGTGCGCGAGCTTCTTGACGGTCTACGCACTCAACTTAACGAACCAAAGTCAACCGATTCGGCAGCTCACTTTGCTTCAATCCAGTCTGAACTCGAACAGCTGAGAACGTCTCTTGGTAGCTCCATTGTGCGTGCTGGGGAATCCGAAGGTGACAAGGACGAGATTTTCGAAACAATCAAAACCAGCTTGGACGATCTTAAAAACAACTCGAAGTCACTAGGCATCAACGAGGAACTCCTTGAGGCTTTCCGTGGCGAGCTTGAACAAGTGCGCCAATCGACTAGCCTGACCCGACAACACGCCCGAGCCGATACGGAGGAGGTACTCGAAGCTGTTCGATTAGGGCTTGACGATTTGCAATCCCACCTCGACAAGAAGCTTGATAACCCTGAACGCCATCAGTCAGCAACCAATGAAATCATCGATGCCCTGAATGACGGCCTGGAGGGTTTCCGTTCTGACATCTCCAAGCTGACCGACAAACCTGTTGACATGACCGTTTCCTACGAGATTTTGGACACGTTAAAGGAGGGTCTTGCCGGCCTTCGTGCTGATATGGAGAAGCTGAAGCGCGGGGAATATGACTCGGAGATCCAAGAACGTGCTGTTCCCACCGGAAACGAGGTTGTTCTTGCAGAAGCCGTGGAATCCGCCTCTGACGATCCTCCTGCCGTCTCTAGTCGCGAAATTGTGCACGAAAGTCTCCGTCGCAACGACCTAGAAAAGATGGAGGTAATGCTGTCTCAGCTACAGGTCAAAATGGACACGATGGATGCGAACATCCAGCACCCGTCTCCAGCACCCGAGTCCGCAACCGCACAAGATGCAGCTCGCAAGGACGATCTTGAGGCCATTGAAGAACTTCTCAAAGGCCTACAGACTACCGTCAATGAGCTGCGGGAACAAGAGAGGCCGGCCCCAAGCGCGGACGGCCTTGCGACGAAGGAGGATACTGATGCGATTGAAACATTACTCGATAATATGAAGGCTAAGATCGAAGAGCTCGCCTTGCCAGATCCCACATCCGTGGTGACCAAGGAAAATCTCGACGATGTGGAACTCGTCGTCAGGACTACTTCAGAAGCACTCGAAGTGCTCTCGCAGAAGATCGCAGACGAGGGTGCCACCAAAGGCGACGTCGCAGTCGTCCAAGTCATCGTGGATGATATCAAGACGGCGTTAGACGAGATGAAATCCTCGAAGCCTTCAGATGAGGAAGAGGCTGAGAAGATCACAAAGCTCGACATCGACGCGCTCGCGGCCCTATCGTGTGACATCAAAGAGAAGCTGGAAGAGTTCAAGATCCCCAACGCCGACGATCTCGCGTCAAGGGGAGATGCTGAGCAGCTCAAAGGCCTTCTCACCGACTTCCGTGAAAGCTATGAAGCAATGAAGGACTCCTACGAGAAGGACGTTTTTGTGACTGCTAATATCGCCAACGACCGGAAGAAGGAGGCCGACGACATACTCATGCACGTCACTGATGCAAAGGCGACCATTGAAGACGTCAAAGAGGATCTCAAAACCGCCTTGGCTGAAGGAGGATCCTTACATGGGGTGAAGGACTCCATCAAGACCTTGGAAGAGACTCTTGGAGCTCATCTTGGTATGGGCGCTGATGTCAAGGATCTCATGGAGACAGTTGCGCGCGAGTTCGAACGTGCTCATGGCTCAATTGAGAACATACAGAATGGCCAAGAAGAAAAGTCTGCACTAGCCTTGGAGAAGCAGGAAGAGGCAAAGGACGCCATCATCGCCAGCACAGTGCAAAAGATTGATGATCGTTTTGACACTTTGATGGCTAAGTACGATGATGCCCAACTTCTCGCTGACGAACAAGCCAAGGTCATGAAGGAAAAGGCAGAAGAGCAGGAAAATATCCTCGAGGCTACGAAAACCATGGCAGAAGAGTTGAGGCTCACAATCGACACCCTTGGAGCTTCCATCACCGGCCTGAACGACCGATTCGAAGAGACGGCTCAGAAATCGAGCACCGACTCGGCTGCTGTTGTCGCAAAGATCGAAGACGCTGTCACCAAGCTTGAAGAACAGAAGCTCGAAGACAAAACTGAGCACTCACACACCCGAGATGAGATCGCAAACATCGAGCGCATGTTCACGGGCTTGCAAGACAATGTCACTGAGTATCATCCCAAGTTTATGGTCGCGCTCCGTGAAATCGAGGCACTAGTCAAGCAGCACTACGAGCAATCCCAACAAGCCAAAGAGGCAGCGGATGAACAAGTTCGCGCAATGAATGAAGAGGCAAAGGCTCGTGCTCTCGAGCTTACAACGCACTTCTCGAGTCTTCCTGCATTATTGCCTGCGCCACCCTCTGCTATTGAGCTGCCGGAAAAATACGACGATACTGAGGTCCGGGAGAAGCTTGATAAGCTCATCGGCCACGCCGGAGATGCCGGAAAGTATGATGATCACCACATTCGCGAGAAGCTAGAGACGCTCATTAGCTACGCTGCGGAGTCGGGCAAGTATGATGACTCCGTCGTTCGAGAGAAATTGGAAACTCTCATCAATCATGCGGCAGAAACTGGCAAGTACGACGATTCCATCGTGCGAGAGAAATTGGACGAATTGATCGGACATGCCAGCGAGGCTGAGAAATCCGCTAGCAAGCTTGAACGTCTTGACGATATCCACAAGCAAGTCCTTGCAACCGCGGCCGAAGTTTCGGAATTTGTTGCTAAGCAAACGCAACTGATCACGGACGGAAATGAATCAAAGGAACGTGAAGCAGAGGAGCTCAGTTTGCTTGTCGAGCGCAAGACGACACAAAAGGAGCAGCTTGACGCTGACATCGAGCGACTGAAAGAGGAAAAGGAACGTGTCATCCGGGAGCTGAAAGAGGAAAAGGATCGGGCCATGGCGGAGCTCAAGGAAGAGAAAGAGCGCGTTATTCTCGAGGTCAAGGAAGAGAAGGACTCCCTTTTGGCGGTTGTTGCGGCTTTACAAGCTGAGCGCGAAAACCTTGCCAACCAAAAGGTCCGACTTACCGGCGAGGTATCATCGCTCCACACGGCTCTTGACATCCGACGAGAAGAGCTTCACATGATGGATGCTAAAGCCGATGCGCTTGAGCGTCGCATCTTGAACGGCATTATGGACCATTCCCGAGCTTTGATGATTGCTAAGTCTGGTCCCAAGAGCCCTACCAAGCTCAAGAAGCGCATGAGCGCTGATGTCTCCGGGGAAACTGACAAGGGCATGCAACCACCGACCTCGACTACTAACGGGCTTTCACTTGCACTGAAGCCCCGACCAGCTGTCCGTCGCAATGGGCCCCCGCAAAACCCTGCTGGCCGTCGCATACACTCATTGAGCCAGATCAGCGGCAACAGCCCCACTGGCGCCCAGCCTTTCCAAGGAATCAACAAATCACTAAGTATCAACACTGGTACAGGACTCAAGCGTAGTCATTCAGTGAAAACCAGCTCTGTTAGAAAGGGTTCGTGGGGCGGACGACCCAGCACTATCGTTGCGAACAAGGAAAACGAGCCCCTGACTGAACAGGATGAGCTGGATACTGAGCAAATTGCGGGAGTTACAGGCTCGGAGTACAACGATGATCTTCAGAGTGAGGCTGGCACCGAACGTCGCCACAGCATCGTATCTAGTGTATACCCTGAAAGTCGTGCTGAAGGAGAGGCTCATAGCTTCGACGGTCGATCTAGCTTTGGTGGCGCTGGCAGTGAATACACTTACGCTTCCGGGAGTTCGTACATGACTGGAAGCGACATTGATCGACGAACATCATACGGATCAATGGCCGCTCGCTCTACTGCCTTCAATGGGGAGGAAACAATCGACGAGGGCAGTGAAGCATCACACTCGGATGACGAATCGATTTCGGATGATGAACGCACACAAACCGTCGCAGGAGCGGAGTCGACAACTAGACAGTCGGAGCCAGCACCTACTGAGATGACAGCATCTGAAGTAACTTCATCTGAAGTGTCTGATGGTATGCCCACACGTTCCGAAGTTGATCGTGCTGTCGAGGCTGTTATGGAAGATATGAAGAAGGATGGATACCATGGACCAGTTGACTCTGGTATTGGCAGTGATTTGCCCACTGCCCTGGTTGTAGCAGGAAGCGACGCAGACTACTTTAGGCGCGCTGCGGAAGAGGAAAGCATAGTCGGGTGAGATGTTATTTTGCCGACCCTTTGTTACGCCTGAGTTTCTTGTATTATGTTCTGTGTTTTGATGACGGTCGGTTCGTTTGGATGAGCATATGGGATCCACGACTAGCGCAAGCTACTGGGAGGCGTAAAGGAAAGGGGACGGGACTGTCCAGGGGCTTGCATGGGTGTTTTGGTTCCATTCAAATATCACGTTTTGGGGGCTTCGTAAAGGTGTTGGATTATTCATGGAGTTTGTAAGGATTTGGATCAATTGAATTAGCTTCTCCAACTGTTCTGCCTCCTTGGCAAGCAACACGTATTATAAAGAAAGGAACATTGTAATTAGGTTCAATATCGATTTGCTATTCGTAACACTTTCATCACTGCATTCTCCATTTGACATACACATAACTAGTGGAGGCTAAAACATGTAAAGAATAAATAACAAGAAAAACCAACAGCATTTGCACATGTTACATATTAAAATTTATATTAGTTTATTCTGCATAGTCTGCCTGAAAATTATAGAAAATAATATACGTACCTATTATTATTACGTTGTTGCCGTTATTGTGGTGGTGGGAAGTAATGAGTTTTGGTGAGGATTTGGTGCGATTCGTTACGTGGTTCCATTCGTTAGCCGGTGACATACACTATCGTCATTACCTAGATGTTCTGCAGGGATTGTCTCAAGCTATGATGCAGATAGAGGTATTCGTTATTTAATTCTAGTATAACTAGTATACATGTATTGATATCGTTCAAACCAACCGTGCGCTCAGTTGCATGTATATTGAGCCCACTACGCCAACCTTAAAACCACCGTGAAAAGCACAACCGGCATGCCCACATGTCGTCCCATTCGCGAAAGCCCCCAAGATCCAACGCCGTTCATTAGAGAAAAGCACAGTGTTCATTGCGTGATGCCCCTCAAGCCCTGAATGACCAATCCAAACATGACGCCCCTAGCCAGCCTCTCCTCCTGCAGCGCATCAAAGACTCTGCCCATCGCCTCTCCGCTAGCCGCCTGGCCCATGACGCTGGTGAGCGCCTGCGGCATGCCCCTGTCGACGAGCAACTTCCTTGCCTTGACTCTCAATTTCTCCTTCTCGTCGCTGCTCATCTCCGCGGGCCACGCCTTGAGCTCATCCTCCGTCGGGAGCGAGTTGGCGCGGATCTTGCGTAGGTGGTACGCGACGCCCTTGTCCGACGTGTTTTCGTCCAGCACCGTGGATTGAAGTAGCGTCTGGATGGAGGTGAGCTGAGGATTGCCCGGGCGTAGCAGGAACGTCTTCGCGGCGTTGAGGAGCGTCAGCCGGATCTGCCAGGCTGAGGAGAGCGTGTAGAGTTCGTTGATGACGGCGAAGAAGAGCTCGATTAGGACGGTGGTTTCGGATTCGCTTATCGAGGTGTGGGATTTGGAGGATTGGGTCGGGCGGCGGGGGAGGGCTGGCGGTGCCGCGTCGGAGGGGGTTTGTGTGGTGGTGGTGCCGGGTGCTGTCGCTGCTGTCGCTCCCTGAGTACTGAGAGGTTCCGTGGAGCTTCGGATTGGTGCGGGTTTGTAGTAGTCTGAGATTTCGGAGGGCATGGGCGGGAGATTGAGAATCTGGTCGCCGCCCATTGTTGGGGAAAGGTCGATGCTTGCTCGGGTGGAGGGGGCACGGCTGTTGCTGCGCGATGCGCCGTACACGGAGGAGCGGTTTGATCGTTTGCCGTCGCCGTCTGGGTTGTAGCTCGGTCGGCGCTCCATCATCGGTTCGCGGCCTGGTTGTTGGTCGACGATTGGGGAGTTTGGGTCCCGGACTGAGTCGGTTGATGTGCGTCTTGAAAGGGTGGACAGGGTGCTTTCCGTGCGGAGGTGTGTGGGAAGCTCGGAGACTGTGCTCTCGGCCCTGCCATGGCGATTCTGAATGGGAGGGGTTGGTGCGGTCGATGAACGGCCGGGAGGAGTGGGCTCGATGCTGGAGATCGAAATAGAGTCGCGGTTCTTCCTAGTACCGCCCAAAGGCGTCGCGACGCTGCCGAGAACGCCGGTCACACCGCTGAAGAACGCCTTTCCACCACCTGCAACCTCCTTAGGCGCCTTTGTCAGGGCGTCAACCATACCTTTGCCCATAGTCTCGAAGGTCTGTGTCGGCCATCCGAATCCCTTTGAACCGGGTGATTTGCCCATCTGGGACTCCTTCTCGAGGAAGCGCTTCATGCCTTCGCTCTCGGCCAGTGCCTTGTAAGATAGAGCGTCATTAAGGTAGCGTTCGAGTTCACCACGAAGGGACGCCTTGGTATGACCTTTCCAGGTGGGTAAAGCTGAGTGAGCCTCTATGAAGCCCGTTGCGCCGGTTATGGCCGCTATGCGGCGTAACACTTCATGCAAGGTCTCCAGATCGGTGAACTTCCGAGCTGTCATCCATCCGGAGTGGTAATTCGAAGCAGGTTCGATCTGGATCAGGTACTCTGCTGTTGGCTTGCTCTTGATAGTACTCTTCTCACCTGGCATGGCGTCGTCAAAGAAAGAGATTCTTGCGTTATGCAGCGTCAATGGTGGGGGCCTCTCCACAGGTGCCGAATTCGACGCAAGCGCGGTTGGAGGTTGCTGTGGGACGATTTGATCGAAACTTGTGAACGGGCGCCTTACTTCTTCTTTCACTGGAGATGGAATAGTCTCCTCGGGAACATGCTGCACCGGAGCGGTTTCCATGACGGTTTCGGTGGTGTCATGATCTGCTGTCTCGCTTTGCGACGATGTTGGCGTTACGATGCCCTGTGTAGTGCTCTCGGACTGGTCGTCAGTCAAGCTTGAACTTGATGCATGCTGCTGCTGCTCGCGAAGCTTTTTCGCATCTTCTTCCGCAATAAGTTGACTCAATCGTTGCGCCTCCTTCATCGCATCGTCCATAGCTTCCTGCGCTTTGCTCACTGCTCTTTTGTGCTTGATCTGCTCGGGAGAAGCTGGTGTCTTCGTAGCCTGCTCTCCCTTCTCCACGGCAGTTTTCACGTTCTTCAATTGTCCAGTTGAGCCCTCCACACCTGCATCGATAGCATTCAAAAGTTCGGGTTCTCCATCCTCAAGGAGGTACACGATCCATGCATTGATCCACTCAGGCTTGGAACAGCTAGTCACTATCATCTCCAACACAACCTTGGAGAGCATTTGTCTTAAGAATAACTGCGCTGGCCGGCAATTATATGTCTTAGACTCCAAATAGCTTTGTAAAATGTCCTCCGCCGCAATGTCAAATTGTTTTGATTGGTGCTTCGCATCTAGTATGTTGCCCAAATTACTGTCCGGCTTCATTTGAATATAAGTGTCTACAGCGTCTGACATGGAAGCGGTCGATGAATTAGCCAAGGCAGCTGACAGCTCTTGAAAGAAGATGATCATAAACGATGACGAACGCGTAACAAAATCTACGAAACTATCGGCAGGTCTCTTGCGGGAAAGGTGACCAGATATCGAGATGATGAACGCCGTCAAAGTTTGGCGAGAGGCGGCTGGAAACGTATCGTCAGTCGGTAGGATAGGAGAGTACCACCATCTATGTTCTGTCAGTAAAACCCCTCACGCTGGCATCCCTTTCGCGCTCACCGAACATAGTCTCGAATGACCGCGTCTGTCAATTCCGTGAGTGCTGCTGCGGTCTCTGGCCTGAAATCGGAATAGTCCAACTGTTGGCCAGACTGTAACAAGACATCTAGATCGGAATTGTCTTCGGAAGAAGTGCTCTTGTCTTTGGTTACGGTTTCTCGCCAATTCAGCACCCTTTTAACAATGTCCGTACTCAACTCCCGCCTGCGTTTCTCCTTTCCTAGTGTGGTCCCGTCATCGCCACGTTGTGCGTGACCCTCCCATGAGGCATGAAGCACGACACCGCCCACCACACCAATGAGTATCAATCCCACTCTTCCTAATACAAGATATGTCGCTGCGCCGAGTCCAGCTAGACACGCACCCAATGTCTCGTTACTCGAGGTGGATAAGAACTGCAACACATTGTCCACTAGAGGGGTACTAGGATTTAGGTCTTTTCCTTTCTCAGTCTCTGGGATTTCCGCTACTGTCGCTGTCGCTGGTAGATTTGTCGGCGATTTGTCGTCGGTGGCATTGTCGCGGGGGTTCGGGGATGTCTGGTTATGAGTGAGGTCGCTCATTGTGTCGCTTCGTCGCGGCAAGCATTGAGGGTGAATTCAACCAGGCTGTTGTCCTCGAGGACAATATGACTGGTTATGACGAATCCGCGCAAAATCAAGTCGTGTCTGTTTCTGAAAGGGGGGAACTATTGTTTCACAGCTTTACCCCCGAGGTCGTCTCACACATTCATCGGAATAGGGAGGGGGCGGAGAAACAAAAAGTCCGAATGGTTTGAATAGCAATGCCAAGAACCTGGGGAAGATCTGCATCTTAAAAATCTCCTATTCCGCTTCTCGTACCTTTAAATAATCTTAATTACATACAGTAAACAACCAAGATTGCCATTGTGTCTGTTTCCGCATCTTCATTTCGGACCTTCGTTTCAATTGACTGAAGATTAGTCACGTTGCTGTTGCCTGGTGTCCATAACTACTCCCTACCATGGCCTCGGAACCTTCCAATGCCGATATTCTCGCTCATGTAGAGCAATTCTGGGCTGTGAGGAAACCACAAAGTCCGGTTTATCAGTTCCTACTCGGCGACGTTCAGTTCACCCACGCCTCGAAAGGACTCGTCCGCGCCCGTCTTCTGCTGACCAAGGACCATGTCAACAGCCACGGAGGCATTCACGGTTCTGTGTCGGCCACGATCGTAGACTGGGTGGGCGGCTATGCCATCGCGGCATGGGATAACAGGACGAAGGTCGGCGTCAGCACTGACATCCATATATCCTACATCAGCAGTGCGAAAATAGGTGACACGATTGAGATCGAAGGCAGGGCCGATAGGGTTGGGGGCACGATGGCCTATACGACCTGCACGATCTGGAAGGTTGTAGATGACAAGGCAGGACCAGTCGTTGCGACAGGTTCTCATACCAAGTTTGTCAAGATATGATCAGGAGCAACAACTTTACCCCGTTCATGGATCTATTTGCATGCAGTATATACAACGCATGCGCCCGCTCTTTGAGCTATCATTATACTCCTCAAGAATGACGGAATCGACTGTTTGTAGCGGACACCAACTCCCAGTTATTTTGCGATAGAAGCCATTGCGGGTGGCTACGAGAGCGTACATATCATAGACAGCCATTGCATATGACGAAAGTTCCTGGTAGAATCAAATACGTAGAGCATGATTGTAACGCAGTCATACATCATACCCAGCGCATCTTTTATCAATGCTATACATTTTTCTCATCAAGCCGGATTGAGGAGATTTAGGATTTATAGCATGACGTTTTCGCGTTGCCGAACGCCTAAGTCGGCATCTTATCATGTCATTACGCCACATACGCCACGCCATTCAGCCTCTCGACTCCACCCTATCCGTCATCGCCAACCACCACTACCACATCCACTAAACTCTACTACGTTTACGTTCCAGGTCCCTGAGATGTCGAAGTATGAGCGAACCCCTCAAATCTAGAGCTCTAGACCCCCCGATCGACAGAATGTACCGCCAAGCCGGTCTACCGGTTCGCAGAAAACGATGTCAGCCCTGCAAACTCAAGACAAGTGGTTCGAGCTAGGTGTACTCGGCCCATGTCATGGTCTCTCTTCTTGTCCATCAGACTCCATATTTCCTACGAGGGCATGAGTGAAGTAGGTAGGTGTAACCCAGAAATTATGGTTGTACATACACTCCTGGGTTCTTGGCCTGGCAAACCGGATGCAAGGTTCGAATTGTGGGTGGATTGTTTCGAAGTTTGAAGAAGAACGAGATGCTTGGGGAGACTTGGGTGGGCTTCTGGAGACTATGACGATATATGGAGGGATGTCCGGTTATCGTGGGGAGTTAGTGTATATATATATAGGAGCTCCCAACTACCTCTTTAGACCATACACACTCAACCTACTACCATCTTCACCACACAAAGTGATCAAAAGATCAGGAAACCTACAACGCATTTCACATCTTTCACACATAAGTCAAACAACCTCAAGAACACGACACATCAAACCAACCGATTGCTCGTTCCGCATTACAAAACACATAACTCTTCTTCTACAACGAGCTTCAAGTCCCAACAAAACCACACCACCAACACGACACCCTGCTCCAGAGCTATCAACATGGGCTGTGGACCGTCACGAATGTCACGTCGAAATGGCCATATGGGCGGCGGCATGGGCGGCGGCCTAGGCATGGGAGGCGGACGGCGAGGAAACACAACTGTAGTGCATCACCACCACGGGGGTGGCAGGCCGCCAATGTCAGGCGGATACGGAGGCGGGATGATGGGCGGTGGTGGCAGGATGGGTGGTAGACGCGGGTATGGTGGTGGTGGTGGTTTCGGTAGGGGGAGACGGTGCTGATAGGGGAGTTGTATGATGTATTGATTAAGGAGACATTGTATGATATTTTTCTTTCTTATGCATTCGATCTTGTTCCATAACAATGATATATGTCCTGATTAGTATCTTATTGAATTTTCGTTGTAGACTGATCCCACTATGCCGATGTAAAGAGGCGGTGATTGTAACGGATTGAATCCGGTCTGTTATGACCAAGGAAATGAGTGCCTCTAAGGTCTTTGCCCTACAGTGGTAGCCTCGGATGGCTAGTTATACGAGGTAACATGTGCTGTGCACTCTATATGACTGTTTCATCTCTCCGGGCGATGTGGAACCCATCAAATGCCGAATAGTTGTCCTTGTAATATCATGGGGTGCGGCAACATCGTATCTTGTTACTCAGCCTCCGGTATGAAGACTTTGACGGTTTTTTCAGTGGTCAGACTCTTTAGCTATGCAATATTCCACGTCCTTTCCTTTGGTGGAAGACCAAAATCGGTTGACTAGCGCGCAGGCAATTGTGGTTAGAGCTATGAACGCACTTAAGCATCCATAGGGCATCGTACTTTCTTGGTGCAGAGCTGTTCGAGCCCACATTTGCAGCTTCAAAGGAGATAGATCATCAAAGCCAGTGTATCATTGGTAGGAGGCAATTGATACTGATAATGCTATTTTCTGGTCTGTGGCAAGCAGCAAGGCTATTGTTTAACTTAAGATGAATGGGAATATTAAGATTGAGTGACGTGACGATTTGAAGTGTGGGAGGCTGCAGCAGTATCCCTCCTCGCCCAAGCGCGAGAGATCGTCCTTCACACTACCATGCAATAACAGCATGCAGCAGGTGTATGCATATTTTGTCAGATTAATATCCGTATATAACTCGTCTTGGCTGTGTGGAACATTGAATTGGAACCCCGCCGTAGCTACGCCGCGTGCGCCGCAATCCAAGGTCGACTTCATCTGTCTCCCTCCACTCTGTCTTCCCTTACAACCAAAACCACTCTGCGAACAATCAGCATTCAGCACACGAAGATGGCGTACTTGAATTGGCTATTGGGAGAAGATACCAGAACTCAGGTCGGGAATGTCATAATCATTCTCTGTCTAGTAAGATTCCGCATCTTTGTTCAATGCATGAGCATAGAGTATTAAATTACTCGCAGTACCCCATCACCAACTGGATTTATAATCTCTATTTCCACCCACTCGCAAATTTTCCTGGGCCTATTCTTTGGCGCGCTTCAAGGCTCCCACATATGCGTGCAGTTTGGGGCAAGCACTTTCCGTACGAGATTAAAAAACTCCATGCCCAGTACGGCGGCGTCGTGCGAATTGCGCCTAACGAGCTCTCCTTTTCTGAGGCAGCTGCTTGGGACGACATCTATTCCAACACGGACGGTGCTAATCCCAAGGCTTTTAAGAAAGGTGAGATCTGGCATGGTAACCTCGAGCCGGGGCCTTCATCTGTTTTCACAACAATCGATTTCAAAGAGCACGGAAGAATTCGTAAATTCATGGATCCTGCATTCAGTGAGAGAGCTGTCTTACAACAGGAGCCTATCATCCGGAAACATGTCGATACTTGCATCAACAAACTCCGTAGCCGACCTTCGCGAACTGTCAATATCGTTGACTGGTTCAATTTTACTCTATTCGACATTATCGGCGATCTTTGCTTTGGGGAGTCATTCAATTGCCTCGATAAATGTGAATTTGAGCCCTGGATGGATCAAATGGCTGCATCTATCAAGCTCAATTATCAATCCATCAACATACGACATTTCCCGATCGTCAACTGGTTACTCAAGCCCTTGGGGGGATTTCTAATCCCCAAAGAAATCATCAAGCAACATATGGATTATCGGCAGCGCTCTACTGAGAAATTGGAGCGTGCCCTTCGATCCAACGATACCGATCGACAGGACATTGTATCACAATTACTCAAGAGCAATGAACGAAGCGAAGGCCTGACTCATGAAGAGGTCTTGTTGAATTCAATGCAATTCATCAACGCCGCGAGCGAGACTACAGCCACGACCCTCACGGGAGTCATCAATCATCTACTAGTAAATCTAGATTCTCTGTCAAAACTGGAAGCTGAGGTTCGACAATTCACATCATCAGCCGAGATGACATTACAAGCTTTGAAGCCGCTTCCATATCTCAACGCAGTACTTAATGAGGCCCTAAGAATGTGTAGCTCAATGTCAGTTGAACATAATTGTTTCGCATTCCATCATCTAACAGAGCTCAGTCCCATTGGATATATGCGTGTCTCACCTCCAGAGGGTGGTATAGTCGCCGGCAATTACGTACCCGGTAATGTAAGTGTACCCATCATCTTGGTCGTGTACATTCTCTTACAACGAATAGACCATCGTGACTGTTTTACCCGTGGCGGTGTCCTTCTCTCCAAAATACTTCTACGAGCCAGAATCTTGGCATCCCGAGCGATGGCTTCCAGAAGCTGAGACCGATCCCAAGTCACCATTCTACCATGATCATAGAAAGGCTGTCCGGGGATTTGGATGGGGGCCTTACAACTGTATCGGTGAGCCACTTGGATGGGCAGCCATGCGGTTGATCCTCGCTCAGATGCTCTGGGCATACAACCTCAAGAAGGCTGAAACGCCACACTCGAAAATAATTTGGCATGAACAGGACTGTTTCGGTATCATCATAAAGCATCGTTTAGATGTCATCTTGGCGGACAGAATTGCTTGATTAGATACGTTGGACAGCACGGAGTCATGATGGGATGCATCGGAATCCATGCACGGATAGAGCAAGTCAACTTCTCATACAGCATACAGTTGTTGATAATGTTACATGTGCTTTCCACAAAAACGTCCTCTCAGTTCAGTTGTTATACCTAGCTTTCTTTCCTTAAGGAAATACTGCCCAGCGAAATGTTTCACAGCTGCGTTGTGTCAACACGAATATAAATCCAATCACGGAAATCTTTATTAACCCCATAAATCAACAAGATGGCCTTGCTGGATTTACGCCTAGCATCCTTGCTGATGCAAATTGTACAGCCCGCAATTTATTGATGCTAATGAGACTTCGTCGTCTAAATTATGAAGCGGCAGTAGACGTAGCACCATTGGTCGGTCGATTCGAAGCAGCTCACTGCTTCAAGATGTATGGGTTGGAGAGAGATCCAAGTTTCAGCGCCAATTGCAACGTTCTACTGGCGCTACTGGAGACTGAACCTGAAATTGAAGGTTGCTACTCCGCGCAGATCGAAAAGGCCCTCACATTTCTCTTAGACATATTCGAAATCGGAGACCGAGATACCGTTCATAAATGGGATATTTCGTCCAAATAGGTAGGTACTCATTGATGCTGCTTCTTGAGGTAGTTGTCTCAGCGCTCAAACAATATGATCATGGGCGCCTGCGAAAAATATCACAAGACCTGTTCGCCAACTGCATTCCCAAAATCCATTATAGAATTATCAGCCAGATCATGGGACCATTCATCGGAGATCACAAGTTATAGAATATGATATCACGCAAGCAGAGCGATTCCTAGGAATTGGTCTATAAGCTGCGAATACGAAACGTCGTCAATCTGCATGTGCTTCTGACGATACCGTAATTACTGGAGGGTGTTGAAACGTTTGTTTACTCTAGGCGTGACGCGTGGGGTTATATAAGCATATGAGGTCATTGCTGGCTCGCTTAGCTTAAAGGGAAGGTGGCTAACCTAAATCGGAGTTAGATATCCCCTCGAAGTAGGATACCTCTGAGATGATGATGAAGTACCTATAGGGAATTGGGGTAACATCATGACTATACATGAAGGAGACTTGATTTCAATTTTCGGATAATTTGCAAGTTCAGAAGTATCTGTTTACATGGGTTGATTTTTGTTTGGATGTAACGTTTTGCTTGAATTGATTATTGATGTTTTTGATGTTGATGTTTCAGCAATATTATCACAAGAGTGTACACTAAAGCCAATGTTTTCGGCGTCAGATGCAAGGTCAGAGACATTTGCAATTGTATTGTGATATCAATATGTCGTGCTTCGATCCATCAGCGCAAATCCGATGATCAATGGTAATCTCTCAATGCGCATAGATGCAACCGACAGGTAAACAGTTACACAAGCACGACAACGTCGGATCCTCGCCTGTGATGAGAGGCTTGCAGAGAGAGGCAGAATAACGTTGAGCAACGCTAGGCCATGTTGGGCTGTCTAGCTGCATCAGCCGCATCAGCCACAGAGGGCATTATTTGCATCACGCCGCATCGCCTCGCATCGCATTCGCATCCCCTGCACGGTGTTGCGATTGTCATGATTTACACGTGAAGGAGCGTTGAGACGCATGCAAGCTTGCGTGCGTTTGCACCTCCATGGCGTGGCGATTCAACGGCATACCAAGGAGAGAAGGACTCCGAGTCGCCGCACCGAGGCTTCCGACAGTCGCTTAACAAGAGCCTCGAAGCTCGGTCGCAGGTGACGAGACAGAAAAAATTGAGAACGACGATGCCAATTGAGATGAGCCGCAAGGATTTGTTACGGTTTGACGCTTCTACGGAGTACGGTATGTATTCACGATTCAGACCAGCCGTATTCAGCAGTCGCAGTACAGAATCTCATCGTGCTAGGCGGAGCCGAGACCCTTTGAAGAAGCTGAAATTAGCCAGACGGAACTGCATTCGGCTATGACGCTGATCCACCCGCCCGTCCGCTTGATTTGATGATTCCTATTTGAACCTCGAACCCTCGAGTTAGTACAAAGACGGAATAGACTGGGGAACGAACGGGATGCGCTGCGCTGTGCTGCTATTCTTTCACATGCATCTGATACCCGCCTTACACTCCGTGGAGTCATAATTCGTGAGCGATGGCGAGGCGAGGGCTGCGAGGCGAGACGACGAGGACGAGGACGAGGATGAAGATGACCAGTAGGCGTCGCAACATTCCTCTCCGGAATTCCCTCATCTCTCAACAACAACAAGGACCTTGCGATCCCTTGACTGATAAGCGATGCTGCCTTGATGCTCTCCTCCAATTGGATTCTGGTGCTATCGCCATATGGATTTACCCCTCATTCTAGGGGAGATTAGAGGAGATAGAGGCCATGGGGGTTGAGTAGAGGGACGAGACAGGTCACAGAATAAAGAGACAATGTGCTGCGGCTTATTTACCCATCAATGATAACGAGTCCTTGATGCCGGATTGAGGGTGTATGGGTGGAATTGAGTTGAATTGAATAGAGTATGTTAGTTCGAAGCTGCAGTGGGTCAGGAAACTCTCTTGTGCAGGACAAAAGACGATGGCCATGTTGTTTTATTCTTAGCACTATTATGTACTTTTCTGTAGTTATACCGGACTGTGAACTGTGAACTGTGAAGTGTATGCATGGAATGATGGATGCCCTTATCGCTGTCGTTAGACATCCAATGATGGTCCAAGCTTCCTCTTTCACATGCCAATCTTGGATCCTCCCACAACAAAAAGTTGGCGGGGATTCAACAAAAAATAACCCGTGAGATGACATGATTTGATTCACAAGTCAAGTCAACTCAATACCAGTCCGGTTGACAAGACTAATAAACCCATTAAAAACTCTCGCCCCTGTCCTCCAAGATACATGTTAATAAGTGGGCTGTCCTTCGGTCCAAGACCTTGAAGCGGCAGCCCAAAACGCAAAAGGGCGTCCCAGTGGTGGTCCTGCCCAAAGTACCGTTCAAGTACCTAACTGTCTGTACATTTGCATGTGTCGATACAGTAAGGTAATGCGACAAATGTACACTGTAAATATGAGATACATGAGAGTGACTTATTACTCGGAACCATGATTCAAATGATCAGAAGCCAGAGCAAGGTTATACGTTATCGATGGATTATTGAGTACGTCTAGCTTACCTGACCTTTCTCGTAACTACTCGTAGGTACATTCAAGGTTGCTTTAAGGTTATTATCTCGTTATTATCATATTGACGATTCACTGTCACATGCAATTCGAACCACCTTTAATCTGTCCACTGCCAACAACCCACTCCACTTCTCTCCATCACCCATTCACCACCACTACTCGACTCCGTGCTCTCACACCTTTTTCAACCGCCTCATCGCCTTTCTCTTCTTTACACGCACCTGCAAGTCTCTTAAGAACCTTCTTCTCCTCTTCAAGAACAGAGCCGCACTCACAGTCACATAACATCATATCGCGCCATTCATCATAGCACCTAGCCTTCCCTATCTACATCCAAGGTACGCTCCCAACCCTATATTCGTCATCCCAACCCAACCCTGCCCTCTCATTCCGCGACCTTCCTACTCGTATCCTTCTTCCTTGTCGTCGCGTTGCACCTACTCGTACCCATCCGCTCCTCACAATCCCCTGCATTGCATTACATTGCATTGCATTACATTACCTCCACTGCCTACGGTACGACAAACACACACATCCACATCCACGTCCACCATATCCACGTCTGCGCATTCGTACACCCGGTCTCTGATCGTCCATCGCAGCAGTCTACGGACATACGCGCCGGCCACCGTCGAGTATAATTATAATCAAGCAACCGCCGACCGATAGAAATGCCACACGCTGAGAAGGACGGCTCCGTCTACACCAACGGCAACATGAGCGCAACCCCCACCACCACCAATGGAACTCCCTTGACCAACGGCGAGAAGCCATCCTCAAAAGTCCTATCAGTAAGCCCACCTTCTTCCTCTATACACCCCCATCTACAGTCTCGATCCTAACCCCAACCACCAGCATCTCCAATCCTACCCCGTCGTCCACGACTCCCTCGAATACTACCGTGCCCACCCCTACGGCGCCAAATCCCTCACCATCTTCCACAAGACCTACGCCCAATTCGTCGCCCCGCTCCACCCGTACCTCCAGACCCCCTACTCCTACCTGCACCCGTACCTCTCCCGCGCCGACGAGCTCGGAGACTCCGGCCTCACGAACCTCGACACGCAGTTCCCGATCGTCAAGGAGGAGACCTCCACCCTGAAGGAGAAGGTCAAGTCCGTCGTCGGGGTTCCCCTCAGCCTCGTCGGAAAGGGAAAGCAGTACGTCTTCAGCACCTGGGAGGACGAGTACAAGAAGACGGGCGGCCAGGACGGCTGGGGAAAGACGGCCAAGGCCATCGTCAGCACCGAGCTCAAGGTCGCTCATGACGGCCTCAGCGTCGTGAAGAACTGGTGGGCGAAGGGAGAGGAGACGGTCGCGAAGAAGGTCGACGAGGTCAAGGCGAGGCAGTAGATTCACGTTGGAGGTCCTTACAAATTGTCATACTAGGAGGGCGGACGAGCATGCTGGCTAGCTAGCTGGCGAGTGTCCGTCGATGGTAGTAATGTGTTTCATTTTTTTGACATCTTTTTTTGATTACCCCCTCCACGTCGTTTCTTCATCAGGGGGGCTGTTTTTTTAAGATCCTGTCGTTCGCAAAGTCAGTTCGGGAGGAGGAATCGGGTGGTTGGCTCGCAGGGTTGCGGCGGGAAAAAATATCTCGAAGATTATTTTTTGTACTATTTTTCGTATTCCGCGACGACGACGACTACGACGACGAGAAGACAGACAGACAAAGCCCCTTTTCTTCCTTTGCTTTCTTTTCCATTTTTACTTGTTTCGAAACTCTAGTTAATTAGATCAATTACTTCTCTCTCTCTTCTTTCGTTCGGAAAGTCTTGGGCTTCGGAGCGAGGGGCCGGGCGGAGTGTCTCACCAATTTGTTCGTTTTATTTTTTTTACACCCCTTCGGTTATGATACTTCTCTCCTCTCTTAAGTACTCGTACTTTGCTTGTTGGGCTTGGGCACATGGGATGGGATACATTGATAGATAGATATTAGGTTAGGTAGGTATTATGTCATATTTGGGTCTCCTTCAACTGTTGCGATGTTTCCTAGTGAAAAGACTCAAGCATGCCTTTTATCGTGGGGTAGTGTGGGGTGGTGATATTTGTGATATCGTGACAATGTATGGAGATATGCTGGTAGGCTGTAGCGAAGGTGATACATGTGACGGTGAGCGCTTGGAATTATGTTAGTGCGTCTGGGGAAGGCGGACGTGTTGCCGAGATGTGTTTTCCCGTAAATGCTTCTCTGCGATGGCGATTGGGAGTGGGTGTCCGTGATGTGGGTCGAGTACTCTCTATCTGATGTTAGCAGGGCGCATGGCGTCGTCGGCGAGGATGAAGTTGAGGGCGTGTCCATGAAGGGTGTCGGGTAATCTCTATCTCTAGGGTAAGTAGAAGACTGAAGCAGCACTGTGTTAGCGAGTACAGACGAACGGGCACAGAGGTTCGCTATGCTCTCCTTCATCACATCAAGGTAGATCATCGAACGTCTGTCCAGACGGGGGCTCGTGGTGGTGAAATTGGGAAATTGTTTGTACGCCTCATTGATCAAGTTTTCAGTACATGTCCGGATGGCAAGGACGGCCATTTCCTTTTAATTTTGTTTCTTTTTTCGTGACTCGTTCCCTGTACATCCCCTGTATGCTCATCCCAAGTGTGCTCTTTCGCAACATGTGGGATGCGGGAGACCAGGTTCACTGAGAGTCACACACACGACCCCACACATGCGCACACATGCAGAAAGTGTCCTTCAATAATGACGCCCCAGCCATGAATTGGACCGACCGACCGACCAACTGACCAACCGACCGACCGAAAAGAAACTGCCACACATCTAGAATCGCAGCGGAGTGAAGAACCACCTGTTCTTTCCTGACGTGTATCGCTCCTCGAAAGCCTTCTTCACTGTCTTCTTGGCGTCCTCCCTCTGGGAAACCTCCTTGAATGTGTCGTTGCTGAGGACACCCTTGAGGTTCTCGAGCTCGAGGGTGTAGCGGGTGGGCATCAAATGGGTGTCTGCCAGGATATCATCAGTCTTCCACGTTCTATCACAAAAAATCCTAATTCCAACCACTCTCGCATCTCCTCACACTCTGCAATGGAGAGTGCGAGGTGGAAGAAAATTTTCTCTCTGGGTATACGCACAGTTGACCTGCTTGACGAAAGGCTTGACCTTGGACTTCTTCTGCTGCTTGCTCTTCGACATGCGGCGGGTGACTTTCGATGGGTACCTCTCAATGCCGGCGACGAGTGCGTGAGGGAAGGGGAGCGACTTGGTGCCGTTGTCGAGAGGCTGGATGATTACGCACTTCTTACCGGCGTAGCGGCCTCGAGTGATGATCTGCGCGAAATTGTGAGTGGGCTGTTGACAAACGTCTCGAAATTCATTGTGCGAGCGAGGGAAAACGTACGACAACGCGTCCGACCTTGAGGCTGTGAAAGAATTGTTAGCGCATGTTCATTCTTGAATTTTGAAGATGTAGAAAAAAATCCAGTATACGTCGACGAGAGAAACCTGAGCCAAGCGATTGTGTGAACGCCTCTGTGGGAAGTGACCGCATGTCGCTGACCAGTGTTTCCTCCGCCTCGCATTGAAGGATCGCAATCGTATTGAGTTCGGGGCTGCACTCACAACTTCATCGTGACTGATTTCCTGCGGCGTGTGGGAGGGTTAGTAGGTCGTGATAATTGATGGAGGTTCGCGAGTGTCGACAATATTCAGGTGTGGCACCAAAGTTAAGCGAACCCTAGCTTAGTCAGAAACCCCGACCCCCCGGTCGCTTCGCCCCAAAAACTTTATTCTACCATCATCGCATTGGACCGCAGAAAACATCGGAACAGAACTTTGTCCATTGTTGCGCCCGCACCATGAAGATCAAGACGCTCAGCAGGTCGCCTGCTACGACGCAGGCACCTGGGTCAAATGTGACAAAGGTGCACCGCAATCTGAACCCGGAAATGCACCCTTTCGAGCGTGCTAGAGAGTATACTCGCGCCCTCAATGCGACAAAGGTTGAGGTAAGTTTTATGTTCATTCAGTCCCCTTTGCAAGTTTTTCTTATGAATGCTAACCCTCCTGTGTGCAGCGCATGTTTGCCAAACCCTTCCTCGCAGACTTCGAGCCAGGCCATGTCGATGGTGTCTACAGTTTTGCCAAAGACCCCGAATCTCTCGAACACTTCGCAAGCGGCTCTGGTGATGGGGTTGTAAAGTTATGGGACATGACCACCCGGGAGGAATTGTGGCAGGCTCAGGCCCATGAGAACATGGTCAAGGGACTTTCTTGGACTCGCGACAAGAGGTTGCTTACCTGCGGATCCGACCGCAAAGTGCACCTGTTTGAGCCATACACCAAGTCCAAGGAGCCCGTCGGTACATGGATGGGTGCACATGCTTTTACCTCGATATCGCATCACCGTTCCATACCATCCTTCGCTGCTGCTTCGAGCAATATCGCTATCTATGACGTTTCAAGGGTCTCCACAGCCCCAGTTCAAAGCTTGGTTTGGCCAACCGCCATCGAGACGATCAGCTCTGTCAAGTTCAACCAGACGGAAACCTCGATACTGGCATCGTGTGCTTCTGATCGCTCGATCATATTATACGACTTACGCACATCACAACCGCTTCACCGCACTGTACTGAACTTTGCGAGCAACGACATCTCGTGGTACGTGTGGGAAAGAAGAACGGGCAAAGTTCATTCATTAACATAAGTTCTAGGAACCCTATGGAGGCCTTCAACTTCGCCGTCGCCAACGAAGACCACAATGTATACATATTTGACATGCGAAACATGAAGCGCGCCCTCAACGTCCTCAAGGACCACGTTGCGGCCGTCATGAGCGTCGAGTTTAGCCCCACGGGCGAGGAATTGGTTTCTGGATCTTACGATCGCACTGTGCGTCTTTGGTCTCGATCGTCTGGTCACTCTCGAGATATATACCACACTAGACGAATGCAGCGTGTTTTCTCAGTTGGTAAGCATTCACAACCCCGTCGCATCCATGACGATAACAATGTCACTGACCCACCCGTGCAGCCTGGACACCAGACAACAACTACATCCTCAGCGGCAGCGATGACGGCAATATCCGTCTTTGGCGTGCGAAAGCATCGGCCAGACAAGGCGTCAAGTCGTTTGCCCTGCGCCAGAAACTCCAGTACGACGACGCACTCAAGGAGAAGTACAAGCACATGCCGGAGATCAGGCGCATCGCCCGCCACAGGCACGTGCCCAAGTCCGTCAAGAAGGCCGGCGAGATCAAGAGCGAGGAGCTCAAGGCGATCAAGAGGAGGGAGGAGAACGAACGCCGACACACGAAGAAGGGACAGACGAGGAGGAAGTCGGAAAGAGAGAAGATGGTGTTGGCTCGGGAGCAATAGCCTGGTGCTCTTTCTTTTTTTCTTCGCCTCCCTGCACTTCCGCGGGGCATGGTCTTCACATCATATGTTGTTGCATAGGTACGTGGCATAGCGTCTGGCGTTTCTCTCTCGACTTTCTTGGACTCAGCTCCAACAAAAAAGGCCTCGGTTCTGGTATGGTAGCCGTTACTAAAATGAATATACCCAATGTGCGATAAGACCCTTTGAATTTTTTTCATGCATCGGGTATGCATGCATGTTCGCATCCCTCCGCCAGTCAGCCCTGCCGCGTCCCTCCCCTTCCATGGCCCCGTTGATGCCAGGTGATCTCGCGCTGTAAGGCAAGGCTGAAGCATGGGCCAAGCGAGGCTGTGTGGCCCAGGGACCGGTCTGCTCACCGTAAGCTGTGCGTTGGCTCTGCGATAACCTTCTAAAACTTAATAGTTATAACAATTTGAGACGGAGGTAGTCGCGAGCATTCCACTGAACAGGAAAATGTCGTCTACTCCGTCACTTTACTGCTCGTTCAAGCACCCAAGAGATATCCGCCTGCTGCGCATTCAGCATAAGAAAAAATCCGAAAGGATTGAGATCGACTTTGATCATTTTGGACTCGACACGGGTGTACAATATATGGCTCTTTCCTACGTCTGGGGTAATCCGTCACCGCCATCTTGGGTGACCTGTAATGGCCGTCGTGTACCCGTTACCCGCAACCTCTGGGAAGTCTTGTCCTGTCTGCAGAAAACCGGATTCAATGGTTGGCTATGGGTAGATGCTATCTGTATAAATCAGCAAGATGACAAGGAGAAGGGTGTCCAGGTCAGCATGATGCGAGACATATACAAGCAAGCCGCGAAAGTTATATTTTGGCTTGGGAAACAAGAGCAATTCGACAACGAGGCAGTCCATTTGATCAATGTTTTCATTCAGAAGCATGAGATCAATTCAGATATAGGTCACCTTAGGTCTAAATCTTTGATAGATGTCGGGCTACCAGTCACTCATCGAGGATGGGCTGGTTGGGCCTCGCTCATTTCTCGTCCTTGGTTCGGGCGTGTGTGGGTCGTACAGGAGTTTCTGAACGCGACTCGATCAGTATTCATGTCTGGTGCTCTGGAAATCCCTAGCGAACGCTTTGTGTGGTTTGCATTTGCTACAGGAGCATGCGCAGCAATTGGAGAAACCCTTGCCATGAACAGTGCCGATATTTCAAAGGACAGGCATCTCATATTGAGAGCATTTGCTTTCGGTCTTGACAACCATGTTCGCGAAATAGAGAGCACGATGGATACTCGACTCGTAGACTTATGGACGAAAAGTCAGCTACTTGAAGCAACAGATCCCCGCGACAGAGTCTTTGCTCTTTTATCAACGCAGACTGCTGTAAGTATGGAGATCGTTGATTACAAGAAAGACTTAGTGGCGGTCTACACGGAAATTACTAGTCTTGCTCTGATGCTGCCGGTAGCTCATACAGACTGGTACAGCTCAACACTACACAATCCCAGTCGCAGTCCTTTGATAGGGACGAAAGAACGTACAAGTAGGTTTCTCGCCTGCAAAACTACGACCCCACACCCACCGGGCCTACCAAGCTGGGTACCGGATTGGAGACCAGTGGGCTTCAGGTTTGTTCCATTGACGCGGTATTATCCAGGTACCGCCTGGTTTGCTCATGATTATAGTCATGCCATAATCTCTGGCAAGGTAACTCTCTAACATCAGCTATCCAGCTATGGTTGACTGACATAGACAGGTCATGGCAATTTCAGGATACACTGTGGACCGTCCGAGCATCATCGTAGACTCGATGTCGATTGCTGGTCTCAGAAACCCTTATCTAGCAACTGATCTCTTGGACAAGATGTTCAAGGCCGCCCTGAACTGGCAGATCATGTGCTATTTATTAGCTCGAAGATATAGTCGGCATAGAGAGGCATTCCTCGAAGTATTTTGCCGAACCATGGCGTTCAATTCATTACGTTTACGACTTGCCGTACCTGGGTCTGAGTATATCGCCGGATTCCAATCGCTTCATAGGAAACTCGCAACAGGCATGAAATACCGATTAGAGTTTCCAGAGACTCGCAATCCGGACAGCTCTGTGATCTTCGAGAGTTTGTTTTGCGAACTTACCGCAGGTCGAAAGTTTGCCATCACCAGAAGTGGAGATTTGGCTTGGGTGCCAGAGACTACAACGTTGGATGATCAGATCTGCTTCCTTGCAGGTTCTGCGGTCCCATTTGTAATTAGGTCTGCTGGCGAGTCCTTCAAACTTCTTGGAGACTGCTACTTGCATAGCAGGATGAGCAATGGGAATATAACGATCACCGGCCGGCCTCGATTTATGCATTTTCGGTGATTGGGAATGAGTACATGATGAGATGAAGCAAACGGCTGGACGTCAAGCAGAATAGTCTTCCTAAACGAAAAATAGAAATTGGAGTTTGTGGTTGGATTTGATGTCGTTTCATAATAATGGATTTCATTACATGGAATGCGCAATGGTTGGGCCGTGGAGCCAACCGCCATGCGACAGTAGCTAGCGGAGGATTCTTGGCTCCCCTTCTTTCTTTTCCTTTCTCTAAATCTTCTACCTTTTTGCCTTGCAGGGTGTCTGCTTCCTTTCTGTCGTTGCTGTTGATGTAGGGAGGAGGGCGGGAATGGAGGTGAGAGGGACATATAGAACGTGCTCCGACGAGAAAAGAGCATAATAGCAGGGACCATTCACCTCCCTACCTATCTTTTTCGCAATCGTGACTTAGGTCCTAGGATTTTCCTACTATGTTTTCTTCTTCTTTCACATGTTTCTTTTCATGGGATTTCTTTTCTCTCTGGTTGTTTGGAAAGCGCGGAATGGATCTAAAACGGATCATTGTCCGGGCGTTTGTGCTTGGGTAGTTTGTGCTGGAAGCCCATTTTCAAAATATGCGGTTTCCGCTTCTCGAGGTCGAGGATGGCTTGGCCGAAGAGGCCGTTTGCCCATGAGAACCTGGAGCACGTGCTGTTAGTCACGCGAAGTATAGAGACGAACTTGAATTAGACTGTACAAACTCACCACTGTCTACTCCATATTCCGGGCTGATGGCTGCTGACGCTCTCGTGCATGACGCCCAACCCATCCGTGCTGCCGACGAGGTCGGATAGAAACCTCACGATCTCGGCGTCGTTGTCGCTCGTCAGGATCCCCATGATGCTAGCCATCGGCCACGCACGCCCGGGCAGCGTGTGCGGGCTTCCCACGCCGGTGATGACGGGGCCCCAGGAGTAGTACGGGTTGTCCTTGCTAAGGATCTTGCGGCGGGTGTTTGCGTAGACGGGGGAGTCGCGGGGGAGGTAGTTAATGAAGGGGGCGGAGAGCAGGGAGGGGATGTTAGGGTCGTCCATGACGTTTGCGGAGCCGTAGCCGTCGACCTCGTAGGCGTAGATGTCGCCGTGTACGGGATCGCGCACGATTCCGTGGGCTTCGATGCCCTTGCGGATTCCGCGAGACATGGCACGCATCTGCTTCGTGAGGTTTAGGTTCTTGCCCTCGATGTACGACATGATGGGTACGGTGGCGTTGAGTGCGGCGCTGAACATCATGTTGGAAGGGATTAGGTACTGGTAGGTGCATGCGTCGTCTGAGGGGCGGTGGTACGACCGGATGAGACCAATGTTGCCGCGGTGGGGGGATCCGTTGCAGTCGTTGATCGGGGTGCCTCCGTACGGTGCGCAATAGGTGTACGGCGTATGGAGCCAGACACCGTCTTCGGAGTACGAATTGATGGTCATGCTCCGGGCCGTGGTCAGGATGGTGTCCACGGCGGCGGTCCAGTTGTGTCGCGCAAAGAAGTCGTAGTCCTGCGTTGCAGTCAAGTAGTCCGAGGACAGCTGGAGGAACGAAGCAACCGAGTCAAGCTCCCACTGGCAGGAGAATACCTTGTAGAAGTCAAAGTAGGGTGTGATTGTGTCGGAATTGGCACTGCTCTTGCGTATTATGCCGGCTTCGTCAGGAGCCTGAAAGGCATTGCAGAACGGGGCATCCATGATGTATCGGGCTTGCAGGTTGATGGCTCCTCGAAACAAGGCTGCAAGACTGTTCGAGCTCTCGTTCGCTTTCAGCAGGCTCACATATGCTTGGAGTTGATTCGCCGAGTCTCGCAACCACATTGCTTCGATGTCTCCAGTGATCACAAAGGCCAGGTCTTCATCCGGAGCAGTGGTGTAGTTGGAGTTGGCAAAGCCCCGCCATGCTATTGTCGTATCCAATGTGCTCGGCCAGCTGTTTTCGAAGATGCGCATCAAGTCCGGGTCGACGATTACATGTCGCAGTCTTTCTATGGTGTCCTCGACCTCCTGGGAGTAGAACGTTCGACAAGACGGGATAGGCCGGGCATAGGAGAGATTCCAGGTTCCGGTAGAGTACGGCTCATGGCGTTCGGCGGAGTAATGTTGGTATAGTGGACATTGTGCCAGAACTCCTTGAAGTCCTGAATAGATGAAGGCGACGAAAGCGACAGACGGGAAGGATGGAAACTTCATGATGATTGGTCGTCGGACATCCCAATAAGTGCTAGCTCTTCAGTGTTCTTAACATATTCCTACTACGACCGGACTTTTCAAGCAAGACGAGAATCACGAAGGAGGTTTGACCAATACATAACAACAATCAAAGAGAATGAAGGCCAAACACGAAGAAAAAGAAGAGACGGTACAAGAATCCGAAAGGTTTATTATGGAACAAGTGTCTGGAATGGATTTTCCGAGCTCGCCAAGTGCTGCAGTCGCTCTATTTGGTCACGCGCGTGGTCGCTGCTGCTCGCTTGTGCGGACACTACTCGTACTTTACTCGTCTGGTTCGGGAGCTACGAGGTGTCAACTAGGAAAAGGAGGTAAGGGGGTTAGCAGACATTATCAGTAATGTTATTATTAGTAGCAGTAGTGGGCTCGTTGCTTTTTATTAGTACGGTAGGCGTTGTCTGTCTTTTGAGTCACCTCTCCTCTCGGAATTCCGGCCGAATGTAAAAGCCTAATTGCTCAACCTCACATGTGGAATGCTGCAGCAATTGCCGAGCTGATATTGTGATTTTAATTGCCAAGGGACATGTGTCGCCTTGCTTCGACCACCCCATTGGGAAGGGGAATGCGCGTGCGTGCATGTATGTGTATACCACCACCGTGTGTCGCTTGACAAGGCTGAGACGGACATCTAGCCTTTGACAATCGCTCGCACTCTATTTCTCTCTTCTGCGTCCATGACCCACGGAATGCCCGAGTCTCCTCCTTCTTCATTCACCACGTCGTCCCATTCGTCGTCGTCCATGTTCATTATCAGAGTCATCTGCGTGCATTTTGTGAAGGCGTCGCGCAGACCATATCTACCACCCCCCACAGCAGCATTGACGATGCCAGCGACGTCGCGTTCCAATCTCACGGCACCTAATTCGTTGACCCTTCCATAGTACCCCTTGATGCGCTTCTCAAGCGCACTAGCCAAGGACGTCATTGCAACGGTCAACAGTCGGTCGTAGTTGGCGGGTGTCAGGATACGTTTGATCGGGCGGATCACAGCTCCCCAACCGCGGTCGAAGCGCGACTTGACTAAATCGACATCATCGTCGAGGTCGTCGTCATCCGCGTCGTCCTCCTCACCAGAAGGTGCATAATCTACGTCGCGGAATGCTTCGGCAAAGATGGGGCGGACACGAGGTTTTAGCACGTTGTGGAATGTAACTTGGATACCGTCATTTAGTAGCTCGCCAGCTTTGGACGTAAATGATTGTTCCAAAGCTTTGAGCTTGTCTTCCACGAAGGTCGCGTCATGTCCGAAGGGAAACAAGTGCTTGAGTCGAGACCCTCCAGGTTCTTGCCCGCCTAGCTGTGTCTCAAGAATCTGCTTGATGTAGTCGTTCGCCTTGTCAAGGTTGTTTATAAGGACTAGGAAAGCAATGACCTTGTCTTCGGGCGGAAGTGCACCCTGGATCACAGGTTTCGGATAACACTCGTCGCGCATCTTTCGCTGGATCATTCCAATGAAATCGCCGCCAAGAACACGTGCTATGGTGGGGACAACACTGCCCACGACGGCTCGTTGTGAGGTTGCCAGGGATCTTTGTAGTATCTGATTGACGATATACATGACATCGTCCACAGCCGAGGTGATGAACGGGGGATTACCCCCCAGCGGCTTCGAGGGATTCAGGTTGAGGTCCGAGGGAGATTCATCAAGTTGAAACGCCTTCTCTACCGAACGCCGGAAGAAGAATGTTGTCATCTCATTGAATGGTTCTACAAGATGGGATGAGACCTTCTTGTGTAGGTTGCTCGTCGACAAAAACGGAGGCATGGTGAGGCCATGATCGATCCCGGGCGGGTCAGGGGATTCGCGAGGCTGCGTCGATTAATTAGTAATTGACTATGACCGTGATATTGATAGTGATGAAGCACGGTATGACTCACAGCGCATTTGTCAGAGATGAATCGCGAGTACAGTGCCCACCGTCCCAACATGAGAGCACTCTCTCCCAATAGACCATCTACCTCTTTCATGTTGACGCCTTCATCTTCGCTGGATCTCGTCGGAGCATTGGAGGGAGAATTGGAGCGAGGGGCGCCGGCTGCAGGCTTCTGCATGAAACTCTGTACCAAAAACGAGAAGGCGTAGGACTTGATATCGGTAAGCTTGCGGTCGATGCCTCGCTCTTCATGCCAAGTATCCAATACGATGCCACCCTGAACATCGGCCTCCATCTGTAGTCGTTCAATGACCTTTGCCATCATGCCAGGGCCATAATGCCTCTCCACCAATGGTTCATGGCCATCCACGATCTGAGCAATGTGCTCGAACAATTTGGTGATGGTCTGCGCATAGAAGAAACCCTCTTTGCGCTGTGCGGGAGCGGCCGAGTTGAAGTTTGTTCGGGCCCTCGAAGCTACGCCCTGGCACACATATCGACCGTAAGCGTCGAGACCGGTATCAGTGCGGCCGATCAAGGGGAATAGCTTGAAGAACCTTGTGACTCGTGAGCCATCGCCCTCGCTCGCGGCCTTCTCGAATTCGCGGAGAAACAGGCCGCACAGAGACTCGGCAGCTTGATCGAGGGTGACCCTAGGGGGGTCCGGGATCTCGGTGGTGGGAACGATCTCCTCGGCGAAGCTGCCATCAACAACATCTTGGGGTATTTTGGAGGCTCGACTGAGGTGACCGGCAGCCGTCTCCCAATCCTGGGGAGCTCCCATGGAGCCGTGAACTCCGAGAACACATGCTTTCAATTCGGCGACCTGCTCGACGACCTGGAGGGTGGCTCGAACGTTTGACTGCTCGCGGTCCAGCCTCTTGACGGCGGTGGATATACGTTTGGCGGTTGAGGCAGCATCGGAGAGCATGCCATTGCTGATTGCGCGAGTGGTGTTTGCTTGGGTTCCGAGGTGGGCGCGGAGCAGATCGAGGCGGCCGAGTTCGCGGGAGAGATCTGTTTGGGAGGCTACGAGGTCATTGAGGCGCTGGGTGACTGTGGCTTCTTGGTGGTGGAGGTGTGCGAGAGTGGCATGGAGATCAGCCACCGACGTGGCAGCGAAGATGTCGGTATGGGCATGATGGAGGTCGACATGGGGATGGGTTGAGACCATGTCGGTGGCCGTCATTGTGCGGATAGGATAGGTGGACTGGAGGGGTGGTAGTCCGGGTGGTAGTGGTGGTGATGATGGCAGTGGCAGATGGTTCGAAATACTCGAAAGGTACAAGTAACCCTCCATAGTGGTAGATGACCGTTGATTGGTTGGTTGGTCTGCCGGTCGCTAATCGGTTAGACTGGCCAGGTACGGTTAAGTTAATCAATCACAGACACATAAATAGCAGGGCAGGGCAGGGCCAGGCACGGCTGGAGATACAAGTCCTCGTACCGGCGGATACTCTGCGCAGATGGTTAGAACATAAGGAACTGATCAATGGGTGGTTGATTTTTCTGGACATTATTGATCATTGATCAATCTCGTAACTTGAAGTACTTTGCCTTCTTCATACTCGTACTGTGTAGTAGTTTGAGGTAGTAGAGTAGTGGTAAGGGAAGGGTACCTCGTTGGGTGGAGATCGGCGGGTGGGTTGCTTGGCTGACGATGACGCGCGGTTGCCATGATAACATCACAGGACAGGGTAACGAGTACTTGTAGTTATGATCTACCACTCTCTTCTTGCAATAATAATAATGATGATGATCCGCAGAACAGAGCTTGTAGAGGATATTTCGGAGAAGTAGTCAACGATGATTCAATGTGCTGTGTAGTAGCTATGTTATTGTGTTGTATGAGTGGGAGAATGAATGACGGAGTGACAGAGTGACAGAGACGGGGATGGTGGAAATGAATTGGTTGGTTGCCATCGCTGGTTGCTGTCTGCAGGGAAGGCACAAACCAACGCACCTGCCGCATCATCAAACTCTCGTACACAGTTATTATTATTACAGGAAGGAGCTACTCGTCACTATGTAACCAAGTAGCCACTCGTAACCAAGTTTAACTGTGTTAGCTGTAACTACTGTGTAAACTACCTCGTACCTACTGTAGGAAATCATTATTTTGGGGGCTTCCACCCAAAAAACTTGAGAAGTTCCAGGCCTTCCTTCCCACTTTCCCTTTGCGCCTTCTCCGCTTAACACATGCACCTGCATCTTCTCTATTCCTAATATTCCTATTATTACTACTCTAATCAACCCTTTGTCTTCCACCTTGCTCCTTCCTTCCTCCTCCTCCTCTTTCCTTCCTCTCGTCTTGTTATTTCCACCCCAAGAACTCTTGACTCTTCCTCCTACTTGCTTGGCTTTGCTTGTACTCACCCCCTCCTACTCCTACTCCACCACTCTACCTCTTAGAGATTCACCCTTCCTCGACTTCACTCTACTCTACTTCGTACTCTACTCTATACCTAGGTAGCTATACTATACAATAGTATACCACGAGTACCTCTATACACAGTACACTCGACTCGACTCAACTCCACTATTCCGCTACTGCACTATACGAGTGGACACCACGACTACTGCAGCCACTATTACGACAACGCCCTGCGCCCCCCTCCCATTGACTTCAGCTCGCCTCTAGTACCATTCCAGTACCATTCAAGTTCCCACTACTCCCCCAACCACAACCCAATAATTTTCAGCTACAAGTACGAATATCACGACTACAAGTCACGATTGCGACTACCGCCATACCTACAGGTCCACTGCTTATCGTCTGATTCTCGGAATACTATTGTGTACCCGTAGTCAACATTCCTCGCGCAAGCAACATTGGGCCTGAGTCCTTGCTTATCGATAGCACCCTGTCGTCCTCACAAAAACATATTACCCAACTCGTCACCTCTCCGGCGCCCTGTGCACCTCCTGCACCACCTCAATCACAACTTTTTCCTCGACTCTACCTACCTTACCCTACCTATCATAACAAATCCGTTCTCCATGTCTCTGCGGTGAGCGGAACTTCAACAGATAACTATAGCAGCGACATACCGCTGCGACCTTGCAAGTCCGCGACCAACACCACTACCCTCGCGGCCACGGACAAGATTACAACCACCACATATCATGGATACCACCGGCCATATCCTAGCGACCGCCCATCATGTATACGCCCGCAGCGGAGGGATCGGAGGGGACAAGAATGGGCGACCGCCGATCTTCAAGATCGTCGGCTTGGTCCTGGCCATCGCATCCGGTCTGTTCATCGGTGTCTCATTCGTCTTGAAAAAGATGGGATTGTTGAAGGCCAATGTCAAATACAACGAGGAGGCTGGCGAGGGCTACGGATACCTGAAGAACGTGTGGTGGTGGGCAGGTATGATCCTCATGATCATTGGCGAGATATGTAACTTTGTCGCCTACGCTTTCGTCGATGCCATTCTAGTCACCCCTCTTGGTGCACTATCCGTCGTTGTCACTACTATCCTGTCCGCCATCTTCCTCAAGGAGCGCCTGAGTTTCGTCGGCAAGGTGGGATGCTTCAATTGCATCATTGGCTCAGTGGTCATTGTCATCAATGCCCCGGAGCAGTCGGCAGTCTCGGACATCCAAGACATGAAGAAACTAGTATTGTCGCCCGGATTCTTGAGCTATGCTGGCGTTGTCATCGTAGGCTGCGCCATCGTCGCTATTTGGCTGGGTCCGAAGTATGGCAAGAAGACTATGATGGTCTATCTCAGCATTTGCAGTCTGATCGGTGGCCTCAGTGTCGTCGCAACCCAGGGCCTGGGAGCAGCCATTGTAGCAGCAATAGGTGGAAAGTCGCAATTCAAGGAGTGGTTCACCTATGTTCTACTCGTCTTCGTCATCTCGACGCTATTGACCGAAATCATCTACCTGAATGTAAGTTCCCCACGGATATACACCGCCGCAACTCTTTTGCGCTCAATATTCTAACGTTATATCCTCTACAGAAAGCGCTCAATCTCTTCAATGCTGCTCTGGTCACGCCCACCTATTACGTTTTCTTCACTTCCGCAACCATTGTCACCTCGGCCATTCTCTTCCGCGGCTTCAAGGGCACGCCGGCCACCATTTCCACCGTCATCATGGGCTTCCTCCAGATCTGTGCAGGAGTCGTGCTATTGCAACTCTCCAAATCGGCCAAAGACGTTCCCGATGCCGCCGTCTTCAAGGGCGATTTGGATCAGGTTCGAACCGTCGCGGAACAAGAGGAACCAGAATACGAACCCCGTGCTGACACAATCCGTGGCGGTTCCTCCATTATTCGATCCATATCCAAGGCCAGAACGGAGAAGCAGGCCCTCGAGGCGAAGAGAATCCACGACGAGCAACAGATGGAGTCTATCGGAGAGAACGAGCAATTGGAATGGGATGGTCTCCGCCGAAGGAAAACTGTTCTTGATCCCGAGCGCTCTGGCACCATTGTCCGCCGCAAGACCGTACATCCGCCGCTTGGAATGTCTTCATTCCCCCCTGAAGATGAATCAGACGATGACACCAGCTACCATCCTGGCTTCTTCCAACGCCTGCGCTCTCGAGGCAAGTCTACTAGCAGTACTCGCCCTCCCACCGGTGTCGGCCTGAGCTCGCTTCCGCCAGTACCCACCGATGGTGCTTCGGAAAGATCGGGATCTCACATCTCCCGCAAGGACTTTGGACAGGATACAGCGTACCACCCGCACGATAATACTATCCAGTTCGCGCCCATGCCCTCATCTCACCATGACGAAGAGCGTCACAACTCTGGCGACTCCCTTCACCCCCCTCGACCACCACCACACACGGCTAAGCGCCAATTCTCGTTTCAAAACGTCTTCTCACGTCACCGCTCTGAGAGCACGGGTTCCGGTCCCGAGAAGATGAGACCCACCAGCCGAAGTAGTAGAAAGAGCAGCCGAGATCACCATCACCAGGGAGCTGGAACCGAGGAGGAACGACTCGGACTTGTCACTGGCGATTCTCGGACCCTCCTCTCCGCCATTCCTAGTCGGGACAGCCGAGAACTCAGCCCTGAGCGCTTCACAGACGAAGACCGGGCTGGTTACAACATGCCGCGGTCCTATAGTCCTAGTGAATCCCCGGAGCGCCCCAGTGATCTCCCTCGGCATGGCTTGACAAGAGTCGAGACGGAAGAATCTGATCGTGGTTTTAACGAAAAGGATTACGAAAAGACCTTTGAGCGGAGCCCTAGGGATCGAAGTCCCCCAAGAGGCGGCAGTTCTTTCTTATAAACAACATCTCGAGCTGTTTCTTTACACCTCGCACGCGCAAATGTGCTTACGAATGAACGATGTCTGCTTATTCTCCCCCAAACCCGATGTCGCGGGTTGTTTTTATTGTTCGCGCCGTATTGTATTGGGTTTGCAATCTCGTTGTCGAATGTATGTTTGTATACATAGCATGATACCAAAGAGTCTTTCTCGTCTGGGGTTACTCATGTTGGTCTGGGTGGGGTTTGGTTTTTCGTTTTCCTCCTTTTTGATTGCATACACACAAGCGTTGTTGGATACGTACAAAGTACCCGCGTGGCTTCTTCTTTGTTGAGAAGCCTTATTTTTACTTCGGCATATTGTATACATAGTTGATTTGGTTGCGCTGATGAGGTAGACTAGTTGGGTTGAGATTCCCATAAGTACATAATAATGATAAGAACTGATACCATATCCCGCACACGGATCTATTATATTTGCACGGAATTGATGCTCCCGTTTTATGAAATCTATGTAGATATTCTGGACGTTTGTACGGAAGACGTAGCCTTCCCCGCATCGGCCATACGAGGTAGTACTGAGGATGCATTTTGCTGATCCTTTGGTCTTGGGGTTGACGTCAATGGCAGGGGTGATTGCAACAACATTGTACAATCACTCGCTCCTCAAACCAGGAAGTTGAACAATTGACCGGTCCCATCATGTTTGCATTAAAATACACAGCTACGCTTGCGACATGTTTCTGGAGGGTGACTCAATGCCGACTCAGTTCCCAGAGCTTCGAATTGCGAGATAGTAACATTCGAAGCATCAACTACAATGAAAGCTCCCTTCAAGTTGATCTGGGTTATGCCGTATATGAAGGTGTTGCAAATTCCACCACCGGGCTGAACACATTCAAAGGGTAAGCGCTTGTCATTACATATTTGAAACCAACAATGAAGAAATTCGGTGTCTTGACATTATTCACCAGCATCCGATTTGCCGCGCCTCCAACGGGACCACTACGTTGGCAGGCACCTCAACCTCCCTCCACCAATCGCTCTTCAACTCTATCTGCTTCCGAATACGGCCCAATTTGTCCACAGAGCTTCAATGCGGTTCCTGGAAACGCATACCAGGAGGGCGATGAGGACTGTCTATTTCTCAACATCTATGCACCGCCCAATGCCGTTGGGTTGCCAGTTTTGGTATGGATTCATGGTGGAGGATACGGCTTTTACAACGGCCAACAAGACATGTCGGAGATGATCAATACGAACAATAATACTTTCATAGGGGTTAGTATTCAGTATCGAGTAAGTCTCAGTTCTTGACATCGGCCCTGTGGCCTGATGTTAACATGTGCACAAGCTTGGTGCCTTTGGTTTCCTGTCTTCGGATGAGGTACATAGATTCGGCATTGTGAATGCTGGTCTTCTCGATCAGAAATTTGCATTCGAATGGATACAATATCATATCGATGCTTTTGGCGGTGATCCCGACAGGGTCACTATATCAGGATTGTCTGCTGGAGCTGGCTCGGTCATGCTGCACGACATTGCATATGGGGGTACACTTGGGACTTCGCTATTCAGACAGGTGGGTATCACTCGAAGCATGGACTTAACCTAATCTACGTTGCAGCACATGCTTATTCGCTGGTATAGTCTATCACGGCATCGCCATATCTCCCGACCCAGTATAGGTATAACGATTTTCTTCCAACACAAGCCTACTATGCATTCGCCACGGCAGCCGGCTGTCCTCCCACATACGCGTACGGCAACAGTTCGCAGACCATATTCGCATGCCTTCAATCGAAGGAGACAGGACTTCTTCAACGAGCTTCCAATGATATCTCTACATCGGGGACATTCGGCTCTTGGGCCTTTCTCCCCGTGACAGACAATTTATTGCTACAGGAGACTCCAAGTCAAGCCCTCTTGAAACGAAAGATCAATGGTGAGCGGCATCTCACGGCAAACACTGCAGAAGAAGGCCCTGCATACACTCCTCAAACCATAACTACGGAAAATGACCTCGTTGCATGGATTCAACACACCTTCCCACTTCTCACTCCCCAGGATGTCCAAAAGATTCTATTCTACTATCCCATCGACACCCTTTCCAATTTGACAACTCTCCCCACCTTTCCAACCGCTGGCGACAAAGGCCCATCGGCAGTGACAACCAGCCAAGTCGCGAGCGGCCACCAGCAGCGAGCCAATGCCATACTCGGCGAAACGACCTTCATATGTCCGTCCTACTGGCTCGCAACCGCCTACAACTCCCCCTCCACCGGCCACCACAGCTGGAAGTACCAGTACTCCGTGCCCACCGCCCTTCACGGCTACGACCTAGAAGCCTACTTCGGCCCCGCGAGACGGAAGCAGGGGCCCGAGCTGACCCGCGCATTGCAGACAGTTTGGGGTAACTTCGTGCGTTTTGGAAAACCCTCTACTACCGCATACGATGACGGTTCCAATCAGACTTCACTTGACATTTGGCCCGAGTTCGATGTCAAGGATCCAAAGATGGCGAACTTGAATCAGTCGAGCGGCACGCCGTATCAGTTCACCGTCGTGCAGTCTCGCAACGACGGTCCGCTGACCGTGATCGGCGAGGATAGGAACGTCACGTTGTATGGCGAACCGGGGTTGAAGAATGAGATTAGGATCGTAGACGCATTTTCTTGGGAGGGTGGGAGAGGGTACAGATGCGACTTCTGGAGGAGTATTGGCGGGATCGTGCCGGAGTGACTGCAAATTTTACGACAATAAACCGTGTCTCCTTTCGGGTGTGTAAATTTGAATTTCCATGTCTGTCATTCTCTTATCTAAAACTAAAGTCTGGAGTTCATGACGCCTACTTCTCGTGATGTTCATACCCGGGCAGATGATCGAGCCAACCATCCACATCCTCCTCCACCGAACTCTTTACCGCACACGCATTCATCTGCGCAACAGTGTTTGTCTTCAAGATCCCATCCACACCCGGACTCCCACAATTATGGAAGAAGCAATTATCGTCCATGACCCTCTGCAGTGAATCCCCCTTCCACCCAAACAAGTAATCCGCATGAGTTCCATACCCGTTCCCATGGAATGCCCACACAAACGGCTGCGACCCATCCTTTGGCCACATGTCCTTGAACGCCGTCGTGTTCCACATCGTCTCGTACGCGACCTGCGGCATCCGCACAGGATGCGACGCCGGGCACGGCCCGGCCTCCTGGAAGTGGCCCTTCGTCGTACTGAACATGTGCGACTGGTGGTCTGGCGAGTCGAGGTTCACGCCGTCCCAGCACGCGGGGAAGTGGTGGATCGCCATGATCCCGGCCGGACACGGCTCTTTGGGGAAGTCGAGCGTCTCGTTACCTCGGGTTAGGATTGTTTGGAGACAGGTGTAGGCGAGGCCTGGGTTGGGGGTTCCGCTTGCGCCGTTGTAAGTCGGGTCACCGACGGTCATGCGGAAGCCCTGAGTTGCTTGTTAGACTGATGCTTTATGGGTTCTAGGTTTAGCCATCTTATGACTGATGAGGCTCACAGGTTTGAACGCAGTGATCTTCTGTTCCGCAAGCCCGTTGTTCCAAAAGTCCTTTTGCGTATAATACACCGTCATCCCTCCTTTGATGTTATCCGCATCCTTGCCCTGGGTGCCCAACTGCGCATTCGGATACTGAGGCACCTTCTTGTATGACCCGTTCTCGTGCCGGAAGTACATAGCCGCCGTCCAGTAGTTCGAAAAGTCCTCCGAATACGCACACGTCGTGCAGTCCGCCTGCTCGCCAATGTCGCCCTCCATCGTCGCGTTGAACGCGTTGCCACCCACGATCTGGTGCACGTGGGCCGACGGCACGTTGCCGGGCTCCACGAGGGGATCGAGCCGCTGGATGGAGACGGTGGAGCAGCCGAAGCGGATGGCCGCGCGGGAGAGCCCGGCGAGGAAGAGGGTAGTGTACCACCGCATCTTTCTGGTATTGAGGTGGGGATTGTCGTTTGCGGATGGGAGTGAATCCCATATCTCTTGCTATTTATTCATGCTCCACCGACCCTGTAAATGAACTTGGCTGATTTTACCAGGCACTCGGCGGTCTTTGCATTGATTGCCGCATCCCCATTCCCAACAGTGATCAGCTTCCATGCACTTTAGAAATTTTGATGATCTCCCCCACGGCCAAGGATGGTGAAGTCGGCGGCAGGTAATTTGTCCCCCCGATATTAAATGACCCCATCTACCTGGGAACGTCGGTAGTTACAAACACACACACGAAGGGAAGTACCAAGCTGGATAAGTCGGGGCACGGCAAAATTGAAAATGCAAAGGCGAAGAGGGAACATATTGCCTCCTCCGCAGATAAGATAGCATCGGCAGTCGAGTGTGCAGTCCACACTGGGTTCTCCTAGATCTGCAGCGAGCTGACTGATCCCAAAGCAATACTAAATGAAGCTGGATCTGGAAGTACTTGTTCGTAGAGGACAGGCTTGGAAGTCTTGCATTTTGTGCACGAACAAGCTGCGGAGCCCAGGTATTTAAGTGCGTGCTCCAATAGGTTTATATTATGGTAATGTCTCTGGGTCGTCTTGTAATGAGTGTAAATTCGATGAACAAGGCCTTGTTGTAGGACTTTACAAGCTAAAATACACTTACATTTATCTAAAAAAACGAAAAGAAACACTAAAAGCAGGTCTGTAGTATACAATTTAAGCTGGATAAGAGCTGATAAGAGCTTGCATTGCGTCGTCAAGAGTTGTTGGTGCCTTGACTTGCACAATGTTGTACAATTGATCATCAGGAACTTCAAAAGCTCCTGTGTTCACGAGAAACTCAGTAACCAGTGGTGCGTACTCCCACGATCGACTTCTTCCCAGACGCCGCCGAGATTCTGCCACTGCTTCCGCCAGGTCAGACAGGCTACCCTTACACTCCAACTCGTGAGGTATGCCAGTGACTCGGCTGTATGCCTCAGCAATTTCGACGATAGTATTCCTCCCGGAAGCAATAGTGAAGAATCCACCGCAGCCTTCCTGTACGCCATCCCCGTTGAGCAAAATATCAATAGTGTAGACCGCAGCATCGTCTTGCGTAGTCCACGGCTGTCTCTTCCTCAAGCCCTCTTCGTCCCAATAGTGGAATACTGCCTTCTCGGCTGTGAGAGTCGGCGCACCAGGCCCGTAAGGAGTGATAAGTAAGTCGGAAAAATCGCCGGTGAAGATGTACACTGGACGAATGGAGCTAGTTAGAGCTACGTGATTCTCAAAGGCAATGCAGGTGTCGTAGTGCTCGAAGTCGCCGAATTTCAGTCGTGTCCAATCGTTGTTCCACGATGAAGAAATAAAGACCTTGATGCCGGCTCTCTCAGCAGCACGAAGGAGTAGCAAGCAGCCATCCAGGCTGAGAATGTCAGTAGGCGAGTAGGCACAGATGACGCTATCCACCCCGGCAACCGCCCTGTCTAATGCAGGTATGTCGTCGTGAGATGAAGACTGAACGAAAGATTCGAGGCTTTGGGTGATAGTATCTGGAAGCTTCTCAGGGCTACGTCCGAGCCCCCGAACATGTAGACCATGATCCTGAGCAGTCTTTGCTAGGCGCTGGCCTAGGGATCCTGTGATGCCGGCGATGAGGACGAGCATCGTGGAATGGTGATGGTAGATAGAGGGCAAATGGCTGGCAACAAATTAGATAACTGCTGGAAAATTGCAAAAAACAGGAAATGAAGCAAAGTAAAACTACATTAAAAAAACAAGAAGAAGAGGAGGAAGGGGGGTTAAGATACCTCGTACATTGCTTAGAAGATGATAGGCACTACCTAGGTAGATAATTGCACAATTGCGCTGACAAAGCCTGTTTGTGCACTCAACCCATTATCTGCAGGTCTCATATACTCATAGATCCATAGACATAGACATAGACTTAGACTACCGTTTTATGTATATGATTGAGCAGTAACAAAAGGCTATATGTAAGCTATTCTCAGACTGGTAAATGGACCAAAGCTATTGCATCTTGTAGTTTCTCAATAGCCACTTGAAATGAATTACCTGGTAGACTAATATTTTTTTTTGATTACTTTTCTATCGTTGGAAAACCAGTACCAAGTGCCAAGTACCAACTTCTTACCTCCGCCTCATGCTAACTGAGAGAAATACAGGTCCGAGGTGCCTTAGATCTTCCTTTCCACGAATGGAGGATTCTGTTCCTGGAGGTCTGCTCGTGGTGGATGTGATTGGACGAGCTAAGGGGAGAAACCAAACGTGATCATGCCCCCTTAATATTCCTCTACTCCACACCATTGGGCTATAAATAATGCGATCGCAGTCGTGATGCGCTTCACACTCTTGATACTTACCCATTCGTCAAAGCCATGGTAGTTTGCCGAGACGGGGCCGTAGACCAACGCCGGAATTTTGTCGTACAAACTAAACACTCTCCCATCGAGATATGCCAAAGTGGTGTGAGTTTGCATTTCCTCTCCAGTTGCTTGTTGGTGAGATTTTCCAAGAATCTTTTCGGCTTCACTGCCAGGATCCAGAACGTATCCCTCAGAGAAGAACCCGTTCCATGATATCTTCGGAGTGTTTTTGCTCAAGAACGCATCCGTTTGCGAAAAGGTAGCCACCTTTGCTTCGATCTCATCTGCGGCTGAGCGTGCGCTGACTCCAGGGAATATGGCCACTCGGCATTCAATCGAACACCATGCGGGCACTGAACTGGCCCAATCTCCTCCGTTGATTTTGGCCACATTCAGGTCTGGGTATGGCGTATTAGTTAAGAAGAACTTATGTGACCGAAAAAGTCTACCAAGGACCCATGCACTCACTGAGAGGGTGTTTCTGTTCTTCAAAGTAGAGTTTGCCAACTCCTCTTTGGTTCCAATCTGCCTCCAATTCCCTCAAAGCAGTGACAACACGGAAGCAGGCATCGATCGCATTGACTCCGGTACCCATTGCATTCACGTGCACAGGCGTCCCGCGAACCTCGATCTTGAACCACAATACGCCTACGTTTGCCCGCACCAGTTTCTCATCCTCAGGCTCGGGTATCAGCGCAGCATCTGCTTGGTAACCTTGAAGATGCGCCATGAGTGTTCCATTGCCCGTGGATTCCTCCTCCACAACGGATTGGAGGATAACCTTAGAACCTGGCCGAAGACCAATGCGCCGGAGTGCATCCAATGCCCAAAGATTAGCTGCTGCGCCCGCTCGCATATCGCCCGATCCACGGCCATAGAGACGATCTCCTTCAATATGTCCGCTATACGGATCCCTGGTCCACATGTCGAGTGGGCCAACGGGCACGATGTCAATGTGTCCATTCAGGATGAGGCTCTTACCCAACGGTTTTTCGGACTTTGGTAGGCACTCGCCTACGACAACTGGAATCCGAGAATGGTGCTCATCGAATTTACCAGCACCTACATGCTCCGACAATTTCTCCTCGTCGATGTTTAATTTGACCGGAGAATAGCCCCGATTGGCGAACTGCTCGAAAATGAACTCCTGTACCGCGTCTTCATGGCCGCGCTGGCCGCCGAACTGGACCAATTTCTGCGTGTACGCAATTTGTTCGTCGAATCCATCAGATACCGACTTGGTGATTGCGGCAATCTGCTCTGGCGTGAGTTCTGGCATTGTTGTGTCTATGGAAGTGACTATGTTAGCGGGGGTTTAAACGAGCGCATAATGACGCAACAATGGCGAAACTGACATTCGTTCACTCGGCAAGGCATCCACAGGTTTATTCTGCAGTAGATCAACTGAATGTGCACAGGGTGCGTTGTATGTATGTTGAAAGCCACAGTTACCGTCTGCTCAGGGAAGATACATCTTGAAGATAAGGAGTGCGGGGTGCTTGCCGAGGTCGCACATCGATACGAAGGATCGCTATCACAAACCCCACTCAAGTGTCATCACTATTGGCGTACAGATATCCTCCCGTTGCTTGACGCTGTTGACGCTGTTTGATGTTATAGAGCAGCTCCGTTGATAAAGAGGTTCTACGAGAATATTACCTGCATTTTGAAACAGAGTTCAGCTCATGGCGAATAATAGAGGACACAAACTTCTCATCATCAACCAAACATTATCGATCGTAATAATTCCCACTCTCATGAATTAACATTTGGGCATTTCTATCCCGAGTACTCACGGAACAACAATCATAGAACGTCATTCCCTAGCGCAAATTCCATCCCAGCGAGAACTACATCTTTGAGGATGATGTTGAACTTACTAAGGATGTGGAGGGCGATTATACATGACTCTCCGCAGAGGCATGTTTGACTACTCCGAGATAGATACATAGAAATCTCGAGATGAGTTGTATAATATTATACTCGCGGCCACTCCCACGAGGCTTTCTAGCATGTTGTGCTGCGGCCCATTGTATACTATTACGTTATCGATAAGAGGACTGGGACATTATCCCGATCACGTCGAACATTGCTTAGTGTAATCTCATGACTGACTGGGGCGACGATGAAATTCAGTTTCTTATACTAACTTTCGATGCTGATACTTTGCAGTTTCTGGTTGGAGGCTATATTGTATTTAGGTAGACATGATGTAGCCATAAAGGATGTCGACTCGTCTGGGATAAGGGTAAACGCAGTGTGGTGCAAAGCATACAATACGCACCGCATTTGTTGGCGAGATATCTGGCCTGATCAAAAATAATGCCGGCCATGAGTATAACCGAACTAGGGAGACTTCAGCTAGGACTGACAGATGGTGGGATAAAGTAGCCAGCAATGAATGGTCATCCTCGTAAGCTCACTTTCACAAACGCGAAGACAGTTCCTAGCAAAGCTATTCATTTCATTATATTGGCGCCTACCACTTCCCTTCGCATACTTTCTGTTTCTCCATGTCATACGTCTCGTAAAACCCGGACCACATCATTCGATCTGCACAGGGAGGCCTATCCTCTTTCTCTTTATCCCGCTCATCGTTTTCATCACAAGCAGGCTGTGCATCCTCCCACTGCTGCTGGGATCGTGGCTTCCACGGCTTTGGTAGCGGCCAATCACTAAAATGCACGAGGACGCTTCTGCTCACTTCCGCCATCGCATTCCATTCGGCGTCTGGCTCCTCGCGCAAATACTTCTGGTGGTCGCGAGTACGGAATTCTCCTGTGAGTAGTGCGAGCCGGCGGTGTGGCAGAATCATGGCCGATCCTTTGAATAGCGAATTGATGACTTCCATGTCGAAGTTCTTGGATCGTTGAGTCTCGTTCATAATGGTGTCGTAGTAATACTGATCTGGCTGCAGTAACATGACGTGGGAGCATATTGTCTGTTCGGCGATGGATGCCGAGTCAATGTCGTTGAGCCAATACGCACGAGGAACAGCCAGCCGAGATAGCGGTGCGAGAAAGTAGTGATCCAGGGAGTTTAGTACTAAGGAGTCCGAATCGAAATATAAGACCCGCGAGTAGTTGGACAGCCGGAACGCGTTGAATTTAGTCAGGGACTGCGCCCATGTGGGATCGCCTGATGATGTAGAAATCCTATCGACAGGCTCAAGGTAGATGTTGGGGAACGTAGATCGAGCATATGTAAGCATCTTAGCATTCACGGAATCTGAAGGCTGCATGTTTGTTAACCAAAACGGATCGACAATGTACAGCTGTTCGTGCCATAGCAACCGCACCATCTGGAAAAGTACATACCTTTGCATCCCAGTCGGAAGGGTACATGAGCACGACATCAGCAGTAGCACCGAACTCTTTCAGCCTCTTCGCATTTATGAGCTATTTGGTCGTTAATGAGGCCCTCGCGGTGCGCATTCCCTGCTTGGTGAACTTCCGTTTGGCAAAACTCACCGCATTACAGAAATATGCTTCGTCAGTTGCGTACTGGGCGTAAGCAAATTTTGGTTCAAGTTTGGTCTCCGAAGTCCACCAGATATGGTCTGGGACATACGGGCGCAAACCTGGATGCACTAGTTGTATTGAAGCATTGTTTGCGCCTGATTCAACGAGCGCGAATGAAACATTTGCTGCGAGAAATTGAAATGCTAAAAGAAGGAGAAAAACGGAGAGAACGGCGATGATAATCGATTGGAAGCGCCGTACAAGTGCCATGCTAGCCGCTGTTCCTCCTTGCTGCTTAACCCTGCAATATCAATATCAAGCGGGCAGCAACGAGGAGCATCAAAATTCAAAAGACCATGAGGATAGGCGGATGAGAAAAGTACCCACACAGGAGTTATATATAGAGAGGCCGATCGCGTGAAACGGACTCGAGTATTAAGAGGGTTAGTACACCGACATGCCAAGGGGCTAGAGATAATCCGAGGCATAAGAAGAAAACTTCGACAAAGAGTATCACGAAGGATTGAGATGCCATTTCGTCACCTTCATCTATCGCATGCAGGAGATCAGCATAAATTAGGTACATGATAAATATGCATTGTACGTTGGGTTAGAAGATTCGTTGGAGGATAAAGTAGTAGTGCTGACGACTCTTCTTTGACCTTTTAGACAGTCTAGCGCAACTGGTCATTCCATTGCTTAGTATGGAGACTTTTACAATACTAGTTCTCATCTTCGGTGGCTGCTGTACAAACGTTCGTTTTGAGACAATCTTGGAATTGGTATTTCCGGAGAACTGACGATATTAGGTGTATACGTTGGAAACTATCATCCAGTGCGCTTTGCCCATATTCCCTTCTAGTTCGCTTTATTAACATTCGGCCCAGGCACGGCACTGACAGTCGGCCTGCATTAGCACTTACGTTCATCCAATTTGTATTTGTGGCTGTAGAAGGATTCGCCTACTTTTTCCGTTTTCACTCGAGAACGCTGCTTAAGCAACCCGAGGTCTCGCGCGTTAAATGGTTAGGCTTCGCAGTCATCCATTTCAGCATTTCCGTCTTGAATAACATAAGCCTGGAGTACCACGTCAGCGTGCCTATGCATATCGTTCTGCGGAGCGGTGGTGGGCTTGTGACTCTTGTTGTTGGAACACTTTTTGGAAAATCATACTCGAAAACAAAGTGGATGTCGGTAATGTTGATGACGCTAGGTGTTGTTATTGCAGCTCTAAGTGGAACAAAAGATTCGGTAGGTTAAATGAAGTTTTTGATAAAATCGTGTATAGCTGACATAACATCTGATAGAAGGACGGAGATCACATATCTGGGACTATGTCATTTGGCGTTTTTCTACTGCTCATCATACAGATTCTGGTAGCTATCATGGGCATCTTACTGGAAAATATATATAAGCGCTCCCCTGGGATATGGCGCGAAGGCCTTTTCTACACGGTCCGTTACAGGCTATTAGACATTTCATGGAAAATTGTCCATGTCAAGCCCTTGCTAACGCCATACAGCATCTCCTTGCTATTCCATTCTTTCTACCTCTACTTCCCAAAATCACCATGCAACTTATGGTCCTTGCCTCTGGAACTCAGCTGGAAATGATGGTTCCGCGCATATCTTATCAAGCCTGGGACTTGCCCATGAAGTTTGTCCTGTTGGTTTTGAATGCATTTACGCAATTCTTATGCGTCACGGGCGTCAATTTACTCACATCGGTCTCGTCCGCACTTTCGGTGTGCATAGTTCTCAGCATGAGGAAGTTTGTAAGTCTACTGATCAGCGTATGGGTTTTCAAGACCCCAGTTCATGCAGACTTCGTATTCGGCACGGCTATTGTATTCGGGGGTGTTATAATGTATGCCACAGATAATTGGAAAAGGAAAACCTGATATAATATCTATAGCTTGAAGTAATCTCAGGTCACTGTTCCATTAACCCTCATGTCTCGCAATTTTTAAACATGTCTATGCTCCGTTTCGCTAACATCTTCCACCTATATACTACCTTCTTGATACAGAACTAAAGTCAGGTCAGTGTGTTAGTCGCTCACTGTAGGGAGATAGTGAGGTTGAGAAATCATTGGCTTTGAAATTCAACTTTGAACTACAGAGACGTCAAGCTACATCTAGCTCTTGATCCATGGCCGATATAGCCTCATCGCGATGTTTCTCCATGTCAAGGTCTAAGATGAAATCCCATCTACCCAATAATTTACCTGGTGTATCTATATACCGTCTAGTCTCCTCGCTCGTGCCGGTCAAGATGCTGCCTGTAATTCGACTGGATTCGACGATGCGCTGTGTACGCGGACGGCGAACTTGATCGTAAGCCTTGAGGGCCGCTAAAGCATCGTTGCGCGTGGTTGACCTCCCAAGCAAAGTTGCGAGAATAAAGCTGTCCTCAATTGACATACCACCACCTGATCCTTGCCAAGGTGTCGTAGCGTGTGCAGCGTCGCCCATGACACAGAGGGGTCCAGACACATACGTCGGAACCGGTGGGTGTTCCCAGAGATACATTGCTTGATGGTCTGGCTCTTTACAGAATAACTGGACGAGCGTTAAACACTATCTTTGCCAGAACCAGAATTTAGAAAATTTGCATACCCCTTCCACGGCTGTCCGTAAATGTTGCGGCCAGTTGTGATAAAGTGATTTGATCTCGTCGCAACTGACTGCCCGGCGCCATTGATCATGCTCACCTTCCTCATCCTTTGAAGCAATGACAAATTGAACGAGTTGACCTTCACTTAGAAGATTGTGTAGTATATACGTGCCATGTCCCAGCCAGGAATATTCGCATGCTTCTTCAAGATCAATCCTTTCTCTACCGATGCTCGCTTGAGCCTCTGCATAGGGCATTAGGGCCATGATCAACCAGACACCAGTACTCCTGGGCGCAGCGGCACAAATGCCGTCGAGAATGATATTCCGAACTGTACTGTGTATGCCGTCAGCCCCGATGAGAATGTCGCAGTCATGGCTGGTCCCGTCCGTAAATTGAAGTTCAAGGGAACCATCGTGTCTTCGATTCACAAATTCCAGCTTCTTTGAGGCGTGTAGATGATCTTGTGGAGCATCTGATAATAACTCTCGAAGAAGAGCAGCGCGATGGACAATGCTAGTGAGGCGCTTTCCCGCTGTCTTTTCATCTATTTCACCAACGACTCGGCCCTGCTCTTCACCCTGGGCTACAACAAAACGGACTCTCCGCACTGATGGCCAAAATTAGCAGTGCTATTTATTCACCTGGAAAGTATATTATAGGGTTTGTTTATGAGACATATCCTTGTCAAGAAAGTGACGGATCCAACCACATAACAGGCACGCTTCAAAGAATAATACTCACTCGGAACAGCTCCGGCACGTTCGAGAGCTTGAACGGCTGTGGGACCCATACGCTCCAGAGCTGCTTGGGCATTGCGAGTTATCCCAATAGCCATACCCGCTTCCTTGAAGGCGGCCGCAGATTCGAAAATATGGACATCTAGATGAGCAAAACGATGCAAGACGTTAAACAACGTTGCACCAGCAAGTCCGCCTCCAGAAATGGCGATTCGAATGGATTGGGACATGCTGTGGGGACGAATACTGACCCAGAAGAAATCTCCGAGTTGCTCTCAACTTTGTAAGAGTACTTGAGTCTATAAGACATACGGAGCATATATGCGCTATGCCGCACGTCGGGTAATAAAACCCCAAAACTTGTATTGGATATGCTCCTTCAAACAAGTTTTGCCCACTCTGCGCTTCAGCACTTGCCAAATTTGGTCACGACTAGCCCCAAGGGCTTTTGGAGCCATTATTATTGGGTTAGTGAGAGCTAAGAGGATCGACTGGATTCAATGCCCACATGAATTGACGATAAGCTTTAACTAGAGGCAGCGAGTTTCTAGCTTGGAGCTCTCTGTTGTACAGTCCTCTCTCAGTACGCTGCGTTACATGCGAACCGGTGACTGAAACCTCTAATGACCAAAGGCTAAGACGGGAAGCGCAAGCATACATTCAACAACGGAGACCAGGCAGACTGTGCCGCAATAAAAAAACTGCAGGAGATCCTCTTGCAATACGTCATGTAGCGTTAGCGAGAACCCAACGCCTTTGCAAGACTTGCAGGGGTTCTTCAGGCTGCTGACTGCATAGTCAGTAAAGAAACCTACAACGGTTGCTCTCGCCTGTCGCCACAAGTGGTGGAGGTACGTTAGTCTCATTGAAGTAAAGTCGCGACGGAAATGACCTCTCAATAGATCAGCCTAAGAAGGCTTCGACCTCTATTCCCAAACAACATGGTAGTAATTTGATTACTATGAGCAGTACTGACTTTAGGTGAATCGGGAAAAGAATCGTACTTGATCGGTATGGCACATGATGCTGTGGCGTATGAAGTCCAAACAAGGTTCAAGAATGGTGAGCAACTCTATAGAATCTGAAGGATTCACCCGTTTGCGATTAGACATAGTGGAATGCTAGTTTCCCTGACTGCAAATTGGCATAAAGCAACTCTCATATATCAATTATTTTATTGGTTTCTGATATCGCAATCAGGGTTCTCATCTGGCAGCAAAAATACATAGAAATGCCGGCAAACCACGCAATGAAGATCATGTGCGGCCCAAAGTCCTGCTACATAGGCGCCATCTGAGTGGTATGGAATTGGATCTAGGCAGCTTCATTTCATCATTCAATATCTGGATTAATGTTACCGTATATCAAAAGTCATGCAATGATGTAGTGAAAGGTCGTGTTGCTGCAATTCCATCATGAATTGATTTCTCCCACTCGGTTCCTGGGCGATCTGTGAATCTGGTATCTTTGGGGATCAGCGTTCGGAATTCGTATTTTATGATGGTATTGGCAGATGCCAAGAAGTCATAAGGTCCACCAAGCCTGCTTGAAGATGGGTTCATCATGAAATATGGTTCAATAGCCGATCATGTTAAACACTGTTGATATGTCTCAACATGATGACCTTAGAATTGAAGCAGAGTGTTTTCCGCTAACCAGGATGCACATCATGAGTGGAAGAGGGTTTGCGGACAATGACACAATAAGTAAACGGACTGCCTCTGGGGGGTCCTTTTCTCCTGGGACGATTGTTGTCTCTACTGCCACTGATAAAGTACTCTCTCTCTTCGTCGAATATGTCTACAGAATTGGACAATGAAGAGGAAAACGGCGTTGGATAGAAAAAAGAATCCAAGGGTGTCACGAAGTGCAGCCCCCCTTACTTTAAACAGTTCGATAGGGTGATTGAGACAGACGCAAGATTTCTGAGAGTTTGAAAATGGCGAGATACCCTGTCCACCTTGCTCGAAATCCGTCCTAAGGAACCCCACCAATGAGACGCTTAGGAAGTAGCACGGATTAACACTTATTCTGGATAAATGTCAATTATTGATTCCTTGCAGCCTTGGTTTATAGGTGGTTTGGCGGTTCAACCCGAATGGCACAGCATTCTGCTGACCACCACCCTTATTCATGTACCTTCTCATAATGAAGTCTCTTTCAAAACTGTCACTTGGTCTATGCAAAGAAACGGACCTTGGATGATCCCAAACTTTCACGAAACGAGTGAAAGCATACACCTTGTTGATAGAAGTCCCTGTTATGTAGAAACCATACATCCTTTCGATCTGCTTCAAGTATGTTATTTAAATATCTAAATGACTGAGTTCCTGTCAAGCGTTTTTGTTGTGACAACGTCATTGGTTAGCCATTAGCGTTGTCATCGCGCTGTGATTTATTCAAATGATCACTTTGTGCCATGTGCGGTCGCCCTTAATGCGTCTGCGCAACAGCCACTGGAAGCGCATGGGTCCTGACTACACGAATTTCTGTCTGGAAATATGCATCGTGACTAGAGGTACATACCTGATACCACATGCAGATTAACGGGACGGCCCTTCCGCGGGAAGTCTGATGTCACGAGCGGGACGAGCCAGATTAGCTTCATATAATCAGTCTCCGAAATTGATTCCCATGTTTGGGAATACTAATTTGATGCTGGTCATTCCTACCGAATCATTCGGGACTGAACGGTGGGTCTGCATGCGGCACAGGACGAGGCAGGAGTTTGCCTCTCGTCCTTCGTCCTTCAACTAGATATATTCCGGGAATCATGATGGGACAATATCTCATGCACCGATAAATATGCATTCACGCAAACCGTCGATGATATCCAGTGACACCTACCTTTATTATGAAAATTATTATTCTATCCTTATCGGGAGTAGGGATGAAGGGGATAGCCCTGGGGAAGCGCCATACGCTGATAAGACAAACTACTAACCAACTGCTAAATTTAGGTAACAGAGGTAGCTATGAGGTAAGGTTAATGATCCGGACCACCTCCACACCCCAGTCTGCAGAAGGCCTGCGAAAATGATATTACATGTCAGCAAAAGGTCTTTCTAGGATCTGCGGTGCGTCACGGAACAGAGCTTTGTTCATAATAATTGCCTGATGTGAAATCATCTTGTTTTATCGCTTCGATTGCTGCATGGGCTCAGAGCTACAAATCGTAGGATAGTTCACTATTGTGTTGCTGGAGCACGGTGTTCTTGCCCGTAGTCCCACGAAACACAGCTACATTTGAACAGATTTAGTCTAACTGTCTATCTGTGCACGAGCCAAGCAGTACTCTAACTATCCTGAATATCTACTTAATAGTTCTACAGTCATATTCCACCTTTTAGCAGTTGATATTATTCATGCATGGTAGGACACATTGTGATTTCGATATATCATAAATGCTGGTAGTATAGTTGTAATTGGGTTGATATTTCTGATACCTGCTCGTACTCAGGGCATAAATATAATGAATAGTAGCTGTAGCATAATTTTGTTCTATTATTGAACCCCAGTAGCTTTGTATGACTTCATGAACCACATAATTCTGAACTATCTCTGCCGTATTGTATATCTTGAGAGCACCATCCTCACTGGAACATGATTAGAGGAAGCGCTGCAAACCAGCTGTACCAGATCTCCATAGTGATTTTGTCAGCGGCGCGATGCTGTAGCAACAGCAACCGCGCCGAAATGAGCATGCCCAATGCTGTGAGGCCAGAAAACACCCGTGCATTCATGACGAATACTGTTCCAAAGGACCATATGAGCACAGATACGGCCACAATACTTCGCGCTGTCTTATGTCCAAGAGTGATTGGCATAGTTGCACGACCGCACTTGGAGTCCCCATCAAGATCTCGTAAGTCCTGAACAGCAATGGTCGTCGTAATCGCAATGAAGAGTGTGACGCTTGTGGTGAGATCCGACTTCGAGAAGTGTAGATCAGGTCCGCCCGCGACCTCGATGCAGCCGTACAACCAGCTTGTCATTCCGATAGCGTTGAGTCCATCGCGGATGACATAGTGACCCTGAGCTCCGCCGAGGTCATTGTAATGATACGAAGCTGCCAGTTGAATAATGTATGGAACCAAACCTCCATACACCATACTGAAGAAGAGTCCCACGGCGGTTGATACCGCAAGAAGCGCATTTGCTTGTGAAGGGGTAATCCGTTTACTGGGCAATGGTCGCCACGGTTTATTGAAGCCGTCTTCCTGAATGCTTGTAGGCTTGCGTTGGTTGGAAATGCTGAAACCTAGGGCAACAATGGTCACCCATATCATGGATAGAGAAAAACTCTTCAAGGTTCTGAAATAGTAGAGATCACACTGAAATAGAGAGTGGAAGTCGGCGTGCACGTTCTTTGACGACTCGGAAGGATCGAGACTGAAGGAGCGGTTCAACACGCGCCTTGAACAGATCGTGCCAAGGGTCGCCCAAATGAGAATAATGACATTGTAATTGCAAATGAAGAGGTACAATGTCGTGGCATCGAATTTTAGTGAGTGGTAGACCTCCATTACGGCAATGGGTTTCGACATTTTGTGGAAGCTGCTTGACACGAGACGACGCGAAAGATAACAGATCTAGCACATAGCTTTCCGCCGGAGTCATGATATACTTTTCCACCAAGAAATCTCCACTCTTGATTCTAATCCTCGGGCTCAATTGAGATTCAAAAGCAAATCTGATTGGTCAGCCAAAGAGCGGTCCTTCAGCGTTTGACGTGACGGAGACCGAAAGAGGTTTTGATTCATTACCAGCGCATAAGTACATAGCAATTCGTTGAAGGACTATGCTTCAGTGCCAAAAATTACACGTAACATAGCGGTAGCTTACCAATATCTCCAATTGCGCTGATTGGCAGTATCGGATGGGCGGAATCTTCTTTCCGAAGAATTCCATGCAATGACGGGCAGTTGGAATGTTTTCCAAAAGTTTCACCCCGACTGGTTCGTCGCCCAGCCTATCGTGATGAGCGTCTATTTACCTTGTACCTTTCTTTTATGTTGTCAAGTTCGATTAGGTCCTGGCAACACCTACTATCTGGAACGCCGATAAGTCCTCAAGGAAGCAACAGTCGGGAATGAACTGAATTATGAACACACGTAGTATATGAATTGTAGATCATAGAGTATTGTGCGGCTAGATACATGTGCAGTCTTAACCATAGCTCCGAGGCGAAAGAGACAAAGCTTGTGTTCATTGAGAAACAGCCGGGCTGCCGAACTTCCTCTCCCCATCCTCTACCAAGTAGTCCAAGAAATCCGAAACGAGGAGGTGAAGGACGAGTCCGAAACGAAAAGTCAATCATTCCAGCAGTCGTTGACATTCTGATATCTACCTAGGTACCTAACCTAATTGATGGCTTAACGCGGGACTACCGTCCATTGGCGGAGGAGGCGTACCGGCTCCGGGGCTTGTAACCATTAGGCTTAGCGTGGTCTACTTGGTGCATTCGTTCGCAGTGCCGGTAGCCTTTGCCAAACGGAACTTAACCTTTGGTCCCTTACTGGTGACGACAAATCTGTCCAAGCTCTCTTCGTCCCGCTGATGCAACCGCTGCATGCACGACGAGACATGGGTATCGCCACTCTCGTCCCTCTGCAGGTCATACTGGAAGAGAAGCTGTGCAATCGTGATCTTCATCTCCACAAGCGCCCAAGATTTACCAACACAACCTGTGGGTCCGATGCCAAAGGGACAAAACGCGGACCGTGCCGCCCTGATCTTCTCCGGCGAGCTAGTCTCTGGGAGCCAGCGTTGCGGGAGATACTCTAGTGGTGCATCATAGTAGTCCGGATTGCGCATGATGACATGGAAAGGGACTCCCACATCGACACCTTGAGGGATGAAGTCACCGTCTATCGTTGTCCCCCCGGGGCCTACCTCGCGCATCAGACAACCGCCCACGACAGAGGACAGGCGCAAACTTTCATCGATACAAGCAGCAAGATAGCTGCAGCTGTTGAGAGATTTGCCAATTCGAATTTCCGCCAAGTCAGAGAAAGTCCCTCGGATTTCGCTGTTCAACCTGGCAAGGATGTCGGGATTGTTCACTAGGTGAAAGACAATGTTTGCAAGGGCAGCAGCGATCGTGTCAGCGCCTGGGCTACTGTCAGATCACAGGGTCCCACTTGGTTCGTTTGGTAGACTCAACTCACCAGTCGTCACCAGAAGGGAGCTCTCGCTCTGTAGCTCAGGAAAAGTGAACCCTTCCCCGCTGCCTCTTCTAGTCGTACCGTACAATATATCAAACACACAGCTTGATTGTTTGTCATTGTCGACATTTTTCTCAGATCTTTCCACGCACCGATTTGCAAGCATTGTTGCGTGGGCTTCGTATTCCTTTAAAGCGCGAGAAACTCTGGATTGAAAAGCATCCAGTTGGAGCCATGAAATGCCCGGCATATATCCTATCTATCGCAGAATTAGTGGCAACACCCATTTTCTACGAATGTGCACAGACTTACCGCATTCATACCTCGAAATCCCTCCAGCGTGTTTTCAATGATTTCTGCCTTCTTGGGATCTTGGAGCGAACCAAATGATTCCCCAAAACAGAACATTCCCATGGAGTCGAAAGCCAGCAGCGTGAACTCTTCCGTCATATCAAAGCTCGGGGACCAGCCATCCTTTGTATGCGACGCGACCTTGTGAAAACGCCTAATGAATCCTTGTAGAAGATTGAGAAAGGCCTGTTCATAAACGACAGTCATGCGGTCTGACAGGGCTTGCGAAAGAATCCATCGTTTACGGGCATGTTGCTTTTTGTTCGTTGTCGCATGCGTGCTAGGTACTTTCATGTAGAATGTCATGGTATCGTACCAATACGACTTCTTTGTGTTGGCTTGTGAGCTATAGACGGCCTGAAAAGCAGTCGGGGTGCTGAACGAAAGCCTGTTGGGCCCATACCGTACTACAGGCCCATATGTGCGATGAAGACGAAGAAAGTTTAGATGTCGATCGCCACGAAGAGAATGGTAGACAGAATACCAGTCCGTGATTCTTCCGAATAATGGCCCAGGATATCTAGCGAGTGGATGGAAATACAATCGATGGCAAATTACGCATGATATCTGGGGCCTGTCAGTCTAGTCAAGCGGGCACATTCTCCTGTACCTACTATACAAAGCACGGCTGAAACCAAGAGTTGGACAGACATGATGTTGAAAAGTTCCTAGCAGAGCCGTCGTAAACAATCTGTTAGCATCTGCTAAACAATAATATATGATTAAGGCAGGGTGAGGCATTACTTTTAATACCGTACGAGAAGAGCTGAACCGCGGGGAGGACCGCATGTTGCGAATCTACAAGAGGCTACGCCACTTACGTCCAGCTCGGGACGACGCATCGATTAGTTCCCGTTCCGCGTCGCCTAGACACTAGTATACACATCTCCAGGCCCGGGCCGGGTAGATTGGTTTTTATGTGGATCTACATTGGAAAACGCTGTTGAGGTAGTGGTTCCTACCAAGGTTGGTAAAATCAAGGGTGTGGTGATCTTGTGGAAAACTCACTTGATTTCAGTACAGGGTTCAGGCTGAAACAATAGCTCTTACAGCTAGCAACCTGAAGTTGAGTCTTATCCGGTGATTGGGGCAAAAATCTCCAATCGTTTTCACCAAGTGTTGATATGCTACTCTTCAAATGTTACGCCAGCTCTACTATTATCATCCATGAAATTGCATATCTACATATCGCAAATAAAGCAGTGATATACTAATGAATAAAGAATGAAACCTAAGTTGACCTGGACCCATTCACTAGTTCATACCGTCTATCTACACTTTGATTTGTTGAGTTGATTCAGTAGATGGTATTCTTTCTAGTGGTATCATAGTCCTGCACTCTCTTTGCGAGACGGGCATGCCGGACCCATAACTTGGATATGAGGATGATTTGTTCCCCTTTTTGAAGTAGCGGTGCAAAGCTGGCAAAACAGGAATGCAACCGCATATGATCCCAATGGCAATTTCACCAGAACTAAAATGCGAAACAGTCAGAATAGATTTCTTGCGTCGTACGCGAGAGGTGCGATCATACCTGTAAAGAAGAATGGGTTCAAATACATAGCTCTTATCGTAGTCGTCCATTGTTCTCACGGAGACCTCAAGTCGTAGTACACCCATCACACAGGCCCTGGCCTAGTTAGTTTCTTGAATTCGATTAGATTTCTAACAGAGTGAACAACGTACACAGCACCAACAGCCAGCGCAAAGCTACTTCCAATCTTTTGTTTGAGAGTCATATTAAGACTCCAAATGACAGGAAGCGGTAGGACTAAAATCATCACATCTGTGACTAGGGAAACGACGCAGTTGCAAATGAAAATGACATTCGTGTTCAGACACTTGCCAGGTCGTTTCTGATCCCAGAACTTTGGAACAGGATTGCAGATAAAGGTTACCACAAGCGTTGTTGCGATGTAATATAACCCGAGCACAGCTGAGAAGACGCTCACGAAGAGAACAAATCTCTTCTTAATTCGAAATATGCGAATCAACAGGAGTAAGATGGCAAGTTTCGTGGTGAATATAGCGGGACCGTTCAACACTTCGATAACGTAACCGACCTTCTCTTGAAATCAGTCACTGAGCCAGCAACCATTGATTGTTACGAAATACCTTGTTGAATCTTTGGAACTTGGTAGGAGAAATATTCCATGCGTGAATTCCAATACCCAATGGACCAAGGGCCAGACAGAGTGAGGAATAGATGGTCGATAAAGCCTATTGAAATGTTAATGAGTATAAACATACCATACATGTCCAGTAGTCATCCATACCCAGGCGCCCAGGGAAACCCCTTCTCACTCTGTCAGCCTGATACTTGTTGCTTCACTGCAAAGAATCTGTGGGCTGTTTCCAACTTACAGTCATCTGCACATAGTGGTAAAGATGCAACATACTTGGTGACAAATCGTAAAAGAATGAAAATGGTAGTGATAGTGATGCATAGTACTTGCGTGAGGATGTTCCATTTCGATTGCGAGAAATGGATGTTTGGTGTCACTCCAGGTGGAGGGGGCAATGTGCCTGGAAAGAGAGGTTTCATATTTGGTAATTTGGCCATTTCTTGTGGGCAAAGTTACTGCTGTTGAAGAAACCACGAAGGGAGCAAACATCACCCTCTTTGAACTGCAGGCAGCGTGATAAGGCCAAAGGAAAGCACAGAATACGCCGCGAAGTATTGATTAAAAAACAGGCAACTAGTCCATGCAGACCGGTGACCGAATATCCTGGTTGCATGAAAATCGCATAAATCATGGGTGGAGGTGGGTTACTCATATTTGCTGTGCCGCGCTGCACCACACCTCGCCGCAATGCACCATATCTCGCCGTGGTAGATTACACCGCGCAAGGAACTAATTTTTCTTTCAGAACATTATGACTAAGGTAGGCTTTGCACCAAGCGATTAATTGCCTCATGCGTCGCATAGTTTGGTGCAAAGTCAAACATGGTCATTCTCCCTATAGATAGGATACATGGACAAAGTACATTATGAGCACATGCATGCTCCAACTTGCTTTCGGATCTGCTTTTGATAATGGCTGACCTTGCCTAGAACCATATTGTTTCCCATAGCCAATATGAATCTGGCTGGTACGATCTCATCGAGGTGCTGCCTTCTCTGCTAGAAAACATCAAATTAGGGATTGTCAATGCATTTACAGACGCCATGCCCCAAGAACACATTGGCCAAGGCAAAGTTGTTCATATTCGTGCTTTCTCATCCGTAGTGAAGCAAAAGAACCCATGCCTTGTTCTCTGGAATGCATACTAAATGCTCAAGCTAGGTGGGGACATATATAATGGGACAATTTCAATGACGGCTCCTTCAGGGAAGTGGCGCCAGGAGACAATCAAGCCAGGCATATCGCTCACCATGGGCATGATTGTAGCTGTTGGACTCAAGCCACTCTGATACTGTTATGCAAGTATTAGGCTGGAAGTAGAAAAGGGATTCAAACGGGGAAGGAAGGTTCTGAAACACAGAGCTGTATCGTAATATCTTCTTGATTCCATCACCGTATTCTCATCAATCCGACACACCATTTAATTGCCATATGACGTTTTGAGCTGCCATTTCTCCTGTAGCATATGCACCGTAGACGCAACCCATTCCAAAAATGGAGAGAATGTTCACCAGCAAACTGTACACGCGAAGTCAAATTCGCCTCTAGAGCCGTGGCTAGTTTACGGGCTTCATCTCCGACCCGAGATGTAGAGCAAGTCCCGTATCCGGCGAGGGAATCCTGTGTCTATTTCGTTACTTTGAAATCAACTATGGGAGGAAGCACTTTGTATAGCCCAACACGGAAGAGCTCGAGGAGTGGTTCCAGATATTCGAAAATATTTTGTTGATCCTCCATCATTTCTATTTCGTGGACGACTGGCGGACTGAGAAGGATGCACAAAATCTTGGATCCTTTGATGAGATGAAGATTGATAGCAAGAAAAGCATGGGCTAAGACCGGCCATTCTGAGTCTGGTTTGATACTGTGGTGTAGCAGGATAGATGAGGCTATTCGGGGATTACGTGTATGGGGAAGAGCATTAAGCAGGGCATAAAGAGATTAATTTAGGCTACTAAGAGTAATTAAGGTATTACCTACCTACCTCTAGAGGCCTATTAATAGAGTTAAATATCTACCTTTCCTACCTATTTACTAATTGCGGGTTGTACCTGTGATGCTCCCTACTAAAGAGGCGTCTATACGCGATAATACTGTCTGTAATCTAATTGACAATAGTGTCATAGCCGCCTTTGGCGTATGGGTCCCGTTGCGGAGGGATGGTGTACTTGAGATATCTTGAAGACGCTTCCTCGGTACCCAGAACTTTTCATCGTCACCAATGAATTCGTGGGTTTGGACAAAATCGCGCATGAAAGAGAAAGCCCACTTATTAGTGGGCTTCGGGTTTGCAGCGTAGTAGTGTTCCCGGAAATCATTGAACTCATCCACTATGTTACGTGCTTTGAATTGCGATCCCGAAGAGCCAAATTCTGTAACGCACATTGGCGTACCGTTGTCATAGTAGTACTCAATATCCAATGATCAGATAAGCTTCACTAGTGGATTATATGCCGTACCATGCATCCATACAGTTCCTGTTCATTTGCCAGTATGCATTATTTGAATAATGGTAGGTAGCAAAGCATATATAGTACATACCCAGATTAAATGGGACGCTGTGGTTGGTGCGCAACAATAGGTCTTACAATTACTGCGCTCTTTTTGTCTCAAGTGTATAAATCAATAACGTTCAAACGTCCCCGTGGGTCAAATTGTGCTCTATTATTGCTCATGCATCTGTAATGATTAGGAAACAAACACCGCGTTCATGTAAACTTAAAACCAAGAAACTATTGTAATAGAAATGATGTTGCAAGTACCGAAGCCATTATGGTATAGCACAAACGGCGCTTTCTCGCAGAATGATCATTATTGAGTCATGTTGTGAGACGCATGCTGATTACGACTACAACAAGCTGCTCGCATTATTGTACTAGAACAAATGATCATATGTCTGATCGAGATTTGCAGATGCTCTACAACCAAGGTCACTACAACGCTAAAGCAAAGCCTCGAATAGGCAATCTCATACGAGTCTACCACTTTAACTGAGCCATCTGCAATCGATTGTAGAGAAGAAACTACGTGTCCATTTAGATGAATGGACGGTATTTTTTACGATGGTTGCTGACTACTCAGCTAAAGTTGCATTCTCATGTCAAATAATGCGCGCTCGCACTTCAAGGACTCCGGACTCGGGCCGATTAAGTCGTAGAAGTCTTCGTTGTTAATCGGACTTAAGCCATCTTCTCATCAAACAACAATCCGCCCCGAAACTGCTGGTCCGTCCCTCGCCTGCTCCATTGGCTACTCTATACTATGTACCGAGTGACAGAATCCACGATTTGTTCATTTCTTGAACCACGGACGAGCGCTCGGAGATAGGAGGGAGGCTCACACAGAGCATGATCTAACGGTCTAAAATCATTACATAAAGCGTAGTAGTCTCTCCAGTTGTACTTTTGAAGTTTCGAGCTATAATCACTTCAATCACCAAATATCCCCATTCACGTTCACAATACACAGTCATCCTTCGAACTCCAGAAATATCAACCAATTTCACCCAACCCAATTCAGAGATCGCTGAGACAATGTCTGTCTTCGGGACCTTCATCTCCCAGCCTTTTATCTCCCTTCCTGAACCAACCGATTCTTACTCTGGCAAAACAGTCATTGTAACTGGCTCAAATGTTGGTCTTGGACTAGAAGCCGCACGGCACTTTACACGCCTCGGTGCTTCAATAGTAATTCTAGCTGTTCGCTCAGTCTCAAAAGGCGAAGCTGCAAAGAATGACATTGAAAAAAGCACTGGTATCAAAGACGTTATCCAAGTCTGGGAACTCGACATGTCTTCGTACCAGTCAGTCCTCAACTTTGTTGCCCTCGCTAAGGAGCTTAAAAGACTTGATATAGCACTTCTAAATGCAGGAATTCAGGCAGGGAAATGGGAAGTCTTCGAACAGGACGAGTCAACAATTACCGTAAATGTCGTCAGCACATTCCTCCTTACGCTTGCGCTACTGCCTAAGCTGAAAGCTACGGCAAATCAATTTAATACAAGACCGAACCTCACAATAGTAGCGTCGGCAGTCCACTTCTTAACACAGTTCCCTGAAAAAAGCGCTCCAGAGGGACAGATCTTTGAGAAGCTGAACATCAAGGGAGATAGCATGCAGGAGCGGTACTATGTTTCGAAATTGCTAGAGGTCCTTATCGTACGAGCAATAGCAGATCGAAGGCCCGCTTCGCAGATTCCTGTCACGATCAACTGCGTTAATCCTGGATTCTGTCATTCGTAAGTATCGCTCTTTCTCATACAATAATCGAAGCTAACAGTGGTAACAAGTGAACTCACTCGGAATGTCAGCACTCCTGTTTATATAGCTTCAGTCATTTTGAAAGCCCTCTTCGCGCGTACTACAGAACAAGGCAGTCGAACACTTGTTCATGCTGCAAGCCAAGGCCCTGAAACCCACGGACAGTACATGTCTGACTGTCAGATCACACCTCCGGCGCCTCTCGTCTTGCACCCGGTAGGGTATGTGACACAGAACCGCGTATGGAATGAATTGACGAAGAAGTTGGAGGCGATCAAACCGGGTATCACATCCAACTTGTAGGGGAGGCATAGTCAGACCAATGGAGATAAGTCATGATTGGGAAGTCTTTTGTTCCATTATACCGCTTCCATTATTTAGTGTGAGGTTTAATATAAATGTAGACTACTTAGTTATAGGTAGACTCTAATTCTTTACTCCTCTTAGTCACTGTATATCTGTCTAACCTATCGGATCAGCCCTGAGTTATCTTTGCATGACCAAGCACCTTGCTTTGTAACATGGTACAGAGCTTTGATCTCGACAATAGAGCCGTATGTCCCTGCAATCTGGAAGAAGAAACCAACAACAATGATGAAAATTGCCCAGCAAGCGCCAGCAATCCATCTCTTCCTGCTTACTGTTGAACCTGGACGATTATCAAACAGCCACATTGCGCCAAAGATTTGTAGCGTAATAAACGTGCCAAATAAAGCACCAATCAAGCCAATTATTGTACCAAAAGAAGGAACTGTACTGGCAATGATGTAGCCTATGATGCACGTTCCAAGTGTGCAGCTAAGCCAAGTTGCCCAGTGGATAACAGTATTTGCTGACAAGTGTTTGGAATTACGCAGGATGCGCACAAATACGATCTTTGCAGGTACCTAAACAGTATTAGACAAACATTACTTATCGAGCAGGAACAACGTACATGGCAGATAATCATAGTAGAAACTAGCAGGCCAGGAAGCGCAATGCCGTAGCAGATCTTCTTCATCAGAGGTCCAGCAGTTCCCAAAGCTGGTGAGGTAACAAGCGATCCAGCATAGTAATAGACAATTACACCAATGATCAGGTACAGAGAGTATACAATAGACTGGCTGCAAATCATAGCTTTAGTGTAATCTTTGGGCTCCCTCATTTCTGCAAGGATGGAGCAGAAGTAGGGCGGACTAGAAAGACTGAATATGATACTGCTGATAGCAGTTGCAACTTCAGTAAAAGATGGGCTCCCTATTGCTTTCCAGTCCGATTCCCATGGACCTGTCTGAGGTGCAAGAACTGGGCGTTGCTGAGACAGGGAGATTGCAAGAGTAATAACTGCAAGTTTTGTTAGGACATGCAGGCAGTTGAACTTAAGTATGTCTACTTACGTGATACCATGATGCAGATTAAACCTATCCATGCTACCATACCAATCTTGCTCATAGTTCTAACCGATGAGGTTAGAAATCCTACAATAGCAGCTACTGCTATAAAGACTGCAGTACATGCGCCGTGTTCAGAGAGAGCATTCAGACAGGTTGATATACCGATAAAGGCTGACCCGACTGTAATCAAGTAGTCTTTCAGTCTGTCAGTCAACTACAAAACTTGCTTGTTTAGTAGCACATACATAGCTGCAAGATAATGAGCATAGCTTCTCTGCCCGGTTTTCCGAACATCATGAAGCCTGCGCTGTCAAGTCCATACATCTCTGGATGCCTTAACTTGAACTTCCCAATCATGTAGTTCGACCATCCTGTGAGAATCGTGATACTCGTGAGAGCGATAATTCCTGGAACAAGACCGAGGGTGTTGAATGTACTGGGAATACCTAAGACGCCCAAACTGATTTGCGTCTTGGTCATTATAATCATGGTTTGAATCCAACCGACCTGTTTCAGTCATTTTTAGTGTCAGTAACTCTAAAGTATCTGGAGGACACAGGAAAGTGTTAATCTCTTAATGGCTTACACTGCGATAGTTAGGGCCGCCTTCCTGCTGTGTACCAAACACAGCATCATGAGTTCCAACAACTCCTTCCTCATGTTTCGATTCGTCCGCAAGAAAATGGTCAGTGTGAGCACCCTCAATTTGGGCAACATCTGCCTTCTCCGCATTTTCGTAGGTGATATTGAGTACAGTCATGATGTAGCAACTTTGCAGTTGTAAGCAACGTCTGAGGTAATACTTTGGTGCAATGAAAGAGTTCCAATAAGTTCTGCAAGTCAAATGCTTGATGCATCACCGCCTTATATACAGTACTCCAGCGTGATCGGTTTTATGGGAGTAGAGATTACCCCACAAGCAGCTAGACGCCCCTTAGTTCTAATAGACCACAAATTCTGGAGTGATTCTGTAACCTTTCTTGAGATTGGTGATCAGTGTTGTCAACTATGTGCCTACGCATGTGGCGTTAAAGGCCTTGGTCCCTCCCTTTCTCTTTACGGAAACTTTAACGTAGCCCCCGGATTTTGCAGCTGTACAACTTTAAATAAGAGGAGAGCGAATTTTAAGCAACTGTTGCGATTGGTAGAACCCCACGCCATGGTCTGGTTTTGGCCTGGGGGTCCCCATACTCTTGGCGGGTCAACCCCTTTGAGACTAAGCAAAGCTCGACTATTTTGACCTGATTAGGAAATAACTATTAAGGTTATAGGAACTTGAGTACGCAAGTATGCGGGGCTCCACATTATTTCACTACTTGTCGAGATAGGAGAAGAGGCTACAATAGGCCCGTTGGAAGAATACGTCCAGAGCCATTCGGTGTCGGTAGCTTTTGCTCCCTGCTGTTGGGTACAAGACCACTATGAAAGTGGCCCAGGTTGTTTCATTACAGCGTCGGGAATTGTACGGAAGTGTCACATGTTTAGATAGGACATGATGTTCAGGGAACAATGCTATTTTTATTCATTGTGAGTCTCTCAAATGCTAAATTACAATCATCTTCAAGTGCATATATTCGAGGACAGTTTCCAACTCTCTACGTTCATTTCTTTCTCGTCTTTCCAGTAATAGCAGCATCTTAAATTGTCATCAAAATCTTGACGCAGAACACTACGAATTTAGGACGCCGAGGACAGCCCCAGATTATTGAACGCGCTTCTCCGGATGAAGAGATTCAGACCTAGGTCTTGCAAGCTTACACATGGTGCAAATCCTGAGGCTAAGTAGCAAGACATGGTTGATGCTTTTGTCAGTTGTAATCTATCCGACAATTGGCAACTATGCTGCAGAAACTCTAATCATTCAACTTGTAAAAGTCTGCTAGTCGCCCAAGATTGCATCGTCCTCGATTCTATCCGGTAATGCATCTATTTGGCAGATGACTTCAAGGACAGTAGCAGCCAGTTTTACGAATGTAAATAGCCTGCAGTTAGCACGAAGGATGGTGCACAAATATGGTGCACAAATATGGCCCAGTAAACCGGCAATGTTGTGTCGTGCAAAAACTTTATTTTCATCACCTCTGTTTTCTACGAGACAGGTCACTGCATCGATCTCTCTGTTCTTTATAGGATTGGCGTAGCGAATCAACCACTTCATGAAACTAATTTTTACGGATGTAGAAGAAAGACCTTCTGAGCAAAACAGTCAGTCTCATTGCCCGGGCATCATATGTCAATGCTTGCCAAGTTATTCCAGAAATGCTTTGTTTTAGGGTTAGCCTCCCTGAGAGCCTCTACAATGCACCACGACTCCCCTAATTTAGCTGACTGCGGAACCCATTGGACATAACATTTTCAGTTCAAGCTTGATCTATGCAGAAGGATGGTGTGGTAATGTCAAGATTGAGGACCAGTCCTTGATCACTGGAACGTGGTATAGCAGTTGTTACGGTTCATATTTACGGTTCATATTTTCTTCTTTTTGACTAAATCAAACAAAGCGCAATCAATTGTATTGAGCTGCTGATGTATACTGACTCGCCGGGACGTTTCATAGATCAAGTATTTTCACGGAATGCGTTGACTGATTACATTACTGCAACCTAAGGGCTTGCGTTCACACGAGTCTGCGCCTAATTCGACATACATTCAAGGAATGACTAAGATCGATGCCTATTCCCTCTAGCTGTTTAATTGACAACTATCGGACACTATATTGATACATTGAGATAATTATATATCCCCTCAGTATGAACAACCTTAGAGTATTATAGGTCGACTACGTGCTCTCGGTGAACGTTGTATTCGCAAGGAATGTGGCAGAATATCCCACTAATTAGATAATTTCTCTACCGATCTAACAAGAAACGTACTCAATCCCTTAATTGGATTCGGACTTCTTCATGTTACGAAAGAAGCGGCTGGTATCACCCATCGGTACACGAAACGGCAGCGCCTCTTCACACAGATAATGCGCGGTTGCATAATACCCCAGTAGTCCTGCCACAAAACCAAAAGCTCCGGATGTCTTGCCAAGTCCATCAGCAATCGCGACCCTGTGATCGGCGAAGGCAAAATGTGATGCTGCGTCTGAGAGAAAGCACAGTTCTACCGTCGTAAAGATTGAAATATAGACGATATTTCTATCGATTCATTTAGAATTTGATGCATAAGTCAGGAACGGTAGGACGTACTTTGGCAAAGATGCAATTAGGAAGAATAGATTGAAAATGCCCCAGACTGAATGTCACTTGTCAGATTTATTTCACAATAAACACCATCTCTCGCCTTTGGGGATTGTTCGTACTTACTTAAGAGATAAAATCCCATGGCATTATAGTAGGCAGGCGTTAATCCGCCGTACGCTTCGATTACACCCATAAAGGGTAACATCATGACACCGTAAGATGCGTAAAAGAGACCTGAATAATATAATCAGCATTCCAAATCAGACCATCATTGAAGCTGACATGACGCACCAAAAGCACTGAGCACGGTATACGAAAAGGTATTGCCACGCGCCATCTCCCATTGTGCAGAAATGAGAAGACCTAAACCAGCAACCAGAATCAAATTTCCAGAGTGGATAGCCTCTATACTTGTGCCACGGATGTCCATCAAGGATAGCGAGAATGTGAGGAGAGTTGTAGCGAAGCCACCCATAGCGAGCGGACTCTGGGAAGAATTATCAGCATCTTGCAGTCCAGGTACAATTTTACTTCGTGGTGTTTAGATTCTCAAGTTCGAGTGCCCACTCTGACAAAAAGCCATACTATGACTCACCGCATCTCCAATTTCCATTCCTGACGCGTTCTCACTTTGGCCCCCCTTTGAGGGCAGAGCTTCCTCGTCGTAGGTTGAGCATGAGCATAATCCGTCTTTCCGACGTAGAACAGCCATGAGGGAGTGGTTTATAGGTCAATCGAAGTAGATTAAGGGAAACTTGTTCCTTCTTGAAGTCTCCTATTTGTACATATCCTTCCTGGTGCTTGTTATTGTATATGTGCTCTGAGAAACAGAAGGCCAAAAGGGATTAGGCATAGTCTATTGGGCGGTGTGAACTATGCTCTCTCGTGGGAATATCCGAAACGGAAACTCGATAATGATCTCCTTGCCCTCGAAGACATAGCTTGATTGGGTTTCAGTTGGCGATGATTTGTCGGAGTTACTACGAGTAGCACTAGGAAGGAGTCCCACCCAAAACTTAGCAAGCCGGCTATTATGCCTAGTTTGGGAAATTGTTGGCTGCCAAGCAAATACCCTTCTTTCGTGGTAGAACAATGCATGATACTTAGCATGAGTACCAGAATTGAAGAATGGTTGTCAGTACTTTAATTTGAGTTGATAAATTCATGTTGAAAAGGCTAAAGCTTTCCGAAAATATCAAAATTAGAACCAAATTCCACCGCAAAACCAACATGCTAGAAACCGCATTCCAAAGCGTCCAAGACTCAAGTCTTGTTGTTGGCAAGAACTACATTGACGGAGAATGGCGAGAGTCACGATCGAACCAACGGTTTCAGGTTACTAGTAAGCTACTACTCATTTCACACTGCCAAATTAAGGCTGACATATGGGCAAACCCCGCAAACAACCAGCTGCTTGGGACGTCTCCAGAGTCCAACGTTGACGATGTCGAAGATGCTATACTTGCGGCTCAGAAAGCTCTACCAGCATGGAAGAGCAAGAGTGGACGAGAGCGAGCACGCATCCTCCGCCGATGGTTCGACTTGATCATTGAGCACAAGGAAGATCTGGCCAAGATCATCAGCACGGAAAACGGCAAAGCGCAAGCTGACGCCGCTGGTGAAGTTGGAATGTGTGCTGGCTTCCTAGAGTGGTTTTCTGAGGAGGCTGCACGTATTCACGGAGATGTAGCACCTCACTCAAATCCGACTTTCCGCATCAACATTATCAAAGAGCCGATTGGCGTTTGTGCCATGATTCTGCCGTAAGATAACTCGCCAGGCTTTGACCATAACAACTGTGTATCCTAATATCCAATAGCTGGAACTTTCCCGCAGCCATGATGGTCCGCAAGCTTGCTGCCTCCCTTGCCGCCGGCTGTCCATCGATCGCGAAACCGGATGGACTAACACCATTTAGCGCAAGCGCATTCGCTGTTCTGGCAGAAAGAGCAGGTATCCCCACGGGTGTTTTCAATCTCATCCATGCGCTAGAAAACACGCCCGCAGTGGGCAAGGCATTGTGTGAGCATCCCTTGGTTCGAAAGCTGTCGTTCACAGGCTCTACACGCGTTGGGAAGATTTTGCTTGCTCAATCAGCATCAAATGTGCAGAAGTTGAGTCTAGAACTCGGCGGAAACGCCCCATTTCTGGTACTCGATGATGCAGATCTCGAAGTTGCTGTATCGAGCCTCGTAGTCTCGAAATTTAAGGTCTCTGGCCAGACTTGCGTCTGCGCAAATCGCATTTACGTTCAGGAGGGTATTCACGACCAGTTTGTCGAGAAGCTGCTTACAGCTGTTCGGGCATTCAAACTGGGACCAGCTTCGGATGTCAACACTACCCAAGGCCCTTTGATCAATGCGAATGCCGTAGCCAAATCAAAAGATCATGTTGAAGACGCCATATCGAAGGGAGGAAAGGTCTTGGTGGGCGGAAGACCCGCAAGCGAACTTGGTAAGGACAAAAACCATGGTGGCCGTAGCGATGGATTGTTGACAGCACGTTTCCTTCAGGACCGAACTTTTTCCAGCCCACGGTCATTGTCAATGCAACGCAAAACATGAAGATTGCACATGAGGAGACCTTTGGTCCCGTCGCAGCTATCTTCAAGTTCAAGACTGACGAGGAGGGTATTCAATACGCGAATGACGCCGACGTTGGCCTGGCGTCTTACCTGATGACAACTGGGCATGACCGGGTCCGCGCGTTCTCCGAGGGATTGCAGGCCGGTATGGTAGCAGTCAACACTGGAGTAATTGCCGATCCTGCATCACCGTGAGTGTTCTTTCTTCCTCGAGCTGCTGAAAAGAAATGCTAAATACTCACAGGTTTGGGGGTATCAAAAACTCTGGCTTTGGTCGAGAAGGAAGCAAATATGGACTTGACGAATACCTTACGTTGAAGACCATAGTTACGGGTGGTTTCAAGAGTATTGTTTGACGGATCATGCCAGAAGTTGCCAGGATGTAAATCATGAAGTAAATTTAGAGTAGTAACCCAACGTGACATTTTCGATGCGCAACTCTACCTGTAGAAAGGAATTCACACACCTGATTCACTATATCTCCGTTATATGGATGTGACACGTGAAGAATATCTGAGGACCTTGGTAAGTGTATCAAATGAGCATCCATTGTGTTCAATACCCTACTTCATGGGCAACTAATGGATTGAGAATTGTGAAAGAGTTCCTTTGCGTAGCATTGCAGTTGGTGAAAGAAAAACCGACACTTGAGGTCGAAACAGGCCTTTCGTGTGTGGAGAAGTGGCCGCAGCGGAAATCACTTTGCTGGTTTCTCGACATTCCTCCAGCTCCAGCTCTTCATCCCATCATTGTCTGCATGCTCTTGTCCTGCAAAACATTGAGCCAGTGGACATTCATATCTCCCTTGTCTTGCCGATGCCAAACTTCCTTGATGATGTCCAACATTTGTAACTGCGGACGTTGGGGATATTTTCGCGACAGCGCTAGCATTCGCTCTTCTATGAGAGTTCGGGGTTGTACCTCGTGCTCTTCCTCATGGCCTGATTCAAAATCGCCCATTTCCTGAGTTTTGGTAGGTTGCAAGTGGCTGGAAAGGATGACATACAGAAGAGATAGCATTCGACTGGAACCTGACCGAATAGAGATTGGCTCAACGATCTGATATAAAATGTAGTTGGCTAGGTCTGACAGACATTTGGCCCTAGTGTCGCATATTGATGACCCTGGAATTTGACAGCCAAACGTGAAACCATCAGTAGTAGTCGCATGTTCTACACGTTGCTGTAGAAGGTCCGGAAAGACAGCATAAATCTCCAACAGACCAGCCAAGCGGTAGGCCATGGAGACACGAACGACGTCCTCTTTCGATGTTCTTCTGTCGTGTAGGTCGGCAATCTTTTCAAGAGGAGGCATTTTGATGCTAAGCAAGAATTTCTCCAATTCAGTCGCGAAGTCAACATCAAAGCTTACCGACACCTCATAATCAGAAAAAAGGGAAACACCAGTCGCTGATAACCCTTTATGAATACGCTGACGGCGGAGAATCCTCCCAATCTCTGCGAAAGCAAAGTTCACCTCAGTGACTACACCAGTCCATGGGTGAGGTACTATTGGCACTGGTAAACTTGTAGGGTCTTCAGGCGGTTCAATGGTGACACGACCTGGCAAGGCAGCGATGGGTACCGGATCAATGAAGCTCAGCAACATCTCCCAGTACAGCAAGCCGTTCTGAAAAAATTCGACAGTATTTCCCTCATCTGCTTCGTCGATTTGTTGTCGCAGTAAGTTTCGCGCAATATAGATGTATTGCGCGCCAATGCGTGATGTTCTGTGCCATGATGATGACAATCCGAGTAGCATTAAATTCAATGATATGACGTCGGCGGGTACCTTTCTAGGCTTGCGCTGGTGTAGATCTTTCTGAAGGGACATCCAAGCCTGAGAACGTTTACGGAGGCCAATTTGCGCCAGAGATGGATAGTGATTTGCTAAGTGAGCTGCTGACATGCTCTGAATGGACAAGTTCATTGTTTCTGAAGAGCCCCAGTAAGCTGAAACCAGGTTTCGAAACGGATTGATGGAAGAATCAAAGCAGGAGAAAAGAGAGCAAACGTGTCTGAAGTAATGCTGGACCAGATCTTGGTCAGTATATCCGCTTACGGTGCCGAAAGAAGTCTGGCGATAATACGTTTGTAGGTATCGTCCTGCTGTACTTGAAGCACCTTTCGAAGATCCTGTTTCCGAGTTGGCCGGTGGATTTGCCTGCTCAGAGCTTGCAGACGGTGAGAGATCGGGCAAAACGAAAGGCGCTTGCTGGGCTGTGCTGAAGTCTGATCCATTCAGTTGGTGCACAATCAACTCGTTAGACCTGACATCTGCCCTATTCTGATGATGGGACGAAATTTGGCCCTGAAATGCAGACATTGTGCTCGTAAATTCCATTATATCCTCGTAGCTGAAAACCGGAAAGTCGGGCCAAACGTCAGGAACATTGGCCATGAGGGTGGTGAAATTGGAGTCGTCAGCCCCGGAGATCTCGCTTTCAAGCGGAATTTGGCATGGCTCAGTTGTTTGGATTGCTGATACTGCAGGGTCTTCATCATTGCTCGATGGAGGAGCAACTGTTTGAATGGGTTGATCCTGAGGAGCTTCGGCGGCCCCTCTATTCGCCGAAAGAGAGTGCAACCGCTCGTGTTTGTTCGACCATTTGAACTTCTTTTCATAGCCTGGGCATTTGATGGTGTTGCTGGTGCAAACCTGGCACTCAGGTTTGGCTTCGTCACATTTGATCTTTGCCGGATTAGCCGCAAACCAAGGACAACAGTGAATGGAATTCTACAGTACATGTCGGCTTTTGCAGCGTAGACACCCGCCACGCGATCTTGTTGTACCAGCTCCGACAGAACGCGGCATAGGAAACTGTAGCTACGACGTCAATATGGGAAGATGTGTTGTGTGTGGTGTTGTTTGCGCCGATCGACGGTTCTGCTGCGGGGAAGTGGATTTCAGAAGGCTTGGCTGCTGGTTCTGGTGCTAACAGGCAGTAGCGTGCAACGGGCGCATTATTGGGCTACTTCTTCACTGGCTAAGATGTTGCTGTATATCATCATCCGAAATGACTTGATCAATTTCCATGTGCCAAAGCTTAATAGTTACTGTTCAAATACGAGAAATAGGTAGAAAGAGATTGACAATGTCCTTATGAACTTATCACGATTCAGCCATCGTTCCTGCTACATATCAAACAACACGTAGTCTCTATGCAGCAACATCATAGATCATATCAAATTTGTTTTTGCTGCAACGATCTAAATTATACTACATCGAACTCAATCGTGCCCCAGCCCTCATACGTGCATGTCCACCGGCCAGCCTCACGCATTGGAACTGCCTGGAGACAGCTTCCTGGCAGTACCACCTGACCAGCTTCCAACCCGACATTATAATGCGCCAGGCGATTGGCTAACCACGCAACGGCGTTGATCGGGTTTCCCAGAATGTTACTAGTATTGCCCGTCATGACCTCTTTGCTGTTAAACTTGAGGACACCCTTCATGTCGGATAGCGTGAGCTGGTCGAGTCGGCGCTGCGTACCGCCCAGCAGCACGGCAGCTGTCGAACCATTGTCGGCCAGGGTATCTTGAAGACCAATCTCCCAGTTTATGATTCGCGAATCAATGATCTCGATGGCCGGAATGGCGTAGTCGATGGCGGAGATAACATCTGCAGCGGTCACATTGGGTCCACGGAGAGGCGCTTTCAGAACAAAAGCCGGTTCCAGTTCAACATATGGCTTGATGTATTCCTCTAGTTTCAGAGTGGTGCCCTCGTAACGGAATGAACTTGCGAGCAAGAAGCCGTAGTCGGGTTGATCCAGGCCGAACGCATCCTGCATTACTTTGGCAATGTTGCCAAGTTTCATACCCACCAATCGATCTCCATCCGCAAGGGCATTTCTGACCGTTATGCGCTGGACTTCGAATGCCCCTTCAGCGCTCAGTGCAGGGTATGACTTGATTGGTGGTGGGATCGGTGTCTGGGTAATGCGTGCCTGGCGCAATGCTACGGAGATCTCCTCTAATTTCTGGGAATCCTGTACACCATTTTCGGGGGATTCTGAGCTTCTCATTCTTGCTGAGGCGGAAGTAACTAACGATTCTGACCGAGAAATGAAATTATTTTGAGTTTAATTCTCTGGATACGTCCCGTTTACACTGAGCCAGGACTGAATATTTATGAGCAATGACACGTAGTAATCAGCTAGCCTGATCGGTATATTTCATATCTAGAGAGTGGTTTCGTCCTAGATGTCATCGCTCACGGAGAAGGCCAAAACGAATTTCCTGATAGGGTAATAACGGAATGCCTAGATGTAGCCTAGGCCCAAAAGTATCTCTCAACGTTTTTCTGCACTTTTTGTTCTGTCGAGATTGAGCGGCGATGTAGTTTCGCATCTTTCAACCTAGAACGGAAATGTCACTTGTATGACCACACAATACCGCTCCATCATGACTTTACTATAATTTTTCTTCACATACGAGCGACAGGAATCTCTACACAATCATACCCTCAATAACCTTTATTCTAGCTTCAACTAATAATGCTCATGTCTCTACTTGATTAACCCTAACCTCGGCGAATTCTTGGGAAAAGATCTTTCGCAGGCTCACAATGTCAGTCTGGATATTGATCATGTCATAGCCTTTCAAAGCAAATTCCTTGCCTTGGAGTCCAGTGTCCAGATAGATGCCAACTGCTTTGCCTGCTGCTTTTGCGGCATCCCTGATACTATCCATTGCTCGTACAAGTCTTTCATCGGGGTTGTTAACGTCAACAAGCGGACATCCGATGCTCAAAGACAGGTCGAATGGTCCAATGAAGACAACATCCACACCAGTGATAGCTAGAATAGCTTCAACATTTTCCAATGCCTCTTTAGTTTCGATCTGTACCGCAATGACTAAAGAGGAATTTGCCTGCTCAAAATACTGAAACCCCCTCAAAGGTATCACTGGCCCGCCATGTGGATGTTGTTCTACAAACTTCTCCACTGCGAGCAAGGGTTCAAGTCCGCGTTCGCCCTCAGGAGGAAACTTAGATGCGCGTACCACATTTTCTGCATCTTCGACTGTTTTGATCATAGGTGCAAGAATGCCATGTGCGCCGGCATCGAGAGCCCGTTTGATCATCCATCTCTGACCCTCGACAACCCGCACAACGGGGGACACTCCGCAAGCAGCTGCCGCTGCGACAATTTCGTGCATCCCGTCGTCTGAAATATTGCCGTGTTCAAGATCCACAAGTAGCCAGTCGATATTATTTGCAGCACGACACATTGTTCTTGTAAGATTGGTACCGGACAGCATCTGCCAGGCGCCGTAAGAGGTATCTCCTCTCTTGAGTGCTTTCTGTAATCTGTTTGCCGCTTGCATGTTGAGGAAGTGATGATGAAGAAGGATTTGGTATTCTGTAGGCTGAGGAGCAACTAAGTGATGAACATCAACCTCGGTTTAGTGATGAGTGTAAATCAATTCAGGAGGTAGGTACTGATTGTACTACATTTTTCATAGCGAGAATAAAGGTATGCTAACGTTCGCAATATAGAATGGGTATTGTTAGACCCGGGTAAGTGCTCCAGATTTGGTGATACCCCAAAGAGCAGCGAAAAATGCCCTCGTTGGGATTAGTCTACTTCCAGTGCCCTAACTTCCCCAGCAAGGTTAGCGCAACCGCGAAAGATCATGTTGCAACCCTAGACGAACACGGGCTAAACATGGCTTCACGGATGTTCTTACTCTCTCAAGTCAAAGCTGATGAACCTGATCATTGTGAGGTGTGAACATGTGAGCTCCAGGTGCTAATTGCGGGGTCATGGAGTACCTAGACAAGAGCTGTGGGGAGGCCGTGAGATAGATTAAATAGCGACTAGTTTCACGATGCCGTTAACCTACGTACTCATTGCTGCATCATTCTCAAGATCATTACAGTCAGTTGAGACCAAAGCAACCATATATAGGTTCTACATACATCAGCTATCTGCCTGCCCTTGCGACCACGATATACACCACAATGTCGCCAATTGCAGCTAGCGACTTGAAGGCTCCCCCAGCTATTACCCATAACTCGAGCGTCCAGGTCGTTCGCTCGACAAATGCTCTACCTGCAAATCTTTTGAATGCTGCGAGATCTACCTTGACCGAGTCCTTTGATGCTGAAAAGCATGTTTGCTTTGAAGCTCCCGGGAAGATCTACAAGATGGAAGAACTAGGATTCCCGGGCCGAGGCATTTCAGAGACTGCTGTTTCTGCGCCCTTCCCACTCTTTTCGCAAAGCGCAGTTGCACAAATGCGCAAAGAGGTCTTCAGCCAACGCGTCTTGGACGAGTGCCGATTCTCATCCGGCTTCGTTAAGGATACAGTGCGTGGCATGATGCCGTCCCGAGCCCCTTTCACCTACGACGCATGGAAGTCTACGGAGGTCTTAGCGGCGGTATCTGCAGTCGCAGGTGTGGACCTTGTTCCTGTCATGGACATGGAGATCTCGGCTATCAACATCTCGGTTAACCCGACGACCGTAACTGATGCCGAGAAGGCCGCATCGAATGATAGATCTGCATTTGCGTGGCACTACGACAGCTATCCATTTGTCTGTGTTACGATGTTGTCCGATTGCACAGACATGCAGGGCGGAGAGACTGCCGTTAAAACTGCATCGGGGGATATCATGAAAGTTCGCGGACCGGCTATGGTAAGCTATAAAATCTTCTGTAGAGTCGCCCTCTGTCATATCCACTCACAATTTTACAGGGTACTGCAGTGATAATGCAGGGTCGATACCTCAACCACGCTGCACTCAAGGCGTTTGGTGGTAAAGAGCGCATTAGCCAGATTACCTCCCTGCGCCCACGCTTCCCGCTTGCAAAAGATGAGAGTGTGTTGACGGGGGTCCGTCCTATCTCGAACACGTCGGACCTTTATACGCAGTGGACGCAGTACCGCCTCGAAAACTTAGAGGAGCGCATCCGGGAGAAACTGAAATCAGAAAGGACAAGGGAAAGCTTCAATCGTCCTTTCGATCTAGTAGCAACAAGAAGTTGGTTTGAAGAGAATATCGCGTACTTCCAAGCAACACTTAAGGAACTACAAGAAGTACAGTCCTAGGCTTATGATGTAATAGTAGTACGGAGTGGTAATTAGACGTGGAAGGCAATCTAATCCTGACGTACCAGTACCCTTGTGCGCCTCTTGATGTAACGCGGAAGCCGGAAATACTCCTCGCCGCTACGCCACCAAAATTTTAGAAAATATAGGAAATAATGTACGGCTGATTGTTTTGATTGTAGTAGAAGTGTCGCAAAGATTTGAATTTTAAAAGTTGTGCTGTTCTTCCCCCTGTAAATTTATCTGCATTTGAAACGATCCTAAGTCTTCCCGGGACTATTTCGAGAGAATGCTATTTCGAGAGCAGGCATAGCCAAATTCGTGCACAGGTGACAGGCAAACTAAAAATTAAAGTTGGGGATGTGGTGGGGTAGCCGAAGCTTAGTGCTCCCGTCGCTTGAACCACGTGACTAATCAATTGAGGTGAATCCAGAACATGGGTATTTAAGTACCTTACGCTTGATTCCTTTACACACCTTCACAACAACGCAACTTGCTATCTCATCCGTGCTCTCTGTCACCTCTATCATTGTCATGCGCTCTTCCACACACCCTTCTACATTGGCTGACGTTTCAATCCAACAGCCCTAAGTTGCACTCCTTCCTCTCTCAAGCATTGGTGATCACCACCCGCCTCGATTTCGGCCCACGCACAAGGAGACTGTCACCCGTTCCCTGCAATTAGACTGGCCTCCGTCCACCATCCTTGCGAATTTCACATGGCCTCCGCACGTTGGTAATCACAGACCGTTTCGGCCCTCGCCCAAACCCTGGCTTGCCTACGTCGAGGGGTGGTTCGCAGACAGACACTTGCGGTGGGAATGCGGTGGGAAGTGACCTCGTTCTGCGGCAGCAATTTAGTTCCGGCTAGCCTTTGCTTCTGCTGAAGACCCTAAGTGGTTAGGAAGTCATAGTGCTTCACGTTTCTGTAAGTCACATCTTAGAACGTCTTCATACTCGGCAAATGTACTTTTAAACAGAAATGGCACAGATCTCCTTGCATAAACGTAGTCTGCCAGCATTGGCTTGTACTGCCGATGATTCAAAACTACTGCCATGCACCTGTCATATCAAATATGACCAGGTCCGCTTGTATGCCACCTTCACTCTTCAACACGTTATTGATACCAATGATGCAACGACGATGCATTCCTTCACATTCATCTACAATTCCGACAACCTTCACCCTGAGACAACAACCTACACGACGTCAGGCCGAGATCTTACTCAATTAGAATCACAACACATCGCGCGAAATATAACGCCTAAAGTTCGTGCATTATCCCTACAACTAAAGAAACCTTGCGCCATCCTTTGTCCCAAAGAGAGAATACCTAGACCCACCCATCTTATCGGTCTTGCTAAAGCCACCGACATCACAATAATATTTGACCGGAATTGGCTCACCTCACAACAACATAGATTCATCTTTGACATTGTTGCCCAGCCAGAAACATTTAGTGGCTTCCCTATTGATGAGAAGAATCTCAAAGGACGCAGGCTTGACAACTGGACCGTCTTTTACCCCGCTGATGATCGTGTATCGAATGAACCTCACCCATACATCAAATTGAGCTCCAAGCGTAGCCTGCAAGGTGAGGCGTCTTGATCCTTGTCCAACCCTTTTGCTAGACTAATGCGCAACCATAGAGTCAGACGACACAGCAGGGTTGTCGCCGCCGAAACGCATATTGTGTACACCCGTACACTCGCCCACTAAAGAGGCCACTGTAATTCCGACCCCCAGATCCTGGGAAGCACCTCCAAATATCGACGGATTACAGCACGCCCCTCTGCCTCCTTCCACTCCATCACCATATGCTGTCTCCGTTCGTACACCGACCCCACATAGCCTTCCTCCACGCGCCGAATCTCTGCACAACCTAGAGGATGACGTGAAAAGAATAATGCAGCAATTGCTCCCGGAATTGCTTGCTCGCTCAATTTCTCGACACACCTAGATCCGTCCCGACTCCACCATCACCCGCGTCCGATTTGAATACCGCTACGAATTCCTTTACTCCATCTCCCCATTCCATTCGCTCCCTTCGCGAACTCCTCTTCACCCGAGCCGCTACCTATGCAGAACAAAAGCTCACCACGATCTTCGAGAACACTGCGTATGATGCTCAATACCTGCGGAGCGCTGCCGACGACGAATTCCTATCGGCTGTTGAAGAACAGAGACAAGGATTTCAGTACAGCACCGAAGATGCACTTAGAGAATTTCTAGAGGAGATTGACAGGATAGTAGATGAGACTTTCTGCAAGCTCGAAGAAAAGGTAGTTCAATATCTGGAATCAGTGGAGGAATCAGTGGAGGAACAATTTGAGAAAGTGATTACTGAAAAGGTGGATAGGTTTGCATATGCATATGGCAAGTGGATGATGAGTGTGGCGCGATCTGCTGCCGGCAGCAGAGGAGGGAGGATGACGAGGAAGGCAGGTCAGAAAGCTATTCATCAAAAGAATTAAAGCTTTCGAAGAAGCGTGCAGTTTCCTTGGAAGCGTGCAGTTTCCTTGGAAGCGTGCAGTGTATTGAAACCATGCACAATAAACACCTTCTGAACCATCAGGGTAGCTTCTAACAAAAGACCAATTGGACCTTAGGTATGCAAGACGGTGGTTTGGTTGATTCTCGGAGATGGCTCAACAATCAACATCATCTTGCCATTGTCTAGGCTACTTTGACCCACCGCATCGACTGGCCAGTGGGTATTATTCATATGGAGAACAAAGAAGTCACTCGGTCGCATCTCTTGGAAAGGCCATCTCTACCCACTTATTTGCTCGATGAAGATTTTCCCTTCCATCAAGGGATTCTTCTAAGTCTCTTCCTCATATGAATGGTGAATTTTGTATATAGATTAAGTGGAGATATAGAATGCTTGGATCAATGACACCCATCGATGTGATGTACCCTTTTTTTGGTTGCGAAGTTCTCTGGTTTCACCATAGCACTTAACTCTATGGTCATAGTCAAGAGCCATGACAAAGATAATTGAAACACACATGAACTTGAACGGCGCGTTTACCGTTCCTGTTTAGACTGTTTCAATTTTTACATGCCTCACCTGATAAGCCTGGAGTTACAGAATCAAACACTAGTTTGTATTCAACCTTTACAGTGTGGCTCAGTCATCTACATAGCACCTCTTACAAATCTATAGGTCCCAAGAGATCGCTCTCGTCACGCCCGTCCAATCAATTACATTTAGAGATAGTATTCATCACTTTTCCGTTAGCCCCATCTCCGGTCACAAAATTATGTTCGCTTTCGACTAACGGAAGTTGGCTCTTTCAACGATAGTATCAAACGCGCATGTAACCTCCTCTGTCTCGCCGGATCTTAGTACATTCGAGTTGACAAGCCAGAATGATAAGACCTCAAAGATTTCCCCAGGGTCGTGAACAATTTCCTCGAGACGGCCCAGTGGGTGTGAAGGCCGGCCGCCAAACTTATTGTAATACCCTGTTTAGCGTCGAACATCCCCACTGTACTCTGATTCTGAATCGAGAGAATTCGATGCTGTCATTGGATTGGACCTCGCTCGGCTTGGTCGACCCCGACTGGCGGATATATCCTGAAGCCGGGCGGAGACTTGATCTATATTGATAACGCGAGATCGGGAGGATTTCCCCTCGTTGCGCACTCAATATCTGGCCATGATAATTAGAAATTGTAGGTGAGCGGGTAAAGATCGCTACCTTAATCCCTGCATGAACTCGGATGTGATGTTCTCTGGATCTATAACCTCGACAGTTCTATACTTGCCATCAGCAAAAGTGTAAGTAGCAGAACTCCTATGATAATTATAAGCTCGCATATTACCTTCCGTTTTCTTTCAAGTTCTGGTCCAATTCCGCGTTATTATAAGCGGCCACATTGTGGGCATGAAGTCCGGAACTCATTGTTCCAATAGGGGTCATATCCCGTAAGAGTAAGCTGGTTGTTAGGTTGGGGGTGTTTTCTTGTGGGTTAGGGTCAATTAAAGAAGACCCAACGTGGCATCCCTCGTCATGCCGCTCCGGAGATTGCCCGCTCTAGTCCTGATGCAAGTTATAGACACATGCATGCTGTTCATATCTGAATGCTTAGTGTCATGATCCTTGAATATGTTTACTGTCCCCAAGCTGTAAGGAAAGTTCTTAGGACGGAGAGGTCGTACGGGAACTAGCAATCTGGGACACAGATGGACTGCGTGAGATTCTACTTGGAATGCTGATTATAGACCCGGAGTTTCGATACTCTGCGGAAGAATGCTTGGAGTATCTTCAAACATTAGAGAATAATAGAGGGCTAACACAATAGTATGATGGAGTGCGCCAGCCCAGGTTGGACATCCTCTATCAGTTGTCTTTACAGATTAGAGGCAGGAGCCTTTGTAGTTCTGACAAACTAATTACAATATCCAGCATTCTATTTCTCAGTGTTACAGTCTCTAAAGTTAGTTCGGCAGACCCGACTTTCAAGACGTCGTTAAGCATCAACCGCATACAATAGAGTTGCTAGTTGCTAAAATTTTCATACTTCGGAAGCTGCTATAGACAATCGGAAGGGTTCTTAGCGCTGGGCGAATTCGTTTTTAATTGTACAAAGCGGAAAGGGGGACCCGTAAGGCTTGTTCTAGCACGAGGATACTAAATAGCTACAGAAGTGACATTCATTAGTAACTACTAGTCGTCCTTTGTACCTCAAAGCCTATTGTAGGCAGATAGGAGGGACATCTCCGGGGAGTAGTTCCGTCTTCATATGTGTGAAGATCTGAACGCTCTTACATAGCTGCTACTTACACGAATATCCATGCTTGTGCAATAGTCAATGCTACTTCGTTTTGTAACTATCGAGCAGCTGCTTTAAGTAATATGCTATTACAATTACTGTATCTGCCCTATACAGGTAGTAGTGCTGATAGAAATGCCTTGAAGGGTATAAATAGAATATTGTAAGTAGACTAGCTGCCTTTAAACCCTAAGTCTAGGTTTATAAGTAAAGGCCTTTATCTACTCTACTGTAGGCCTAGGAGTAAGATAGCGTAGCAGCTTAGGTAAAGTATCTTGTTGTCTTGTACTGTATCAAAGGTAATCTTATTCAAGTCTGATACTATGTCCATTATCTTTATAAGTGTGCTTGCATACAATTTCTACTCTAGAAGACCGATGCGCTCACATTCAGGCCTTAAGTGTGTATTTCCATGACGTTCACTTGTTCCAAAGGTACATTGGCTACACATGACGTGTGTACATGTTGGACAGTATGCCATGAATATGTCACAAAATCCTGCACAGTAACACTAAGCTGCGTTAATTTGATATCGACCATAAGCTTGAATGACTTACGCAAAACCATCCTTCAGATTCTTTAGAGCTACAATCGGTTCTTAATGGAGACTGAACATCTTTTGTCTGATTTGCTGTGCACTGTGCACATTTCTTGTGTTTACAGTTTGGGTTTTGGCATTCTGATTTCTCTGCTTCATTTGTCTCGTTGCAATCTGTCTCGCACTTGTCTAGTCAGAAACGGTCTTTGACCGCTCGTGGGGCCTTACATACGCAGATCCATGTCATAGGGCGAGTTTGAGGTATAGCTGCTATGGAACGATATATAGAAGTCAATCCAAGTTCCGCTTGAAGTCGATCCATCAGTTTTGGGTTGAACGGGGTGTATACGCTATTCATTGACATACTTTGCTTCGGTGCCAGGAATCAATTTAGTATATGCTCAAATTTCTTTTTGTATGAAAACCGACCGGTGAAAATTGCTTGCAACGTGTTCCCTGCTTATAGGTGCGACTGCTGCATAAAGTTCAGCCTTGCGCTATTAAGTATCTTTTCCCTGCTTCCAGCTTCGCATTTAGGAATACTTTACGCCAGGCTATTTTTTGCAAAGCTTTTGACAAACAATGCCCTTTCATTAACTTTGTTGCCGAAGCTCTAAAATATGAGCACAAGTAAACGTCAAGGTGGTGCGCTGAATGGCGTATGGGAGGAAAGATACAGTCGGCAAAGGATAGAAGAGTTATACATCAAGGAAGATGGGCGTGAAGATCGAGTCGCATTCCCAAATGGTGTTTCGTTATTTGAATATTTGAGAAATGGCGACAAAGAAAATTTCATTGACACAATACTAAGATTTTCGAAAGATCTCCTAGAGCCTCCTGGCCGGTTTCGCTTCTCAGACTTGCGCAACTATCTCGGCAGTGCAGACCTTTCCACCTTCAAGCAAGGAACAACCAACGGGCGTGCGTCAGGCATCATTATTCTAGACGAAAGACGTGACCCGATTGACACTTCAGCAACAACACGTCATTGGGATTCGGATCTCTATCTCAGATATCCACCTTCTGGCACTGATATTTATACCGAGAAATTAGATTTACCTCGGTTGGTGGACAGACTAAGCCAAAATGCAAGGGTAGATACCCTTCCTTAAGAGTAGCGCTCTAACCTCTCTTAGAGACGAGAAAACGGTGCAGAGAGACGGATTTTGTACGTTGTATTGAATACATGTCCCTGATCGTCTTGCTTAATACCTGGCAGATATGTGTCTCATATGACTTCGTCCTGCGCTATGGCCATCATCGGCACTGCACCGACACGTTCGATTCCTATTCTTCGGAAGTTCTTTCAGAACCATCTACTTTTTCGCACCCACTTTCGCATATCCATGGTAATGAATGCATAGCATGAGGTTCTTAATGGAAGCTAATAGCATAGTCTGGGACATATACTATTGAGTTTCATATACCCTACCTCGCCCTTCGGGAAGGTTCGCCTATACAGGACGATCGACGACAGGAGCGTGATCAATGTCCTGCACATAAGCGATTGCCATTACCCCGCCCAGATGATCAGGAAGCCTACTACTATGAAGCACAGACTTCATTCCTGCTAACTGGAATTGATGAGCGAATGTACACTGTAGTTTGCGCCGTCGATACATTTTTTGAAAAGGAGCAAAATCGAGATAGCTACCTAGACAAAACTACCCCCCTCGACGCCCCCTCTGGTGGGTCGATTTGGCTCCAATATCCAGTTTGGAACCCACGTCAGTACGCACTAGCGGTACAGTCTCACAGGATGTTCCAAGCCAAAGAGGAATGGACTGCCTTGATCAACTACTTCGTTCAACGGCTGCAACATTATGTTTGTCTTTTATCTCGATAAAATCATATTATTCTGCTAACTATAACAAGGAATATCTCTATGAGCTACCCGATGACCACATGTTGACTAGGACAATAGAACTTACAGGGGCTGAGTCAACAATACGTCAATTCAGGGACCACATTGCTCGCACGATCAGCGCCTGGGATGGGTACTATGACATCAACAAAAGCCTTTATGAGGTAGAAAGCTTCAAGCTTTACAGCTGGTGGCAAAGGTATATAGGATCCATTGGCGAGTCGATATCGGAACTCAAGGTTTTGCACGAGATTATGGCTCAGAAGCTGGAGCTCTTCAAGAGCATGCGGGAAGGAGTAAGTCCATCTATACCACCTTGCCCCGGATATCAGCTACTGATTGTTCAAAGTTGGTAAATGCGTCATCGTTTAAAGAAAGCGCAGCAGCTACTCGACAGGGGAATAAAATCAGTGTTCTTACCACAATCACCATGGTAATGCAGGATTCCAATTTTTCAAAGCCTTACTTCTCGAACTGGAAAGTTGTATACATACTAAACTTTGGTTCTAGCTTTTCCTCCCTTTTACAGCAGTCACAGTAAGAGTGAAGACTTTTCGATTTGCAATCCGTCCCGCGAGCTAATCTTTTTAGGCATTCTTCAGTTTACCGCAACTAGGCGATTCCGCATGGCTTTGGCTTGCCTACTGGCCTGCAATATGTCTAGCCTTGGCCGGAACTGTGTACATTTTCCACCAAGCTGAATTACTCGAGAATATGTTCAGAGTAGGATAGGATATTTCGTAATACTAGTAGCTATAACAGTGCGCGTCAAAATCTTCGTAATTAGTGTACAAATTCTACGTTCCGATGACAACATTCAGTAAGCATTATGGGCCTAGTAAATTGGCTCCCAGCTAAGAATATATGAAGTATAACTTGCAGTTCCTAAGTTATTAGAGTGATCATAATTTGCGTCATAAGCGAGCTGCGCTGGCTCTCTGATTGCGTCGGGCCACATAGATGCGCTGCCTGGGAATGGCTCGCAGTAGCCTAGCCCAGCCTTTTCAAGTTGGTCTCTTTCTTCCTCTTCAAAGGAGTCAAATACAACAAAAACAATATAGTATCGACGCCCGTTGGCCTCGAACTCTTGGTTGAGATGTTGGTCCGTTACCATAGCTGTCAGGTCCTCATCGCTTAATCCCCAGTGCTTGTGGAGAGATTCCAAAACTCTCTCCTTCTCATCAGCCATTCGCCTCGCGAACACGTGTCCTACTACAGTTGGGTAGTCTCGCTTCCAATTGAGACGCGGCACACCGTCGACGAGCCAATATGGTGTTATGTGTTTGTGCTGCAGCTCTTTTGCAGTTGGGTAATCACCCTTCCATTCGGGACGCCACACACCGTCCTTGATCCAATACGGCCGCAGAAACTTTTTGTACGGCATGCGCATTGCCCTTATAATTGCTTGGACGTTCTGGGAGCACACCTTTGTCCGGCCCACGCCCGTGCCCCACGACGGATGCCACTCGATGCCCACCCGATTAAAGCATCCAAATGTTGTTCCGTGCCTATAGCTCTCAATATAGTACTGCCAGGCAGCTTGCCTGAGCAGAGGCGTTGCTCGACCTTGACTATCGTGCAAACGGAAGACAATGAGGTCGAGCGTATGCATCCGAGGGCGAAGCGCCTGTCTGCTTCTTGACGCCGGCGGGAACTTATCACCATTGTACTGAGTTGCCCATACTTCCATTGGGCGCGGCCGATAGAGCGAGCCCATGCTACGGTGAATGGGCCAACTGCACTCGCGATTGTCCCAAATGTACTTCTTCGCGATGTAGCGTGATAACCGGCAAGTAGAGAGAAGTGTAGCGATCTGGTGATATGTTGATAGTTGCCTACAGCGACGTGTGTAGGCTATCTCATCAACAAGGTCTCTTTTCTGCCCTTCGCTGTACTCAATGTTGTAGGTAGGGTCGGCAGACCCTGAGCGGCCGAAGACACTCGGCACGGTCGTATAAAGGTAGCGGAAGAAAGGACCCGACACCTCCTCCTTTGTTTCGGCCCGTTTACGAAACCCAGGATTGCGTTTGCGTGCTTTTATGACGTCGCGTTCCGTCTCCGGCATGTAGTCAAACTTGTGCCACTCGATGAGGCGGATGCTGTCGCGAATAAATTCAGGATCGTGTGGAGTGCCCTCAATTTCGATCCAGTGCACACCACGAGCAGCGGGGAGGACCAGCTCCCAAATAGCCTCTTGTAGTTCGACTGCAAGGTCGTTGAAAATTGCCATAGTGAGACGGAAAAAAAAGTATTGCCTAGAACAAATGTTCCATGAAATGGAGAGTAGATTAAATAGAAGCCCAAAGCCCAATTTTACGTAAGCTGCCCAGTCGATACAATCAATTTAGGTAGCTACCTAGGTACCCAGGTAGCTACGCCGCTCAACGACATACGGCGTCATGCGGGGTCCAGACACAGTATTACATCTATTCGGTGTCCAAAGCCACCCATGGGATCTTACTTTTGATTTGGAACTGTATAGGCTCTGCATTGAACATTCGTTTGTATAGTGAGCAATAGCATTCGCATCTCGACGTATGTACTTCTTAGCCACAACTCCCCTCTTCCGGTCATATGAAATACTTCCCTCTTCACGCTCATTCTTTGCTCTACATTGTTATCTTTTCAGGAGATCTAAGCTTCATTTCGATCAGTCAATACGCGAACGAGCTCACCCTGTTTTGAATCTAGCCATCCTATCAAGACTTACGAAACAGTCCTCTCCATTCCTATTTAACGTGGCATCATGATCTTCAGTCGTGGATCCCGGATGGAGAGCCCAACGTAGAGACTTCTGTGCTTGGCTAGAGATCCCAGGAAGATATTAAAACAGCGCACTGTTATGGGGCCAATATCTGTTCTTTGAACTGTCTGTGCCTCTGGAAGTCTCGGACTTCAAGGCTCTAGGCATGGACTTCATCAACAGGTAGATCTTTATAGCTTGCTACGCCTCGAGCCCCCACATAAGCGATTTAGAAAATATCACTCTACATGAGTGCATTCTCGTGTTTATCTCTTCATGATAATGCGTATTCTCTACCCAGAGTAGTAGTAACAGCGCAATCGAGTCTTTTGTGTACAATGGCATCAGATGCATTGAGTCTATCTCTATTTATGGTCTTAATATGACGGTAAGTAACACACATACTTGATCCCTCCGACAACAGTACATGGCGTATGCCGAAGGATTACTGAGCCTACGAGGCAAAGCAACAAACGATACGTATCATCCAATGCAGAGAACTTAGCTACAATGAAAACTTTCCCTTACCAGGGATGCTACGTCTGATTCCTGAGATTAATAACGTTTCTTGTTTACAGTCTGCAAAAGTCCAGAAACTACAGAGTAGATTTAGGGTGCTGTTAAACGTAACACCTGTTGAAATGCTACAATTAGACCCCTAGATAAAATACAAATCTATAACAGTAGGTCTTGTATATAAATGCAAGTATAGTTCTACTAGTAATTATTTCTTTTCCTTAAGCCTATTCTTATTCTTATTCCTATTGTCCTATTATCCTATTATAATTACTCTTAAATTACTATTTACCTAGACTAGTAGAACTTCTAACTTATCCTTTATTACCTAAATATATATCTACTTAATTAGATATTAGATCTCCTAGTTAAATTCTATATTATATTAGAGTTACTATTTTATACTATCCTAGTATTATAATACTAGTGTAAGGGTTGCGCAGAGCTTGCAGATACCTGATAACAGTAATGAATTCGATAGATGTTACGGATGAACCGAACAGTGACGATTCTGAGTGGCCGGAGGGCGACAGGGAATCCTACGAGGAGGACCTCTGGGAACAGGAGTACGCGGAC